GCTAGGGGCGAGCGAGGAACAGCTGCATCGAATCACGGGTGACTACCAGCCGGAAGGCTTCATCTAATTTATCTGTTGGAAGAACTCTAGCCCAAGATTCATTAGGAATGTGATCGAAGCGTTGTTGACTGTTTTTCAAAACGAACTTTAGCTTACCCTTGCCCGCGTACCTTAGAGTTTCTCACATGAGAGGAGAGGGACAAGTAAGGCACGCTACATGCACCTTCCAGGCACTCCGAACATTTCGAGCCAGCTGCACACAGGATACATAACACCAAGAGCACACGAACACACTAGTGCACAATCTTGCACCGAGCGAGAGAAATTTTCAACAGGTAAGCTATGCAATCAGACAAACCAATTAGTTCTTTACTAAGTGCATCAAAACGTGCTTGAGTATAGCTCAGACTGCTAAAGGTCGGCTCAAGTAATCCTAAATACGCAATCCTCATATAGAAAGCCGCACCACACAAAAAACGCAGGGGGCAACCCCACCCCAGTGGTTTGACTATGGTGCATTCCGTAGCGAGCTACGTCATAGCCACGATATACTTAGGTGCTTACTATTACTTTTGCTGTATGTAGTTTAGAAATAGTAATGAAGCAAGTTCGATTTCGCAGCCCTGGTATGTCTTTATATGCAGAGTAGTCATTCCGCGCAATTATATAAGAATCGATGGCTCGTACGAGTGTGCTACATGGTGCAATATGGAACTAGCTGAGGTTCAGGGTGGTTGGAGGACACTGGCTCTCTCCCTCTAATTTGCACGACGTAATTGGACGTGCAAACAGCGATATTTGGGGGTTTCTGGGTAATGCTTGATAATCTGTTATCAAGCTTGCATTGGATTAGCAGTAAATGCAGTAAACGTGCTGACGTTGTTGGAAGTTTCCCCCGCAGGTTGATGCTGCAAAGAACAAAGTCACACTATGCTCGCCTTTTTGCTGAGTATACATATCAATGCAGGTGATTACGACGGGAGAGAAGCCAAATTTAGTATCACCTTAACTTTGGAATATTTTCAACGGAATGTCCCTTTAGAGTCTTTAGCCGAAAATGGAGGAGAATGCTTCTTCAAGTGGTGTATCTGTGCATTTGTATTCAAGGTTTCAGAGGATAACTGGATGAGCTTGAAACAATAGCTGGAGGTAGCGAGGATAGTCTTTGCATTTCAACATCAACTTTTGTGCCTTACGGCTTCCAGAAGCGCTTTTGGTCACAGTGACAATGCTCCTTGCCTTTATTTTAGGTAGCTCTGCATTCCGAACCTCACGCATCTGCAATTTTCTGTGACCAACAGTGGAAGATACTGCACAGTATACCTGCCTAGGATACAATTCGTCTTCCATCTGTTCTACTTCATGCTAAAGCTGAATTTTGCCTGTACTTTTGGTGAGGCTTCAGATGATCTGATAGGCGCGCACCACGACGAAAAAACCGGCTCAGAACAGCTCACTGCCTTCCTTACTAGCCGTGGCAACGTTGCTTTAGTAAACCCAAATATGTATATAACAAACAGTAGACTGAATTCAGTGGTTAGAGTCCGCGCCCTTGTTAACTCTACACTCTTAATGGCGTCTGATCCGGCATTTAGAAGTACAAAACGTTCCTTACAAGACTTCAATACTGGGGAGCGTCCGGTGAACCGAGACAATTGCACCTTTCACATCTGGATCGGTTTCAGCATGCATATCAAGGATTACAAAGTTGGGAATGCGAAAGCAAGGTTGCCATGGAGAGCAAGGAGGCAGCAAATGATTCTGAGCGGGTTTCTCCTTCACAATGCGTGCCTTTAGATCATCTGAGGCCTAACTAAAACTACAGATAATGTGAGTTCCCTCAATGCAAGAAAATTGGTAGAGCAACCCATCAGGGCGCAAAATGGCCTTCTGCTAGTGCTAAATCTTTAACTCTGTGTGCAGTAAGGTGGGAAAGCGGAGACAAAGCAACCTTGGTTTTTGCTGCTGTTTGCATTTCCTTTCATTATAGTGATAGCCAGTCTTCGGACGCTTTTCGACTGCTAGGGCTTTTGATATGAGAAGCACATAAAACACCAGTCAATTTTTCTGGAAGCTGCTTCTAGAAAGCAAAAAAGTCAATGCCCAGCCCCCCCTCCAACTAAATAAAACACAGGTGCTCCAACTAGATAAAACATAGACAGTATAATGTTTCCTATTCTCTGGCTATATGGCAAAAACACAGCTCGTCAGTGCAGCCTTCGTGCGATGTCAGGATGGCCATAACGGACACAAAAGCACGCCTTTTGCCTTGTGTAGCCATACTGCTCCAGAGTAGGATATGCCATGCAAAAAGTTGGCTCAAAAAGAAGATATTGGAACTTTCCTGTATTACTTTAGAGACCTACAGAGCAGGGCTTTTTGCCTCAAGGAGGTTCAAACCTTGTAGACTACTTTCCCGGCACACAAGGCCGCCTACCTTCCATGATTAATAATCGAAGGAGAAAATTTCGGCATGTATTCCCACGCTGGGCCAGTACTCTTGCAGTGTGTCGCCCGCTCTTCTAGTAATCCGAAAGCAGGAACAGGCAGCTAAATGGCGTACTATGTGAAACTTCGTCTGGGTAAATTTACATGCTTACTACTGTTGCTGGTGTTTGGAGAAATATATCCACATTGCCAAAAAGCAAAAACAGGTCCTCTATCAAAGAGGCCAAGCAAAATGTGCCCTAGTGTTACCACGCATAGGCATAGGGCTACATACACCAAGTCGAAGGTAGCGTGTTTGAAGCGAACATCTGATCAGCTAAGGCACCGCCAAAGACCAGTGCTGTTCCTCCTGTAACGTGTTTTCAGGATAAAAAGAGCATCTTCAAGAGTTACATGGCACAACTCCGGTTGCAACGCCATGCAAAAGAGGCTCCCTGGAAAGCACAATCAATGACTAAGTACGTATTTGGGCAATTCCTGTATTGAAAAACTTTGCAAGAGACAGAAGCAAGCTATAGGCGTGCATACTCCGCATCCGCTTACCCCGTACCCCGTAATCCCGAAGAGATTTCCTAATCCCAGCTGACAGATGCGAAGCTTTCTTATTTCTTATGGAGCTGAGTGTGCCGTGCGTACGTTGCATTTGACTGCAGCGCATGTAGTGCGGTATCCTCAAGAGCCAGTCTTCCTTGCAATTTCCTCCGTAGCACCGACCAGCACCTTTTGGTACTCCCTTGAGTCAGAAAAAGTACGGGAGCAAGCAAACGGGGTGCAGCTCACCATGGAATATGTATATAGGTGCAATAAGGTTTCAACTTATCCAGGACCAATCCATAGAAAAGGAGAGGCAAGAGTTGGTGGCCTAGTAACCAAGGACCCAAGGCCCTTGGAGGTCACCTTAATTCCGGTGGGTGTTCCCTCTATCTGCCTCACTCTCTTGAATACTGGCTTTCGCGCTGTAATACATCTGCCGATAGAACCAACACGTGCTCCACATTCAAACAAAAAAAGCAGCTGTAAGCTAGTAGAGAGGCAGTTGCTCTTACGCTTCGAATAAATGAATTCGCTCTTCAAAGAAAGCAGAGAAACGCTATTTTTCGCTGAAACCTTCCCCGGCAGCGCAGCTGCAAAGGAGCTTCATTTAGACATAATGGTCTACCAGTCTGCTTGAATAGACTAAGAGATAGCCAGTTGCACTCATACTAGCCCAAAGCAGTCCTTTGAAAACGAAGGGAGTGCCGGCGTACCCGCGATGAAAGAACAGGGGTCCAGCGGCCGCTGCGCTATACATTCAACAATGCCTCTACGCAGCACGGCAGAGAACTCTTTACTGAATCTCTCCGCCTCTTCTTTTATCCCCATGCCGCCAACTATAGCAAAGTCGCAGCCAGAGCCTGGTGAGCGACAACCAACAAAGCCGCCTGTGGGAATTCGGCCTGAAACTGTTCGTGGATATCGTTGCTAAGGCCTCAACCACTGAAGTTACCGTTTATGCCTGCAGTAGTGAAATGGAAGCATCATAGTGTATTTCTCAGCTTCGTGGCAAGTATGGACATAAGGTCACGTTTGCCGCCAGCAGCGGTTGGTCAGCTGCTCCCTAAACGATCCAAGGTAAAGTTTTAAAACAGACCTTACAACTGGAGGCTAGGTTTACACAATTACAGCAAATTACTTTCAGTATCAGCAACAACTGGCAGTGCCTTACCGGGGGCTACAATGTCTCCAGCCGCTTCTCTTTTGCTCCTTGGAATAAGCAAAAAGACCCGTGAGCTTGGTACGGCAAGTGGAACGTATGCAAATAGTATACGTGGCTAACATTGAAGGAAAAGAAGACGAAGGAAGACCCAGGTGCACAGTTCTATTGCAGCAGGTGCTGCTGTGCTGCACGGGCCCTAAAGCAGCAGTAGCATAGCAGCAGCCAGCTGCTGCACTAGGCTTTAGCATTAGAGGCTAAATATTGGAATCAACCAAGAAATACCGCCCATTTGTTACGCATGTGAACAACAAACGACTTAACTCCCTACATTTTCAGAGAGGTCGCCGCTTACAGCGGAGAAGCACGCTGTTGAATGGGCCACAATACAGCCGGCGCATCGATACTGTATGGGGGCCCCTGCCCCGTGCGTCTCTTCATCCTGTGCTGACCGAAAACTGTGTTGTTTGGTTAAACCGCAGTGACAGCTGGCAAATGAGCCTTCTGTAACCTTGTTCCTGCCTCTCTCTTCCTCTGGTGCCCTCTGGCCTTTGAATTGAGCGCATGAGAAGCAATGCAAAAAGGCTCTCTTTGTGCTGCACTGCTGCCAGTGGCCAAGGCTACTTCTTCCTCAAGCACGAAGCCCATATTAGGTTGACTGTCAAGCACCTCCAGGACCCTCAGCCTCTCCACAGGCACCCGTGTATACTCAAGCAGCGCCGGCGAGACCGGCAGCACAGAACTATGCCGTTGCTGCTACACTTCACAGACCAGGTTAACCTCGAGAACGATCTACAGCCTGCCTCTCACTGGCATGACCTCTCCCTGCACTGTATGCTCCGCTGGAGCGGCGTGAGCTATGGAGGCCCCCGGCTCTGAGGCGGGCCCGGGGCCCCAGGAAGCTCCCAATGTGGCGATTGAGGCTGTGACAAACGCTTCTATTTTGCCGTATTTTCTGCAAGAGGTGCGGCGGCAGGATGGGGAAGCATCCCTGGCTGTCGAGCATCCTGGGGAGACGGTTAGGCGGGTTGTGAGCACGCCTTATTTTGGGGGTTCTGACGGGCAGCCGAGCCTTCCGAATAAGCCTCGAGCTCTTCAACAAAAGAGCACCCCTCCAGCAGTACTTACACTGTCTCCTCTAAAGGCACTAAAGGAAGTACTTGGGGAGAGCCCAAAAGGGGAGTGGCTGGCGGCCTCTCTGGACTCTGCCTGTCAGTCATCAGAGGCGCTCTCTCTCTTGAATCATATGCGGGCCTTAGCGTCTCGGCTCTTTGCAGAAAATGCATTGCTAAAGTCACAAGCGCAGCTGGAGGGCAAGCCATACCACCAGGGGGCCCGTCCACGCCACAGGCGCACGCCCAGGGAGCAGTTGGTTTCAAATGATGAGGCGCGGCGCGTCCGGGATATTACAGAGGAGAACAGTTACCTGAAGAGCTTCATAAACGCAGATGCGCGGGTGCTTCAGAATGCAAAATTGGCGCGGATTCAGAAGGAGCTTCAAGCAGCTCTGGAGAAAAACCAGACGCTGCAGGAACAGGCGCAGAAGGACCGAGCGATCATTGCCGAGTTGGAGTTAAGGAGCCGCGCCTTTGCGGATGCGTATGCGTGGCTTACGAGTCACAACAGAATGATTCATGCACGGGACGCCCCCACGCTCGTGGCTTTATGGCGTAAGCGAGTTGCTGCAACAGGGGCTGCAGGCCAGGGGACCCTCATGCCTGAATTCGCCGAAGACCTATCGGCAGCTTACATAGCTGCCGACTCAGAGGAAGATACAGAGGCTACTTCAGAAGATGGAAACGAGGAGGGTTCTCAGTATACGCGACAACTGGCAGCCGCGCTCAGGGAAGCAGAGACGACAAGCGAGGTGCGGCAGGCGCAGACAAGGGCCAGACTAGCAGAGCGACGGGCTGAGGAGGCAGAGAGGCTGTTAGTCGAGACTCGGGCTCAACTGAAGAAGCCTGAAAAGGCTGCTTCCAAAGCCGCAGCCAATCCCCCAGCGCCGTGCTCGGCTGCGCTGAGCAACCATGAGGTGAAGCTGGAGGCAGCCTTGAAAGAGAGCCAGCTGCGCGCTGCCGCAGCGGAGAGGGAATGTACCAAGCTTGCAGAGCAGCTGTCAAAAGCACAGAAGGCTGTGGACGCTGCGGTCCTGGCGCGAAAACGTGCAGAACAAGAAAAGGCCCAAGCCATGGCGGAAGCTGAAGCGCGAATGAGTGCAGAGAGAGCACAGTTCGCGTCAGAACTGGCGAATATGAAAGCACAGCACCAAACGGAGATTGGAAAACTCAATACTGCAGCTAAAGAAGCAGCAGAACTGCGGCTGAAGCTGCGAGACGCACAACAGCAATGTGCGGACTTGCGGGCTGAGTTGGATACAGCGAAGCTCGAGACGGGTGGCGCTCAAATTTCTAAGGTAGCCTCATCTAGGAATCTGGTTTCACCTGCTGCTTCTGACATATCTACCCTTACATCTGAGCGGGACACATACAAGGCGACGGCCTTGCGGTTGGAGATGGACATCAAGCGGCTGAAGGCTAGATTGGACGAGGCAGCGCAGCTAGAAAAGACAGTCTTTGCTTTGAAGGAAAAATTATCAGCGGGAGAGGAGCTGAAGAAGGCGTACGAGAATTTGCAGCGCGAAGCAAGCACCCTGAGAGGCAAACTCAGCGAGGTCCACGCAACGGAACCACAAAAAGGCCCCAGACAACAAGACTTGGCGAAGCAAGCCATGGAAGAACTTGCAAGAGATAAAGCTGCTATGACTGAGAAATACGAGTTTCTGAAGAAGAAGGTGGGCGAACTGGAAGAGCAGCTGGAGCAGCAGCGCTCAGAGAATCAAATGCTAAAGGCAGGTAGAGAGGACGCTTACAAGGTTTCGCAGCCAGAGGCCACTCAACCTTCCAGCAAAGCCGGCACACCAACGCCTGATGAAGTTGCTGCCCTCATAAAGGAACGGGATAGTTTACAGGAAAAGATTTTGAGCCTGGAGAAGGAGCTCAGTGATTTTCGCACTTCCTCCTCGAGGGGCCCTGCCAAAGAGCCAGTAGTAGCCAAGCCTTCTGCTGGCGGCGCACGCGCGGAAGTGGCGAAAAAGTCTCCTCCATCAGGCGCAGCAAAGGCAGTTGCAAAGGACACGAAGGTTCCAGCCCCTCCAAAGAAGGTTATACCAACGGAAGCAGTTATTTCCAGCTCGGATAGTTTCTCAGCGGAGGCTAGGGAAAAGCTTGAGAAGGAGGTTGATGCCCTGAAAGAGCAACTGCTTGCTGGCAAGGAAGTACAAACGGCCTATGAAGCTCTGCAGAAAGAAGTGGAGAGTCTCAGAGGTCAGCTCAAGGATGCCCAAGCTTTAGGTCAGCCTAAGGGGCCTCCTCCCACGGCTCCGGCTAGTAGCTCTGCTGGAAAGACCGCTCCACCCCTACCCGGGGACCATCTGGCACTTGTCGAAGAACGTGACAACCTACTGCAGAAAGTGAAGGCCCTAGAAGCAGAGCTTACAGCCCTTAAAGCCCAGTCTTCGACACTTGCGTCTGCTAAGCAGGTGTTGGAGAGCAAGGCCTTGCCACCTCCCCAGCGAGCTCGGCCGTCAAAGGCGGGGGCAACTGCGAAGCCTGCCCCTCTAGCAAAAGGCACTGTCCAAGAGCCTTCAGCAACTGCTGGCGATCAAGCAGCTGCTCAGGAGCAAGAGAAGTTAAAGGAAGAGATACGCGCTCTCCGAGAACAAGTGGCAGCGGGGGAGGAGCTAAAGATGGCGCATGAGTCTTTGAAGAGAGAGATGGAACGGATGCAAGCTGAAAACAGTGCGCTTAAGAAGAACGAAGAAGCTTCCAAGGCTCTTCCACCGAAGGTTCCTCAACCTGTTAGCAAGGCTGCAATGCCGACACCTGATGAAGTTGCTGCTCTCATAAAGGAACGCGACACTTGGAAGGATCGAGTGGAGGGCCTTGAGAAGGAGCTCAGCGATATTCGCACCTCCTCCAGGAGTCATGCCAAAGAGGCACCAGCTGCAAAGACTTCTGCCAATGGAACTCACGCGGAAGTGCTGAAGAAGCCTCCCACGCCAATGCCGAAGCCAGGTGGGACTGCTGTTGAATCTGGCAAGGCGATAGGAGCCGAAGCCGGGGTGGAAGTGCCTCCCGCTGATAGTGTGGCGACTCCTTTATCGAAGTCGAAGTCGCCAGTGACTAAAAGGCCTCCTGGTGCATTGCCAGCCAAGGCAGGAAAGGCCCTTTCTCCGGCTGCAACGCCGCCGGCTGAAGGCAGCATCCCTGCTGCGGTAGCTCCTGCTGCTCCAGCAGAGAGTGCCGTTGCAGCTGCAGCTAAAGCTGATGCCCGCAAGCCTCCGCCGCCAGTTACAGCTAAGGTAGTCGCGAAGGACACAAAGGTCCCCGCTCCTCCAAAGAAGGCTCCCCCTGTAGAGGCTGGTGCAGGCACTCTAGATTCTTCGCTAGAAGGGGAGAAGGCAAAGGTGGTTGCCGAGCTTGAGGAGGAGTTGAAGGCCTTAAGGCCCAAGGCAGAAGCTGCAGCGCAGCTGACGCAAGACATTGCACGACTTCGCGAACAAGTGGCTGCTGGGGAAGTGCTAAAGACGGCTCATGAAGCCTTAGAAAAGGAACACGAGCTGTTGAAGAAGCAGCTTTGTGAAATGCAAGATCAAAGTGGCTCTGTGAGTGCAAATGGTGATAGGGGAAAAGCAGATTCTGTTCCGTCTGCCAATGATTTGATTGCAATTCAGAAAGAGCGGGACGATCTAAAAGGCCAAGTAGCAAGACTTGAAACAGAGCTTGCGGCTTTGCGGGAAACTTCAAAGGCGCCTGAAAAAGCGGCCCCAGGCAGCAAAGAAGTATCAACCGCGAAGTCCCCAGGAAAAGTTCCCCCTCCTGCGTCGGTTAAGAAGACTCCATTGCCTCCACCCAAGCCGGGAAAGGCTGCAGCTGACGCCCTTGGGCCGAAGGCTGTTGCTGATGAGAAGGGAGAACAGGCATCCCCTGCACCAAAGCTGGGGCGTGCGGCGAGTAAGACGGCAATTGACACGCTGCCACCTAAGGGCAGTGCAGGGCCTGCTGCCGCTGCAAAACTCGCAGAAACAGCAGGCGCAAGTGAAGCAAGCGGAACGAAGCCCCCACTTGGCGGCGAGACTTTGCCGCCCCACAAACTCGGGCCACCACTGGGTAAAAAGGCATTGCCTCCCAAAAGTGGCAAGGCGCCGCTTCCAGCTGCAGTTACAAGTGCTGCAAAGGAGGAATCAGCCTCAGATGAGGCCACTGCTGTATGTAGAGCGTATAGCACAGCCAAGCAGGCTGATAAGCCTTCGCAAGATGGGACAAGCGGGGCCTTATCCCCATCGAAACCGATTGCAAAGGACACTAAGGTTCCAGCTCCCCCGAAAAAGGCTTCTCCTGTGGAGGCTCCCAGCAGCGGTGGAGGCAACTTTACGTTGGAAGCTAAAACGAAGCTTGAGAAGGAAATCGAGTCTTTACGGGAGAAGCTTGCAGACAGTGAGAAACTGCGGGTGGCGAATGGGACCTTACAGAAGGAAGTAGAGGCTCTTCAAGGCGAACTGAATGCGATCAAGACCAAAGCAGAGTCTGGTGCTACTGAGGCGGCTAGCGGGGCCAGCCCAGCCATGGTAGGCGAGATGGACACTTTGCGGAAGGAACGCAACAGTCTGCAGGAGCGTGTAGCAGCCCTGGAAGCAGAGCTCATCACTCTCCGGGCCCCACGAGACGAGACAGCCGCCATTCCAAAGACTAAGGCAAGACTGCCACCCAAGGGCAAACCGGCTAAAGAGCCACTGCCTAGCAAAGTTTCTCAGAGCCCTGGTGAGAAAGAGCGGCCAGATGCCAAGGCTTCTGAGGCGCCTGAGCCAGCGGCTACAAGCCCCTCTGCGATTTCTGCCGAAGGTGAAGCAGGTGGGGAGCAAACCGGTGTAGGAAAGGCGCCCCGTGAGGATACAGGAGCTCCAGTTGGCCCTCCAGACAAGGCGAATCTCCTTACAGAGGAAGTACTTTCTAAGTCGGACGCGGAAACGGATGTTGGGGACTCAGGTGCTGAGAGCCATTCAGAAGAGGAGCGGGTGGCGACACTAAAAGAGCGCCTTCAACGAGCCAAACGCCGAGTTCGCAACCTGGTTGTGAAGTGTAACGCACTAATAGAGATGGAGAAGGAACGAGATAGTTTCCGCAGCAGATTGGAGTCTCTGCAGGCCAAGCACGACGCTCTTCGCAAGGCGCAAATGGAGGCTAGGGACAAGGAGAATGCGAGTGCAGCAAAGTCGGCCTCTGATACAGTCCTGCCATCCTCCCCTTCAGTGTCAGATACGGGTAGTGCCTCGCTGATGGAAACAGGGATGTCTGCTCAGAGCACTTCGGCGCAGCTGGATGCTGCCTCCGCTGCAGAGCTTACTGAGAAGTACGACAAGCTGAAAGTTCAACGAGACAAGTTGTATCAGTCGTACAAAGCCCAAAAAGAACGCATTGCGGAGCTAGAGCAACAAGGGATTGCCACCCAAGAACGGCTAGAACGAGCGGAGCGTCTCTACCATGAGACTCAGGAGGAACTCAGAATCGTTACGCAGCCCGCCACCCAGGCGGAGGATGCCGAGCCAACGGGTCTATTATCGTGGTTTGGTGGAGGTGGGACTCCGACCTCGAAGAGCCCTGACGAAGCGAAACTGCGTGCAAGGCTGGAACTGATGCAGCAGAGGCTTAAGAATGCACTGGCAGATAATGAATCTCTCAGTGCTAAGCTGGCACAGTTAAGAACTTCCCCCAAAGGATCTCCAAGGGAAACGAGTGGGACAGCGGAGGCCGAGGGCGAGCCTCGTCAGATGCCCAAGGGCACCGCCAAGCATAAGTCCCCTGAAGCAGGGGAAAAGAAAGTCGCACAAGCCAAAGTACCCCTAAAGTCGAAGGCTCCTCCTGCAACTGAGGGAGGTGCTCGGGAGGGCGCAGAGACTCTCGCCCAGTTGGCTGAGCTACAGAAACAAATCAAGGAGAAGGATGCACAAATTGAGGCACACAAGGCCGAGATTGTCAGGCTCGGGGCTGCTACGGCGGCAGCTGGGGGTGAGGGTGCCCTTAGGAGTGAGCTGGCGAAGCGGGAGGAAGAGCTCAAGACGAAAACAGTGCAGTTAGAAAAGGCCACCGAAGAAGCTAAGGAGAACGAGAAGCTGATACAGGCAAAGGATGAAGAACTTAAGAAGTTGAAAGCCAAGTTGGAAGCCCTAGAAAAGGAAAAGGCGCAGGCAATTAGTGAGACCAACGCCCTAAAGAAACAGCTCGAAGAAGTACAAAAGGAACTAGAGCTCCTGAAGGGCGGAGGATCGGGCGCAACCGTACCGTCAGCAAAATCAAAAGACGTGGGAGAGGCGTCTCTGCCGGCTAAGGCTGTAAAGAGGGCCCCCAGCTTAACAAAACGGGCCGCCGGGCCTCCTTCTCCACCACAGAAGTCGGAAAGTCCAGTCGCGGCACCAGCAGCTGCAACTTCTGGGCAAACACCCGAGGTGGCAAAAAAGAAGCCAAAGGCTTCGACTCTAAAGGCACAAGACGCGACACCCAAAGCCCCAGCAGAAGAGGAAAAGAGTCCCACTGGCGCGGCCCCTACAGAGAGGCAGGGTGCTGCCGGTGAAGGCTTCGAAGCCGACAGTCTCTCTGCCAAGAAGACCACGAAGGCTGAAGATACTGAGGAAGAGAAGAAGCCGAAGAAGTCGTCCAAGGATAAAACTGGAGATACAAAGAAAAAGAAGAAGAAGGAAGTCGCATTTGATGAGGGGGCAGGCCCACCGTCGGACAAAGAGAGTGTCGCTCCCGCTGAGGAGGACGCCAAAAGTACCGCAGTGGCTACCTCAAATGTTGGGTGGGGCTTCGGTCTGTTTGATAATTCCGCCCCGTCGGCGCCTCCAGAGGACAACGAAAAAGAGCCACCAGCGGATTCACAAGCTGCTGCCCGCCCTTCGCTTCTTTCACTGATTGTCGGGCCCGAACCCGCTGCGGAGCCTCCAAAAGAGCGCGATCTCCCTCCTTTGAGGCTCTCAGCAGTAGAAGGCGCTGATGATCAAAGCGATGACTCTTCCAGTGAGAGTGAAGCCGAAGGCGGAATCGCAGCGACGGTTGCAGGCTTCTTTTGGGGCGCATAAGAGCGGGCAGCTCAAAGGAGCCTAGGTGGATCTCATACGCAGTGCTCTCTTTGCGCGTTCACACAGGTACAAAAATGTAAGGCTCAATGATGTCAGGGCGTGTCTTTCTCTGTGTTCCGTTTGGGCAACGCTGGATCCTAAATAGATACCGCCGCATGTGTTCCTTCAGCAGGCTCTGCTGTATCGTATCTCGTCACGACACTGTTTCCCCTACTTGAGCTGTCTGGGCAATAGCCAAAAGGGCACGCTGTGCTTCGCACTAGCGTAGGCCCCCTTTTATATCTGTGCAGTGCAATAGGGTTAAGCAGCTGCACTGTTTCCTTGTTGCAGGTCCGTCATAGGGACCACATTTACCGCGTACAACTATACCATCTATTTTTCCACTGCCACTCGACTTTTGGCTATATGTTGGCTGGGGTAGTTTGCTCCCTGCGCAGTGTAGGGCCTTCGAGGGTACTTAAAACTCTAAGCTGCCTTCGCGCGTGGCGCTATAGTTCCTCTGCTAGGCGTGACGGGGGGGGAACTTTTGTGCACCATTTTAAATAACGAACCTGTCCACCGCTGAAGTTGATATCGCATAGATGTCCATAGGTGCTCACGTTTGCCCACCGGCGCTACAGATCGCATACAGGGTGGTAGACTGATTTGCTCGAATAAATCGTGAAAACCAAGCTAGCTCACTGTTGGTAGCCGAGCTGCTTGTCCAGCGGTAGGGTGGTCGGTGCTGGATAGCTGCTTTAGCAGTGGTTGTTGCCGGAGCCACAAGAAGTCGAATGCAGTCCACCGGTCAAGTGCCCTGTTATATACAACAATTTGCAAGCAAACTTACACGAGCTGACATACTCGTAGTGTCTGGCACTTCCACCAAACGCTGCTGATGAGTCAGGAGGCAAAGCACCTCGTCCTCTGCTGGTCGGCACCATCCCTGCGAAGGAAACTTGCCTAGAGGCCGGGGACAACGGGAATTTTTGGATGCAGCAAAAAACTCCTCCACCTCCTGGTTCCGACTGAAACACGATGAAGGAATGGAAGCAGTGCGGCGGCCTTCGAAGACGCGGGCACGAGGAGTTGGCCGGACGCGGCTTTTTCTGCAGTCTTGGGGAGGTACTGAGGTCCCCAAGAGTGCGGTGGGAATATGAACAAAAAAGCTTCCCTCTGCCCCCATGGAAAAGCCCTCTATATTCTAAGGGCCACAGCAGACTAGGGCGGTGCACTCCAGGAGGTGAGCCTGAGGGGCGAAGCCTTGTACTGTGCATTCGCGCCATCAATAAGAGCAGTTGGGCGACACCTTAGTCAGGAAGCCCATGGACAGCCCTCGCAACACACACTAACTGTCGTGGCCTCCCAGATTAGTGATGTGGAGGTGAGTGCCCGCACTGAAACTGTACGTTCAACCTACTAGAACAAAGAAGCAGTTGGGTATGGTGGCCTTTTAGCTGGCTCGCATGGATACAATGGCGATGAGAGAGGAAGACCGGGGAGGCGACAGTTGTCTTCATGGCGAAACGAGCCTCCCGCCTTAATTAACACACCACATGGTAGCCCATGCATGCCCCGAAAGGTCACACTCTATCCTGTAATCAGTTCTTTTCCCAATACATGAACGCCAGTTCTCACGGAGCTGTATCCTTCCTGCTCGGGTTTCGCCCATCCTCTCAGGTGGAGGAAGCAAAAGGAAATACAGAAGCTGCCTAGGAGCCTACCTCTAGAAAATTGTTTTCATCGATGTACAACTCCGCTGCATGCGGAAGTGTACCTGGTAATACGGGTGGTGGCACAGCGGAGAAGCCATATCCAGCTGGAGGAGGCGTTGTTCCCATGGGCGACAACCCCCAGAAGTAGCCAGATTCACTGGATTCTCCAAGTCCATACAAATCCGCGGGAAGGGGGGCTGCAGCATCCACCGTTTGCAAGCAGTAACATGTCGTTCTCCCAAAAAGCGTCTTTCTCACCTTAGCTGAGTAATACGTTCGTGCTTGCCAGGAAAGTGCCCCCACCTGCCGCTATTTAAAGACTGTCTACATGCACTTACAAGGTAGCTTAAGTCCCTCCAAAGGAAGATTCCCCTCAGTCAAGTACGGTGAGAGTCTCAGACTTGGGGAAGCATTCTGTGCAATGGCCGTGTTGCGGGTCATAGACAGGGCTGCGCTTCCCCCCTTGCTTCCAAACGGCGCGCAGCCAGTGGTTGGCACGGGCATCTGCGGCACAGGGTCTTCTCCTGACAAGCTCACATTGGGATGAAGCTGTCCTAGAGGATGCGCGGCACTGGACCGCTGGCTGTCGCGTTCCCGCTGCAATGGGTATGAAGTTTGAGAAATTGTAGTTGAGGGATACAGCTGAGCCTTGGGTTCCGAGCACCGCTCCTGGCTGACAGTTGTGCAATCCTGTACGTTCTGGTGAGGCGCGTTCGGATAGAATGTTAGATAGCCTTCTGGCTGGCCGCCCACATCAGGGAACGCGTATCCCTCCTTTGCCCCCCTATAACCACTTCGGCGTGCTTCCCTACTTCTTATGGAAGTCCAGCGACGGTGACCCATTGGCGCTTCCTGTGAGCGGGCGTTGACTGGGGGGAGGCCTCCACGAGGCCACGTCAATCGCTCGCCGCGTGCGGCGGTCCTCGCCAAAGCGCGTGCCTCGCGGCTGGCTGGATGGGGCGGAGAGATGGACCCCGCACGATTGGAGGTAACCACATGGGATGCTTTCCGCTCGCCAAAACCTTCGTCCGTAAGCAGAGATTGTGCTGTGGCGCTGCTCATCAGGCCTACTGACACGGCGGTATCCAGCACAAGAGCGCATTCCTGCAAGAAAAACAAGCCATCGGAAGAGGCGTAACCATAAAAAAATCCGGTGTACTCACAGGAAGAACCTCATTCATTAAAGCGCCCTCCGGCAGCAGCCCGTTTCCAGCGGCCTGCGATACGCATCCGGAGAAGGGGGCAGGTCTCAAGTGCCACCCAGAAATTCCTCGGTGGCTCCTCTCACCTTATGCATGTGTTGATCCCTAAGATGATACGCCAGAAGGCGCACAGTCTTCTCATCAATTGCGGGCAGGCCCTGCTTACGGCTAGACCCGCTCCCGCCTTGGCGTCCCCGCTGGGCATGGCGGCCTTGAGCTTTGGAATTTACGTCACGCAGACTCTCCAGAGCCTGCGCCACATCAGCGAGCAGTCAAACCCCAAACAGCTAGTTGCACCTCAAGCACAGTGGACTCATAACCGAAACTGCAGCCAAAAAACGCCAGTGCAGACGCCATCGTGAAGACTTGCCCAAGACCTGAGGGTGCCTGAGGGACATTTTCCTTAGAAATCGCCCAGTATGAGTTCAGATAATATAGCGGCCTTCTGCTACACGGACTCTTCGCTTGGAAGGAAAAGCAACTTGGCCACTGCCTTCACCGTGAACGGCAGAAGGCGTGATGCATAGTTACATACACGTGCACACGCAGAGGCATGCGCCCACTGACAATGACGAGCGCAGGGCCTTTTCACTCACATTCAGCACGACCTCTACGGCCTGTGCGTGCATACGACCCTTGAGACATCCAAAAACAATTGTGCTAACAGTTTTGCTGTCGGCTGTTACGCCTTCGCGCCGCATATTTTGCAGGACGTCGTACGCCGCCCGGTACTGCGCACATAAGGAAAAAAAGAAGGCACAGAACGCTGTGCAAAGAAAGAACGGCGTCCCCTATGCAGCCCAATGAGGCACGTTCAAACGCCCGCCAAGCATCCTCTTCAAGAGAGGGACAGCGGGCACAAGAAACTCACCTGCCGGTTCTCTATGCAGGCGGCCATGAGGCAAGTATACACGTGAGCATTAAGCTTGAAGTCATACATCTTTGGGAGCTGCTTGACGAGCTCAAACGCAACTGGCAGCTGCCGCATGCGGCCGTGCAACTTGATCAAGATGCTAAGCGTAAAGTTCGAGGGCTTTATCTGCCGAGCCTGCATCTCTCGCCAAAGCTCCAAACAAAGGGAGGAACGCTGCACCACACGCAGGCAGTTACAGAATGTTCAGCCATAGTGAAGGGCGGAGTCTATACACACACGCGAGGAGCATCGACCATAGCCCTCTTGAGAAGGCAAGAAGAGCCCTATTTCGAGCATCGGTAGTAAGCTCAAGACAGGGCATACAACCCGCCCAAGAGCCTAGTCTGCGTCATGCAGCCACCCGCAGCAGCCTCCGTCTTGAATGCACCGGCCCGTAAGAAACTTACTCCAGCGCGGACACAGCCATCAAGAAGGGAATTGTAAAGGACCCCATCGGGGCTGATGCTTTTCTGCTTCATGGCCTTGAGCAGCAGGAGGCCTTTGTCCATCTGCCCGTGGGCGCAATAGCCTTTAATGATGGTGCTGAAGGTAATCAAGTCCGGCTGGACGCCTGCGAGATCCCAACACAGGATACGACACAGGCTGGCTCGCACGGCTCGTGTTCCCTAGAGAATGGGGGAGCAACGCAACTCTGCGGGGAGGGCGGGGGGGTGGAGGGAGATGCAGAAAGGGAGAGGGGGGCAGGCAAAGACAGCGATTCCAGCAGAGTGACGAGCTAAGCTCTTTTTCACGCTCCGAACCATTCCATGCCCGCCTTTCCACCTCAACCCCTCACCCCCGGCCCCTGCCGCACTGCGTGGGGTAACTGCATTCTAAAAACACGCAATCAGACTCCCTAGCAACGACAAGGAATTCCACACGCCCTTTGTCGAGGCCTCACCTTTTTTAAGCATGTCGTCTAAAAGGGCGGCTGCACGGTCCATGGCCCCGACGCGGGCACACACGTCAAGAAGGGAGTTGTACGTTACTGTGTTCACCTCTACGCCGAAAGTCGCCATTTCCTCGAAAAGGCTGAGCGCCTGGTCGAGCTGAAAGCCGATGCGCAGCAACCAGAAAGGGGTAATAAACCCTTTACAGCCCTCCTTCAGGCCCCCCCCGCATACCCCCCTTTAAGCCGCCCCTGTCTCCTCGTGCCTTTCTCCTCTACCGCCGTTCCTCAAAAGCTCTAGCAACCCCTTGGCGCCAGCATCTAGAAAAGTAAGCCACCGCAAGAGGCGGCTGAAAGCTCACCTGTTTGCTTTGGGCACAGCCCTTGATGAGCGTAGAATACATCACTGTATTGGGTCTGATAGCTTCATTCGAGGCTTTCATATCCGCAAGAAGCTTCAATGCCAAATCCAACGCGCCGTTGCTCACAAGGGCGTCTAAAATGCATCCATACGAGACGGCGTTCGGCTTAAGACCTATAGCACCACCACAGAGAGACAAGGTTCCCCCCGCACACACACAGAGGATTTACTGGCCATCCACCTGAAACAGCCCAGACTAGATAGATATTCCCTGCACGCACTACCGCTTTCGCGCCTGCTGCATGGCTGAGAAGATGCTGGAACGGCCCCTGTCGATTCGAACCCCCCCGCTGTTGAGGCTTCAAGGGCACCCCTACGAGAGGGCGTGCAAGGTAAAGGAAACTCGGCTTGCCTTCAGTATTCACCATTTCCTGCCAGATCTCCCAACACCGCCGGACTTTGCCAAGTCGGCCGAGCTGCCGGAGCAGCAAGCCAAGTCTGTATACCTGGTCACTGGTATCGCTGCCTCGTGCCTTGCCTGTTGTAGCTGGAACGGATGCGCTAGGCTTGTAGGGATTGCACGCGCATCCGCCGCGTTGCTGCAAAGCCTCATGGCCACGAAGCAGCCCGACGTCTTTGATCTCGTTGCTTTTTCCCGATGGACTCCGTGGCATCTCTTCGGAGACCCCAGTGGGTTGTGGCCTATGGCTCCCAGGATCGCGTTGCTCCACTGCTTGCGGATGCAGCTGCCGGGTTTCTTCCTTCGCGCACTCCTGGTGGAATGCCGTCTGCGCTTCTTCCTCACCGGCGGGTGCCTCGCAGCTTCGCAAGTCCAGCTGGTGCATGTGAGCCGCCAAGACGGTAACGTCTACAGTCACCCGCACGTGTGGCAGCGCATCGCCTACCGGCTCTCAAAGCACTTCTTGCATTGTGGGGAAGGCTACAGGGGGCTCTGGCAGCAGGCTGTGCGGCTGCTTACCTGGAAGAAATGTGGCGTCGAAGCACGTCGAACCGGGGGCATCAGCGGAGCACCCCGCACCGTCGGTGGCTGTTGTTGCAGAGCTACTGCGCTCACTCGCAATTGTATCCGTGAGCGTCGTTCCCAAATCCTGCACTGGGGAGGCTTCAGAAACGGAAAGGGTCCCCATGTTAAAGGGGTTCAATTCAATCTCCGGCGATTCGGCGGAGGCTTGGCACAACTGTACAGGCGCAGTGGCGAGCTTGCCGGGTGTGGCCTCTTTGGCCTGAATTGTCTCGAGGATGTCGCATTTGCCAGGACACACACGGACTGCTGCGGACATCGGCGGAGGAGGGGCTAAGGCCACGCAAGCGAGGGGGTGTCTTCATATAGGCAGAGAACACGGGGAGGGGCACGACGGAAGGGGGTGTTTGGGCGAAATTTACGCAGTGCAGAGACAACTCAGCAAGGCAGAATTGCTCTATAGGAGCGCCTGAAAGAGAAGAAGGAACTTGTGCAGCTGCAGCCCCCTTCGCCTTCACAGAGAAACACTCTGTAGTGGAGGTCGACTCGACCCCGAGTTCGGTGGCAACCGCAGCACCGAGGGCTCTGTCTCCTACGCGCGGCAGTCATTCCACACAAAGCAAAAGAAGAATCGCAGACAAACATCGAAGGGGCTTGAAGCATCAACAACTTATCCCCAGCCCTATGACGAGGGAAGTAGCAGGGCGCTGCTCCAGGCGGCCTGCAGTGGGGGAGCGGGGTGGGAGGCCTGGACCTCGCAATCTCCCTTCTGCGCACTAAGATGCCATGAGAAATAGCCCTGGCAAATCTCTACAAGATATAAGCTAAAATGTACTTACGCACTGGCCACTCGGTTTCTATACGAGTGCTGAAGCCCACAATGATTTACTTACGGACACAAGGCACCCCGCTCTCCACGAAAACTAGCAGCCAAGGGGCCCCCTAAATACATTCAACTAGGGCCAGAAACAAGAAGCTGTGAGATTTTTTTTAGGGCTTAAGGGTTCGACTATCCATAAAAATGTCTTCTGTGCAGTAACTCGGATAGCTCTGCCGACGGCATGCACCAGGAACCAGCTCAGCCGCCCGTCTAGTGCAATACGATCTAGTATTATGTAGCGTACACCCGTAGTTTCTTTAGTTGGAACCACATAACATATATAGGGGGTACCTTGGGGAGGATCAGCCGCAGGGTTCGCCTGCTGCTCTAAGGTACAATCAAAATGCAACTATGGCGGTCAGCGCTGTACGCTACCACTGTACCTAACCAAAGGCTATACATGGGCGCTTCTGCCGCACTAGGTCTATTTTCTCAAGAATTAAAAGAACTGAGTTCTCATTGTGGTTGGTCGTGTACGCTATTTGTTACAGTGTAAGGTTGGCAGACAGGCTCCAGAACCTCGGGGTGTATGCATGTGGGCCTTGGTGGCGAGTTGCCCTGTGCAGCAGGGTGAGAGGGCTGAAAAAGCCCAGAGCCTGCATTGAGGCTTCCGTCTGCTGTCCCGGCCTCGTCCCCTATTCTGGAACCCTGGGGGAGGCCTCAAGGAGGGCGGGAGTCCCTTTCGGGCAGGCAGAGGCAAGGGGGCGGGAAAGGGGGCAGTCCAGGTAACGCTCTGTCTAATGTTCTGTAGCAGAAAACATCACTCCGAAATCAACACAAAATTAGCAAACTTCATGGGGAATCTGCTCAAGAGCCTCCTTCGTCTTCTTGCCTGCGAACCTCGGGGCTCCAACATTTTGGGGAGAAGACCGCTGGGATGCCAGCTTTTGCAACCTCTCCGCACTCAGAGCTAAATGTCCCTAGCCTTTAATGCATATGCACACAGTGTAAATGGTCAAACTGAGCGTACACTAGATTGAATAAACTACACGGCAATTTAGTGTCAATGACCAAGCCTTGACACAATAACCTCTACGACGACCGAAAGTGCTCTAAAATGCTACTTAGCGCACTGCGCTTAACTCTGCACAAGGAGTTGTGCTGGGCTTGGGATGTAGAACCTCTCTATGGAGGCCCCTGTTTGAAGCGCTAAAGGCACCGCATACTGCGTTGTAGTGCGCTTTAACGTTTTCTTGGACGAAAGCCCAGATACTTTAAACGATATAGCTGCCCGAAACTCACGCTGTTTATCCTACCCTACGAGGTGGGGGCAAGAGAGGCGAACAGCTTTTCGTGAAAACGTGGAGGAGACTATTGCCGTCTTATAGGCCCTATGAGCGGCCCTCAGCATCAGGTGAATGAGGACTTCTGACTAGCGCTGCCTGGAGAAGCCCATGCAGTACCAGTGTCCGCCAGCTGCTGCCTATCGATACATGTGATTGTAATCCCTAATGAACTGTCTGAGCCAAGCCTCTCGTTTCGCAGCCCAGCGTACATGTGTCGGCTCTAATCCTCCAAACTACACAGGTGCCTGACACTAGGAAGCTACACCTGCTGCACACCAACGAATGCAGTTCAGAACCGCTCAAGGTGTGAGAATGGAGCTGGGCCCTTCACTGCGTATTGCAGGAGGCAGGCCAGCACAGGCACAACTTCTCTAACGGTGTACTGAGGTGTTTTCGCGGCTGGCAAATTAAGGCCCGTATGTGGGACGCCCCTAACTAGCCCAAACAGAAGTCCCCTAATAGTTCTGTTTCTGTGATGGTGCTGGCTCCCGTTCTAGTCCGTAGGGCTTGCGTTAGATACTTATGGGATAACAGAGCGCAGCACCAGCCTAGGAATACAAACACCCCAACGATACCCGCACCGCACGCAGCTGAAGACGGCTGCTTCCTAGTATGCGTACAGTGGGGGCACCTCGGGGGGCTCATCAGCGCAGTGCTGTAATGCTGAGTTCCCCTCTGTTGCTGAACTACTACTCTATTTATCAGTCCTTGAGACCACGCCTCTCAAACAGAGAAAGACAATTCTCACCGCAGAGCCCTCCAACCTCCCATCTCAAAACAGCATATCTAAGCTGTCTCCATCCAGTGAAGTGCAGAACAACGAGGCTCTCAAGTGCCAGCAAGCCACTCGCGCGCCTTGCTAATGGCGTCACTGCCCGCCTGAGACAGCTGTTGCCACCCCTGCTGCGCATGCATGCGCAGCGCCTCGACGCGGGCAGCGCTTTGGTCCTCCCATCCCTGCAGTCACAACCCACACGCCACGGACAGGAAGCCATTACGCACTAACGAGGCAAGAACCTCTCCCTGCATGAGCGGTGGAGCAGGTGTGGCAGCGGGGGACCATACACCCCAAGCGCCAAGAGAGAGCTTCCCTTACTCGTCGGTTGCTGGTACTTCTCCCAAAGATTTCATCAGACCCGATAGCCGTCCTTGAAGGATCAATAGGCACAGCGGCGACTGGAGGGGCGCTGCGAAGCCAACACAACAAGCAGACTCTAAGGAAGACTGCTATTACCTCATACCCACGGCTCTTACCCTCACCACCTGTGCACTGCACAACTAGCCCGCTGCAAGCGGTAGATCGCGGAAGGCGCCCTGCCTCCATAGACATGTACCTTTCTTCGTCGTTGAAGTACTGAGCAGAGGAAATGCTCTTCGCTCCCGAAAAACGGTTGCTGTTGCTTCCAGATGCCCCAGAAGCGGAAATGCCACTCGTACCATAATCCCCACCCGCGGATGCACTGTGCCCAAGGGCTGTCGCGCCGTTGCTTCCAAAATTGCGAGCTGGCGCTGCATAAGGAGCATTGCTGATGCCGTTGCTGCTGCTGTTGGAGTTGCTGTTCATGCTTGCGCCACTACGCGCCGCTGGCTGCTGGTGCAGAGAAGGCGGCGAAGACGGCCCGGGACTATAAGCCGTTCCTGCACATCCGCAGATGAAGCACGTAGGGATGCACTTTATCTGGCTGTAAAATACATCTCTACGGTGTGCAAAACAACACACTGCAGCCCCGAAAGCTTGACTATGCCTCAGGAAGCGCTCCGGCGCAGAGCCCTCTTATTTACTTCCGCAGGCTTTCTCCCTATTTTCCCTCTTCCCCTGGCTCTACTCGAACGTTCGGCAAGCTTCTCGCTGCCAGGTAGTAGAAACGCATATGGAACGGCCTCCCGCCTCCCGCTGCCTGTTGCAGCTGGCATGCCTCACGCTACAGGGGGCGTGGGCTCCTCTGCAGCAGATGATGAGAGCAGGACGAAGAGCAAGACGCACCCACTAAACAGCCACAACCGCTCGGTCTAAGGGCTTCTTACCCTGGGCTGCCGCTCTCTGTTTTGCAGCCAGCAAAGCCGCTTCCTTCTCAAAATCAAAGTCCATTTCCAACTTGCGGCTCCTCACACCCTTCACCGCGCCGCTTGGCCTCGGAAAGCCTCCCCAGGAAGGGTCTCCCAATCCTGGGCGGGCAGCCCCCACGGTGGCTGTTGGCATCGATACGGGAGTGGGGGAGGGCACTACAGGAGCCGCTGCTGCTGGCATTGCTGCTACCACTGCTGCTGGCACTGCTGCAGTCGCAAGGGGCTGCCCATACGGTTTCACCGAGGCCTCTGGAGATGCACCATGTCCTTTAATAGAGTGGCATTCCTGCACTGGCTGCTGCGGCTGCTGCTGCGCGTACGATGCTGCAGTGGTAGCCTTCTGCTGCACAGGCATCCCTGCGCCCTCCTGGGGGGCACCCGGGATCCATCCAATGCTCTGCATTTCAGAAGAGACGAGGCGCTGAGGCAGCACAACGCGCAGACAGACAGAAGCACTCCTCATGCCCTCGCACGCAAAAGCGGCACACATAGGGGTCTGTGTTTTATGTGAGGTCAGCCGCGATCCCAACGATCCCCATATCGCCTCTGCGAAACCCAAGGAAGGCAGGGCCCATAAAACTGCCTCCATCAGCGAACGTACATCCAGCATCTGCCGATGCTTCGCCGCCAGCTTGCCGTGGTAGTCCAGTGGCTGGCTGAGATCTGCTCTGCAAAGGGAGTCACATATCCAACCACGACGCGATTCCCTCACACAACTAGCAGCAGCAAACAACGATTTTCTGTGAAGCCATGCAGACAAGAAGCCACCACCGAATTCACCCCCCCAAAGGACCCCCGAAGAGCGCCACCACCCAACCCGGGAAAAAAACTCAATTTCCCCCCTTCCTTCATCCCCTCCCCGCAAGCAAGGCCGTGAAAGCAGAGGAGGCTTAACAGTGGCCTATTACGTTTGGAGCCATTTGTAGACCCCTTCCCCTCCTCTACCCTCCCCCCAAAGGTTACCCGTGTTCTCTAAGGAAATCGTGAGCCCGGCGATTACCGCCTGAAGAAGACACACGAGCACACCGAAATTGGACAAGTCGCGCAGTGCAGACGTCGATCAGGGGAACAAGAGCGAAGGCACAAGATGGCCCCCCCTCCTCCCCCGAAAAAACGCAGTATTATATCATACCCCTCAAATACCATCTGGGGATGTGTGTAGACGGCACACTACGAGAAAAATGCAAGGTTGCCAGGCCACACGCACCCAATTCCATGCGAAACAACTGCTCTGGGTATATCTTGTCCATCTCCGTAGACCTGTATCACAAAGAAACGTGCATATAAAAGGGGAAGCAGATGATACAAGGGAGCTCCGCGCGCCTGCCTGTCAAGCGAAAAGACGGCTCCCAAATAAGAGACCTTGCTCAGAAGCTTCGCAGGACTGTACGGACAGTCCGATGTGCCCCAAGGAGCACAATTCCAGGAATCTACAGGTGCGCAGCAGAGGCTTTGTAACACTTGAAAAATGAAGAACGCGCAACAGGGGAACCTACCTCACGAAGGAAAGATGTGTGCCCAGCCGGCGATGCTTGCCAGAGCAGGTGAGGCAGACATAAATTGCATGTGTTAGGGATATCCATGTGGGGTTCCTGCTACTGCAATCGAAGCACCTAAGCAACGCAGCAGAGAAACAGGGACATAAATCAGCACCTACTTAAACACAAAACGTCATGTTCCTCTCATGCAAAAGCAAGTATACCCATACTGCCCAGGTCAGCTCGGCAGGCAACGGCCCCGGTGCAATAGCCAGTCATGCATTTGCTGGAGGAACGACTGAAAGCACTGCCAAACGTCGCCACCACGCCATTTCGCGTGTCCGCGCAAAGCCAGGGGGTCGCAGCATCTGCAGACCCAATGAACTTGAACAATTATGACACCGGAGAGCATGGCTGCCCCTACACAATATGTCCAACGCAAGGGCGAGCGGGGGTGAGGGCGGGGGGCAGTGCCTCTACTCGACTCTTCGCAAGGTTCTAGGCGGTCTTTCCTGCTGCCCGAGCTACGCTGGAGTATCACTGAAAGAGGGGATAAGAGGAATATGTATAGATGTGCTGCTACTACCTTGACTGCCCTTCACGCTTACATCCTGTTGTCCTTTCTCAGCCGCCTGAATATCTCGTCTCTGTCAGTTTCCGAGACGTAACGACGGTCGTCTACGGCTAATTGCTGATAGAGAAGTGCGAGGCGCTTCCTTGCTGCTGCAGTGTCGGCGCTACTCGCGGTAGCAGCAGCTGCAGCAGCAGCAGCAATTGCTGCTGTTTGCGACTGTCCGTCCATTTTTGCATTACCTCGCCTCACTCCAATGACTTTAGGGGCGAGAAGCACCACACGCTGTAAAATAACCACTAAACTGAAGAAAGCGTGCAGCACTTGCTGGAGCAGCCACTGATGGAGAGGCGCAGCGGTGGCAGGAAGCGGCTGCTGCGATCATCATGTGCTACTGCAAGGTCTACAATATGGAAGAGAGATAGGGAAAATTTTCTCTCTGACTTTACATCGGAAATACTGAAATCCTCCTATAAAACAGTAAACACTCAGGGAAAATGCTAGAGTTGGCATCAGGTGAGAGCCCACGTAGACTCCCCGTGAGCAGGGATATGCACCGCAGCCTTACCACAGGACTTTATATTATCGGGCATTAAATGTTCTCCAGCTTCTGTGTTAATAAGAACCTCTCATTGCTTCAGGGCTATTAACTTCTGGACTTTGTGTTAAACGAGGGCAGCCGGACACCCCAATCCAGGCTGTGCATTCCTCACACACACTTCTGCAGGGTCGGCTCCCAATTGGTATAGCCTAGATCTGGTGTTGACCTAGACCCATGTGGGTAAAGAAGGTGAGGTATGTCTGGCCAGTCCTCATGGAAATCTGTTTCCATAATGCTTTTTAAATATACTGCCTTCACTGCATTCAAGAAGCGAGTCCGGAGACACTGCAGTGTTAAGACACAGCACAGCTTCTTCCAAACCTGTGGCATCTATGCTTAAGAGAAGCCAAAGATATTCCCCCTTGCAACCCTTTATATCATGGGTGCAGTGCTAATGAGCAGAGTGGCTGCAATGTTTGCCTTTCCCTCTACTTCTGGCATCCAAGCGTCTTTAAAAGGTGAGGTATAGCAAAAGTGCTGCTTCGTAACGATTCATTTACCCAAACTAGCAAGAAAATTTCGAACTTCTGGGCTACTGAGGAAGAGCATTAGCCTGGAGCGTAACATGCTGTGCACTCAGCGCAGTGTAAACAGCCACATTTGCCTAACGGATAATGACAACTCGTGGTGCCTTTCATTAAAGATCTAAGGCCGCCCAGAAAACGAAGCGTGATACTAACAGATAAAGTTCACATCCCCTTTTTGGCGAATCTGTGACTTAGAGGAGTCTATACTGGCTACTGACTGAGTGTTGTAAGGCACGTTCCGGATAGAAAGAGGGAGGCTACGCGGCTGAGCTATGCAGTCGAGCAAAATAAACTAGGGCAGAATCCGTGTGGCAGAGTGAAGAAACACAAGAGCTCTTAGTAAGAAAACTGATGCTTATGTAATTTTGAGTGTGGCGGCCTTTGATGATGCCTCTGTCAACTATCTCTTATTATGCGATCGTTTACATGGGGCAAATGTTGCTAGAAAACCCTTGGTTGATATGCCTACTTTTTGTCATCTTAGTGGCGGGGTGGCAGAAACAAGTAATCTCAGAGCCATCTAGGCCCACAGTTAAGCTGCTCAATTTGTGTGCAAAGCGGAGAGGACACCGCGCAAAGGAAAGCAGGTTTGAGGAAAGAGTTGTGACATAAGCCCTGCTGCCCTAGCTTGGAGAATAGGACTGGAAAAGCGCTAAGCGCAATGAAAGAGAGAGCGGAGTAGAGACTGTAAAGATAGAAGTACTTCTTAGGGGGCAGTAGAGAGCCAGCATCGCAACTTTGGGACTTGTCTGTAGAGCAGAGCTCCTTTGAAGCCGCATGGCCAGTTACATAGAGAGCTACCGACAGGTTGGTTCAATAGGAGGCGTCACGGCCTTTATTATTTATGGCGATGTGCCCTGAAAGTGCCTGCGCAAATAAGCCTTGTCAGTGGGGCCTTCGTTGCGATTCATTCTCTTCGACTATGACATTGGAGGCACTGACGCTTGAGTGGCTCCGCAAATTGTGCTATGTGCAATGTGTGCCTGTACGGGGTGCAGGCGTGCAACACATACCATGTACTCACTATCTTAACGAGAGGATAGCTGGAGCTGCTTTGGAGATGGAGGAAGGGGTTAAGCAGCGTCATTTGACTATCCAGCAACCAATCCAGATTTAACTGTTCACCAAAACCTGCAGTTTCAGTCCTTTTGTGATGCACTCGGGGCTGTTCACACATTGGCAGCCTCGCATCACTCACACTTCCATAGCTTTTTGGAACCGTAAGTCTTTTTAACCGTGAGGCCAACTTGTAAGCCTACTCCACAAGCAAAAGCTCAGACCTGTCGCTTTGTGGTAATCGTGGGCCTGGACAGTCAAATGAGCAATCATGAACAGCTAAACGCTCTTGCGGAGAGTGCATTTAAAGGAGGGCAGGAGGGATGAGGAAAGGCAAACTTAATGAACTAATAAGGACGCTTTCCCGTGTACACACATACTACGCTCTTGCCTGGGATGGACACTAGGGTTGGTGAGGGGTGGAAAACTATGCTTTAGTACGGAAAATGCTCTTCGTTTGCCTCTGCTTCCCCCGGTCAAGTAACGATTACTCTTTCACTGATCAACAGGCGCAATGAAAAGCTTATCATTCCTGCTTTCGTATCTCTGCCCAGACGATTGGGCTAGCTACTAAGAGCCCCTGTCGCTAGCTGATCAAATGCTGCTCTTTCTCCATAATTCTTTTGGATGCCCTGGGCTGTGTCTCGTTCCTAACATCCTTCTCCCTGTGCCTGATAGTGAATTGTGCGAAATCATTCCAAAGCACACATATTTGGGACCCTTATGTACGGCACGTTGAGTGTGATCCTGTTAGAAGGGTAGATTCTTGAGGTACACTAGAAAACACACGGTGTCATCAGTAATTCGGCATCGTCCCTGAACACCGGATGCACTCACCAAATAAGCTGCTCACAGGTCCAGATGCTCCGATCTCCCAAATCCCACCCCAAATATTGAAGCCTTATAGAGGCGCAAAGTTTTTAGCAGAGAGCCGTACCACTGTGCTTGTTAGTTGACAACCATCTGACTAAGTTGGGCACATGCAAATCATCGAGCTTCCCTGTGGCACTATGCTTCGAGAAGCAGATCAAACAGCCATCCCCACGTACCCTAGAGCGTACAGTTACTTGAGGAGCAATTGAAAGCAGATTTTGCTTGGTGCACTGCCGCCCCTTGAATCATAGAGCTGCGTATTTCCAGCTGCATGTTTAACCCTGTCCTAGTTACGCAGCATTGACAATGCGATTGACTGGCTGAAAGTTGTTGAAAATGAGTACCTACTTTCTATGGCGGCTCGGACGAGGACATCCTTCCGCGACTTTTGTGTTCTAGTCAGCCTTCGTACCTCTGAAATGTAGCTGCAGGCCCTCATGTATGGCCTTCTCATCCCTGCAGCACTACCAGCGCACTACAGGACACAGTGCCGGGATATAATCTTCCTTCGGAGGGCAGCTGCCCTCTGCCGCTAGCTACTTTCTTCCTCTCTCTGAGATCCTCGCTGTCGCGGAAGCCGCGACAACGGGAAGCAGCACCAGCTGTAGCAGCGCCATTAGGCGGCAAGTACTGCTCTTCATCAACTATGGCACTGCGACCTAAAAGCCACAGGTCCCTTGCTTCTGTAGCAGATGGCGCTGTAGTGCAGTGACCATCTCACGAAGGAACTACTGCAAGTTTAAGCGGCCCTGTGAAAGCCGCCACCGTCAGACATTGGCGGGGGCAGTACAAGGAGTCTTCGCGTTGCTGCCTTCTTCTGCTACGTGAAAGCGTTCCTTTTAAATCTAGAACTTAAGAAGATAAGTAGAAATTAAGTTGAGGGCCAGAGTGTTTCGGGGCTGCTGCACTTCCGACCGCAGCGGCCGCGCCAGGACGGACTGCGGCAGAGGCAGCCACAGCAGCAACCGCAGCAGCAATTAGTTGCTGTCCCACTGTGTCTGGCTTTCGCAGCGCGTATACTTCCCACCTTCTTCCATTGTAGACAGCAAACAGCTCCCTCTAAAGGAGCAAGGCACTGGATGCCCTCCCCCTCCCGGCCCGTGCTGGGGCACCGTCAGCAGCGATCTCATCCCCGCCTTTTCTTTCCAGCCTCCGTGTGTTAGGCCCCCCTCAACGCTCCTTGAAATACCAGTGCCCCCTGCGCACTTTGGGGCCCGGCGTTTATGGGTATCTGCGCTACCCTGGCCCTACCCCGATAGAGCGCGGCGAGACTCCCCTGCTTCCCCAGCGTCTTGGATAAAAAAATCATACATGCGGCCCCTCTGCGCCTCAAAGAGCCTCTAGCAGCCACAGACACACCCTCACAGGCCCCGAGGCATCAGGGCAGGCTCCCCCAGCGTCAACGCTACCGAGTCGGATACAACCCTCAGCAAGGGGCCTCCCAGTACCTCCAGGCACAACAAATAGGGGCAGGGCCCCTCGAGGCCCCTGCAGCCGATTTGCGGACTGCCGTGCAGACATGAGGAGCGGCCACCACTCCAGTGCGTGCTGTCTGGGCAGCCCCACTAACTCGCATCAGTGCAGGCGCAGGAGCACAACCCAGCAGCAGCTGCAGTAGGAAGAGGTGGCAGAATAGCCGATCAGCAGACCACCACAATGAGCCTGGATCCTTGCCACCAAGCTGCTCCGCCGTCATGGCCACCCCAGCAACAGTGGCAGCAACAGTATCCCTCGTACCTGGGGCTGGGGGGCCCCCCGCAGCAGCAGCAGCAGCAGCAGCAGCCGCCGCATTGGCAGCAGCAGCAGCAGCCCCCCGAAATGCAGCAGCAGCAGCCGAATTGGCAGCAGCAGCAGCCTCAAATGCAGCAAACGCAACAGCCTTCGCAATGGAAGCGACAGGAGCAAGTCCAACCGCAGCAGCAGCTGCAGATACAGCCAGGGCAACCCCAAAGGCAGCAACTGGGACAGACTCCGCAGCTGCAGCCACACATCCGCCACCAGCAGGCACTACCTTTGAGCTCCGCTGAGGCATACAACACAGCAGCAACTCCGTCTCCATTCACGCAACAACAGCAAAACCCCGAACAGAAGCTTCAGCACCAGCAGCAGCTCGCCTACTTCTCGCAGCCTCAGCATGCGCATCCATTACAGCAGCCTTCCCCTTTGCATCCGCAGCCGCCTCAACAGCAGCCGCAAGACACACGATCAGTTCTTCCCCAACAGCAAAGGATTGCGCCACTACCGATGTCATTCCCTTCACAGCCCTACGCGGCTGATCAGCAGCCTCAACAGGGGCAGCCTCAGCAGCCTCGTCAGTGGCATCAGCAGCCTCAGCAGGGGCAGCCTCAGCAGCCTCAACAGGGGCAGCCTCAGCAGCCTCATCAGTGGCATCAGCAGCCTCATCAGCAGCCTCATCAGCAGCCTCATCAGCAGCCTCAACAGGGGCAGCCTCAGCAGCAGCCTCAGCAGCAGCCTCAGCAGCAGCCTCAGCAGCAGCCTCAGCAGCAGCCTCATCAGCAGCCTCAGCAGCAGCCTTATCAGCAGCCTCAGCAGGGGCAGCCTCAGCAGGGGCAGCCTCAGCAGGGGCAGCCTCAGCAGGGGCAGCCTCATCAGCAGCCTTATCAGCAGCCGTCGTATGATGCGCTGTATGGTGGCTACACCCAGCAGCAGTTGCATCAGCGAGCCCCCTCATTGACGGCAGTAGGCACCGGCTCGTTCCCGCCTAGCACAACACAGAACGGAACGGCTGGTGTTGTCGAGAAGACTGAACTTTCGCAGAAGCAGCAGCCATCGGAGAAGCCTGTTGAGGATATGCCCCCTCTGCAGCCTCTGGCTCGTCCTATCAACAACAGGATTGATCCGGCGCATATCCCCCGGCCTGACTGGAGTGGTACTTTTGCCCCTGTTGCGACGATTATGGCTGTTGCTTGTCTTTCTGCTGCCGGTGACATGACTCGAATTGTATGCCGTTTCCTTGTTTTCTGCGTATATGCATGCGCATGCGCGTCTGCACATCCCCCAGGCCGGCTGCCAATGCGTCACTGATGTGCTGGCGTGTGGCATGCCCACTCTCTCCTAGCTCTGCGCTGCGTGTCTCTCTCTCTTTGCTGTGCACGAGGCTCCTCGCACAAAGGCCTCTCTCTTCATGCGCAGCTGACTGCCGTGGTTCCGGTGTGTGCTGCCTGCCGTTTTGCCCCTCAGAACAAATAACAAGTGTTTACGGCAAGCGAGTAGAAACCGATAAGGCGGGGGCGTGTCCACCATCGCCTCCGGGCTTCTACACGGCAATCGATAAGGGATGCTGCAGCTGCAGGTTCATGAGATCGACCCTTAATCAGGTGCGCAATTTTATTGTTGTTGACACTGCTGGTTGGTGTTCTGCATGCACTTGCATGCAAGTGCATGCATGCCTGTGTATGCACCAAAAAGAGAAGCCTCAGTGGCTTCTCTTTCTTCTTGAGAAAGCATTGGGCATGGAAATGGTGGTCTCTGCGTAGCCTTGTTTTTCGAGGTTGCATGCATCCCCCTATCGGCGGCCTCGAGCAGAAATTCAGAAAATGGACGGCGGGTGGGGGAGGATGCCCGTTTTTTTGGGGGGAGATGAAGGGGGGGAGGGGGGGAGGGGGCTTCTGGGGTGCATGCACTTGCACGTGCACTTGCACTTGCATGCCTTCATTGGAGTGCTCTTTCGGCGCCGCGTCTTTGCTGTTGCAGGTTCCTGCCTTTAGCCACAGCCTCGAGCTCTCTCGGCTGCCCTTTGCCATGATTGTGACGCCATTCGCTGCCCAGCCGGCAACGGAGGAGCCTGTGCCGCTTGTCGATATGAGGGCAAGCGAGCAGCAGCAGGGAGCGTCGTCCTACTATATGGGGCCTAGTGCGAAGGGTGGGCATGGTGGTGACGAGGCGGCAGAGGAAGAATCCCCCTTCTACGGGGGCTATTTCGACGTGGAAGAGTTGGACGCAGAGAACGTCGATGCCCAGACTGGCAGCGGCAGCGCGAAAGACAAGGCTGCCCGTGCGGAGGGTGGCATAGTTCGATGCAGCAACTGCATGGCGTACATAAGTCCCTTCATGACATGGGCAAGCAACAGCACGCACTGTGTGTGCAACCTCTGCGGCACTTCCTTCGAGCTGCCCGCCTTCTATCTCACGCTGCTAAATCAGTACCGCAGCGGCCTGCATGGCAACAACGGCGGTATAGGCACTGCAGGCAGTGAGGCAGATCGTCGACGTCCGGGGGGGAGCGGGGGGCGTCGGCTTGAACTCTGGAAGGGGTCGGTTGACTTCGTCGCTCCCACAGCCTTCGCGGCTGCCTCGAAGCTTAGCCAGCTGCAGCGCAAGCGAAGAGAGCACCTGCACGTGCTCAAGCTGGGGCAGCAGGAGACGAGCAGGCAGCTTCAGCTGCGTCAGCAGCACCTCGCAGAGCAGCATGCGGCAACGCAGCAGGATATGGCGTCCCCACAACAGCAACAGATCCAGCACGGCAGCTGGGGGGGGGGCGTACAGTCGACTTTCGCAGCGCAGGCGGATGCACACGCCTTGAGCCACGTATCGCTCGACAGCAGCAGCATGAGGCCTTGCCTAGTCCTGGTGCTTGACGCAACGGCGGCAAGTCTCACCACAGGCCTTGCCCATGCGGTGGTTGCAGGGCTAGTGCAGGTGCTGCAGGAAGTTTGCTTGCAAGTGGATATCTGCCTGATGCTCGTGGCAGACCGTATCTACTTTGTTCCGAACTACGGCGGCAAGCAAGCGCCACAACAGGAACCTGGGGAGCACCAACCGCGGCGCTCGCAGGCTTTGCATTTGCTCGTTGTCGACGACATCATGGACCCCTTCCTGCCAGCCCCCGTAGAGCAGTGTTTCTTCAGGCCGGAGGACAGAGAACAAGTGGGCTGCTTTTTCGAGGGGGCAGTGCTTTCTTATGCTAAACCCGGGGAAGGGAATGGGGTCAAGGGGAGGGAAGAGCCTCTAAGACTCTGTCCTGGCGTTTTTTGAGGCAACTTTGCTCTGAGGTGTCTGAGCAGCGTCCTAGGTGCTGCTTTTGGTGTCTCCTCCGGGGATCTGTAGGCGGTCTGCCACTGCTGTATTCTGGCGACTTGCTGTTGTCTTGTTTGCTGTTTGTGTCGTGGTGCTTGCACCCTTTCTCTCTCTCTGTTAGCGTTCAACTGGATATTCTCCAATTTGTTATAGGCCGTGGAAGCTCGTCTGTGTGTGTGTCGGCCCCTGATGCAGTTATTGTGGGCAGTGTCTCTGCTTCCCTCCGCCCTCAATTGCTGCGTCAACACTTCTCAAACATCCGCAGCAAATGCGGCGCTGAAGGTGCGTGCTAGTGACACGTAATTCTTCTTACGTATATGTGGGGTGTTCTCCGCTTTGGTGGTACACGCAGCCTTTCTTTTAGCTTCTCTACCTCGCCGTTGGTGGTGTTTGCTGGCGCGGCTGTCAGAGGACGGGGGTAAGGGCTTGCTCTGTGCGTTGCGTCTGCACCGAATTCTGCTGTACCGCGTGCAGGTGGCAGTGGATATGATTGCCGAGAGATCGGCGGGAGGGATGGTGGAGATGTTTTATTGCGCGATGCCAGATATTGGTGGGTCTTGTTTGTGCCTGGCACAAGGCGCATCAATAAGAGCCGAGGGAGCACTTACCGCGGCGCTCGTGAGCGTTGCATTTGCTCGGTGTCGATGATATCATGGATTCCTTCCTGCCGGCCTCTGTAGAGCAGTTAGGCCAGGAGTGGTGGATAACTGAGGTTTGCATTGTAGGGGGTGGAGGGTGCATGAGGAGGTGTATGTGGCTCGCCGAAGCATGCGGTAGATCCGTAGTACTGCATCTCGATACTGCTTGTCCTCGTACCGCAGGCATTGGGGCTCTGAAGCACTCCACAGTCGCATCGAAGGAAGCGAGCAAGCCCACGGAGATTCACCAGGTGTGCCTTACGTAGCGGAGGGGGGGGAGAGGAGAGGGGAGGGGAGGATGCGCAAGGGCAATGCGGCGCGATGATTGCCGCTGCGCATAGCACGAGGTGGCAGATCGCAAATTAGCGGACGGCAGCATGTTCGATGGGCAGGGGAGCGCTTCTCAGCGTCTTCTGCAGAGTCGGCGTTTAAGCGGGGTACAGGACTGGGTATAGTTAGCAATGCACATGCAGCGGCAGCGCGGTAGGAGCAGAGGCATGTGAACCTTAAGGGGCTTTTGCTGTGCGCATGTCTGTCTGACTGACCGAGGGGGAGGGAGCGGAGAAGGAAGCGGGGGGACCTCAGGGTGAATTTACGGTGCTTGCGCGGTTGAGGATCTACTCGGCGTGGTGGGATGTAGACTAAGGGACGGCGGAAAGCAGGAAGGTAGTGTGCTGCTGGGTGTGCTGCGCAACAGCAAGACTTCTACAACGCGATCATCACGCAGTGCTTTGCGGCCTGCATATGCGTGGACGTCTTTGCGTGCCCTCCCCCAAATCTCATCCTCGAGCTTCAGTCTCTTGGGTTCCCCGCTCAGCAAACTGGCGGAGACATCCGCTTTGTTCCGGAGTTTTGCGCTTCTAGGTAGGGGCTTTCGCGCTTGTCTTTTCATGCGCTTAGCTGCATGGAGGTTCTTTGGTGCGGCTGCTTTTCGGGGAGCGCTGCAGGGGCGTTGCCGGGCAAAAAATGGGGTTGCTGTGCGTGTTCCTGGATGTGTGGGGTGGACAGAGACAAGGAGTGGGTTGCAGCGGAGATGCGCCGGATATTTACTTCCTGCTTCTACTTTGACGTTGAGTTCAAGTTGCGCCTTTCAAAGGTCCGCTCTGCTGCATGGTTTCGCTGGAGGCTTGGCGTGTAACGCGTTTCCCGGCTGAAGGGGGCTGCGGGTCTTGGCGTGCGAGTCATGCTCTGCTCATGCATGCATTCATGTCCCCGTTCGAGCTTACAGTCAGTATACAGAAATACATTGAAATGTGCTGTCCAGGGTTGGGGAGGTTTACAGAGGCTTGTAGGGTCTGAGGGCGCTTGGAAGTAAGGGGCATGGTGACAGGTCAGGAGTGGGTACTGTCTGGGGTGTGCCTAAGTGTGTAAGTGTAAGTGTGTGTGTTTGTGCGTAAGTGTGTGTGTGTAAGTGTGTAAGTGTATGTGTGTAAGTGTGTATGTGTGTAATTGTATGTGTGTAAGTGTGTAAGTGTATGTGTGTAAGTGTGTATGTGTGTAAGTGTATGTGTGTAAGTGTGTGTAAGTGTGTGTGTTTGTGCGTAAGTGTGTGTGTGTAAGTGTGTAAGTGTATGTGTGTAAGTGTGTATGTGTGTAAGTGTGTGTGTGTGTAAGTGTGTAAGTGTGTATGTGTGTAAGTGTGTGTGTGTAAGTGTGTGTAAGTGTGTGTGTTTGTGCGTAAGTGTGTGTGCAAGTGTGCGTGTGTGTAAGTGTGTGTGTAAGTGTATCTTCTCCTAGTCGGAAGGGCTAGTTTGACGCCAAGGCAGTGCATGTTGATGCCCTTTTGAGGCGCCTTTCCTATTGGGGTTTTTTCTTGTGGGGGTTGCGCTGTGTTGCTGGTGGGGATGCAGGGACTGTCTGTGGACAGGATTTTGGTGTCTTTCTCGGGGGCGCGTTCTTTGGTGGATCAAGGGACTTTCCGGCTTCCCCGTTTGAGCGCACAGTCGACAATTCTCTTTCAGTTGAAACACACAGAGCAGTGCGTCCTGGATTTTTCACGGGCTGTACGGGGTGGCTGCTTGTGCGCCTGCCTCTAGGACCACTTGAGGAGCTCATGCGGTGCCTGCGGCTAAGGAGGCGTTTCAAGCTGTGGTTTGTGAGGGGCAGAAGAGGGTCAGGCGTGGGATTTGGGGGCAAATTTTTTGCGTGAAGCGGCAGCGGTGCGACGCAGGCTGGAGGCGCAAAGGAATGTTTTCGCCCAGAGTGTCTGCGCGTACACTCCGATGCATCCCTCTAAAAAAGTGCCGAATCGGCGGTTGCTGCGAGTTCATTCGTTGTCGCTTCCGGTCACCTTCTCTCTAGCGTCTCTGTTTCGATTTGCCGAGGTAAGGGTTTTTCGCGAGTAGGCGTAAGGGAAGGGGGAGGGGAACGCGAGGAGCAGCGCGGAGGGTAAAGGGTCATAAACAGGGAAGTTGGGGGGCGGGAGACCTTTTGCCTGTGCTGGTAGAATAGGAGATTCAAGGATAGGGCGTGTATGGGTGTGTGCATGTTTTTTCTTCGCCACTTGGCAGGTGGACGCTACGATATTCTTGATGGCCAGGACTTGCGCCAAGATGGAGTTGCACCAGGAGCCCCAGTGGAGAGAGAAGATCGTGAAGAACCTCGTGGAAATTCTCACCGCTTACCGCATGAATGTATGCGCCTCCCCTTTACAATCAGTTCGTTAGAGAGACATGGGTGGTGGTGGTGGTGGTGGTTGTTGCGGGATTGCTAAACAGTCCTTTTCCGCAAATCAGTTCAGCCCTCTGCGGCCTTTTTCGTTTTCTCGATTACTTCAGATGGGGACGTAAGGCCACATAGGCTTGCATAGTGGAAACAAATAGGTCACGTCCTGCCCTTGGGGGGTTGTTATGATATTGGCTAATTGTGGGGTAGTTAGGTTGAAAAAAGCCGGGTGTTGTCATATGTGTGCTGGCACTGCCACAGTGCGCGAGTTCGTCGTCTGAGGGCCAGTTAATTCTGCCGGATTCGCTGAAGCTGCTCCCAGTGTATCTACAAGCTCTGTTTAAACACGCCGTAAGCCAGCTGTCTCAGGGCTACTTCTTGCCACCGGCCTCCTTCTGAGCCGCCTCACCTCAAACAGCTGGAGGGATCTCCATTTGTGAGCGACGCTTTGCGCTGTATGCACACAGGCTTTCCGGCAGTCCACTGTAGATCCTCAGGTCCGGCTGCATCAGCTCCTGCAATTCCTCAGAATGTCGATGTCTGAGTTCTCGACGCACATCTACCCTCGCCTCTGCCTCCTCCACAAGTCCTACATACAGCCCCCCACGTCGAAAGAGCGCAAGGCGCTTGAGAAGGTAATTCAAGATTCGGGCTTTGCGTATTTTTAAAGCAGGGGGGACTTTGCCAAGTCTCACGCGGGCAGGCCTCCGTAGCACAAGCATTGCTGAGAGTTTATATATACGGCTGGCTGGCTAGCCACCTCGGTGCGAGACAGCGTGCTCGCCAGCAGATAGTTGTATTATGCTAACATTCTCCGTCAGGACTTTCGAAGCACTGTGGGAAACAACCTGACACACCATGTGCTTAGGGCATCTTATTCTGCCTTGATCAGCGATGGAAGTGAACTGGCACGTCCAGCGAGGCTACGTGACTCACTGGCAGCAGGTGCGAGACTTTGCGTTTGACTGTGCACGGTGTCTTTCTGGTGCAGATGGGAGAGTATTCTGGTGTAGGTGACTTTGTTTGGATGCCACACTCGCTGCCCGCCAGCGGGACTCATATCCTTAGCGACGGCGTGTATATGTGCGATGCTGGATCCTACGTCATGCTCTACATAGGCCAACATGTGCGGCGCGAGTATATCATTGACGTAAGTCTGCCCTTCATATGCCTCCTCGTCTCAACCCACTCCGTGATTGTGGCGGCAGCCTTTTAACAGCTCGCTTTGCTAGCCGTCCGTACGAGCACCGCACTGCAAAGGCAATCAATTGCCGTGACTGCAAGACCAGAAAAGTCTTTCAAGGGAGCTCATTTGGCCAAAAGTAAAGGGCATGCTTTTACTGTACACACACACTGCATGCCAGCAGGCACTGAAGGGTCGTGAGGTTGGACTTGTGAATTCATGAATGGAGACGCCGCAGCCATGTGCATTCGCAAAAAAGCGCATGATCCGTTTGATGTGCCCTGGTGTCCATTCACCCGGAGTACTTTTTCATTGTGTCTGCGGCAATACGTATGCAATGCGGAATTGCTGGGCGATTGCGCGCGGATTTTTTGCGCGGTAATGCGCATGCAGATTTGCATGGGTAGACATGCATATGTAGATACTTTGCTTTCAGAGTCCTGTACCTCTATATGTACTGAAGCCATGTTTGGGATCCCGCTTATCGTTTGCATGCCTTACTTTCCCGTATAGCGTGCTTTTTTCGCAGCTTTTCGGCTTTGACGCGAAACTTGATGAGCGCGTAGCGCTTGAACTACGTCTGCAAAACGTTGAAGGGACTGCAGGGGGTGGGTATCGTCATCGGCCCACAGTTGCTTTTTGTCAGATGTGCTGTAATAAGGATGCAGGCCGGCACTGTGTGAAGCATGGCGGCTGTCCTATATTTGCCGATTTAGGGATTTGGTGCTCAGAAGGGAAAAAGGGGCAAGCAGGGTCAGCCTAGCAACGTGGGAACCTTCAAGAGCAGCGGGATGAGGGTCACTTAAAGGCCCTCTCTTTCATGAGTGTCGTGTGTTTTCTGTTTCAGCCAGAGTTCTTCGCGTGATGGACCAGCTGCGATTTGAGAAATTTGATGCGCCGTTCATACCGCTGCGAATTGTTGTCCCGAAGTGCGTGTGCATACGTATAGACTACCGCTTGTCTGACCCCTATATATATTTATACATATACATATATGGCCAGCATTGCACAGCAGTCTCCGGTAGTGGAGTCATCGGGATGGCATGATGTTTCTAGCTAAGTGCCTGGTAGTGCGGCGTGCAGGTTGTATAGATGCGTGAAGGATTGTTGTTACCAGACGCTTGGTATCCCGTCGATCGGTGCCTTAGCCGCACAAAGGCAAATCGCTTTGGGGGAACGGCTCCTAACATGCGTATTGGGTTCGGTGTTTTAGCAGAAATCCATTCCTGCCCACGCTCTCGGGCAAGAGAGAAAAGCTGCCGTAAGGATAGTGGCGGGCAGATTCGTATTTTTTGTTTGGCTTTGCAGGTCCTTGGATGAGACGCGTTTGTTGACGCACCTCATTGAAGACCCACTGAGCGGAGACGGAAGTTATGTTGACTTTCTCTGCGATTTGCACAAGCGGGTGCATGCGCGGATGGAGGACAACTGAAACCTGACCTTTATAAGGCCACCACTGCTAAGCTGTTACGAAAAGGGCCGTTTGAAGGAGGGGCTTGCGGTAGAGGGCAGTACAGTCACATGGCAGCGCGTACGCAAGAGGTGCGTTGGCTCCAAAGATACTTCTCTGAGTTTTGTAGTGGCTAATTGCGGGTTCAGTTGCCACGGACTGGCATGCTGACCAGGTTTGATTGCAGCCAGTGCTAGCTGCTCCTGGACTGCCGTGGCAGGAGGGGGTACTGCTGCCAGGCTCTTCAACGAGCACGAAATAGTGCATCACGAAACAGACAAAACAGACATGTGCATGGGGAAGAACTAAGATACATGCCTACTTACAAGCATATGCTCCCTCTTAAAAGTCTCACAGCATAGCCACTTTGGCAGCTGGTGCTGCCTCTCTTCTGGGGTGCTGGGAAAAGAAAACACAAAACAAGTACCAGCTATCAGGCGCTCAACATGCCGCAAGTAGCTCAGGAACGATGGGAGGCTTCGTCCTTCAAAAAGTGGTCTCGCTAAAAATTTTCCCACTATGAGGGAACCTCTTTTAAATCTGCAGGCGACAAAAACTTGCAAGAACAATTTTCACTTGGGTCTGCTGGGCTTTGCTGCGTGCATCTGATAATTCGAGGTGCAGCTGTTTGCGCATCGGTGCGGCGGTAGGGGAAACAACCCCACCGCAAGGGGCTGCCAGCTGCTGCTGGATTCTAGTTGCTGTCCCATCGACGGAAATTGCAGTAAATGGCCTGAAACACATTGCGAAGCCAGATGGTGCCGTTCGCTTGGGGGGCGGAATTTAGGACATGTCGGGATAGCAGGACCCCTAAATGCAGGTCTCACGTGAACACGATCAATTTCAAGGAATGAAGGTCAGCTTACCTTGAGCAGCTTCTGAAGATACATCAGATCTGTCACCCCGCAAATCTCCCTGCACGAGTGCATGGCCCATTGGGGGATTCCAATATCTACAGTGCGCACGCCTGAATTCGTTCACAGCACAAGCGCCACGAAGACCCTTGGCATGTCCTTTTCAAGTCACGCATTCCTATTATCATTTCCTACTCTGGGCCAAAGCAAAGCACCCGATCAACACCTGTGCAACAGTAGCCCTTACCCACTAGCTGTTAGGTCAACCCAAGACTCCTGCAAATCGGCTTTACGCAGCGATAACAGGGTTCAATCCCATCAACAGTCGCCTACCCAGCCGAGCACTCAGCATGGCCCCAACAGTGCCGCCGCATCTGGAGTCATTGCGCACAACAAAATCCTGAACTGGCACGTTCGCTTCGTTCGCAATAAGTCTAACAAACGCCATAGTGCTCGCGTTTGAGGCGTAGTTCTGATTGGCGTTCTCCTTGATGACCACACCCTGCACACGACAGCGGCCAGCATCCGCAATAGGGCGTAAGTGTGCGAGATAAATGCGGCCTGCTTACGCAACAGTTGCATGACAGCATCTGTACGGCTTCCTCTAGGGTTCCAATTCTCTTTTGAAGTCCAAGTAATCAGGGCACCGCTACAGAGGAGAAACCTGGGGCTGCTTGCCTTGTGCATTAAAGGCTTGTGCTGAGGCTGGTACTTCTCCGGGTAGTTGGGATGCACGGCATGCGCCATGTCGGAGCTGACAAGGAATGACTTCGCAAGAATTTCGAAGAAGTCGCTTTCGCAGTCAAGTGCTCGCAAGCAACGCTGCATCCACGTCTGCTCATGCACAAATACGCACAAACTTTTACACAATCACGAACCAAGAGCAACAAAGGTCCTGCAGTTAAAAATGCAGTGAACCCTATGGAAAACTGTTTGTCACTGTGTGGCCGTGCCCCAATTCGACAAGAGTCACTTAGCCACCACGATCGCAGCCCTAGGTGGCAGAGCATTTACGCCTTTACAGTGCACGCAAAGTCAATACATCTATCCAATGCGTCTGCTCAAATGACGCTGACGCACAAAGACAAGAATGTCTTCACGCGCTCTCACTCAAGATGATGGGTAACAACGCGTTGAGCAGACATCCAAGCAGGCGGGACAATATGATAGGGGTGTGAGAAGCATGCAACGGTAAGTAAGCCATAGGATTGGTTGCTTATGTAGGCCATCCTCCTGGGGTGTTCTGCCTATCTACGCTTGTGCTTCCCAGCGGCCTATCCCACCTCCAGCAGGGATGAGTTTGCGCCTGAAAGAGACTGAGAGCCGATTTCCTCGTGGTCGAACGCCACAGCCATCAAAATATCTTCACGTCCAGCGCACTGCTGATCACATTCTTTGCCAGAGCTGGCATCCACCAGTGCCTCAAAGGCAGCGAAAGTAGAGGCCAAATTGTCTAGGCGCGGGCTCTCAATAAACTCTTCGTAAATTCCGGATATTCGACTTGGTGTAGCGTCCATTAAACAAAAGTCCCAATCAAGCAATGCCGCATCCGGCATTCCTAAAGTTCTGGCGCGTAAAGACGCAATATAGGACAGCTCTTTCATCTGCAATCCTACGAAACACTTCTAGGGGCCAAGATTCGGACCAAACTCCGTGCAAGGACCTTCACGAGACAATCAGAATAACACAGCGGCGACCCTGATGTGACACTCTTATGAGCCCGGAGTCCGGAGGAACTCACTTGCCTACAAGACGAGCTAATGCTGGGGGCAGCCTCTGCTCAGCAGTCTTAGGGCTGTCATCTGAGTTGCTTGAAGCCGTCCCGAGTTGATCCGCTATGGCAGAGCATAGGACAGGCTGAAGGTGGTTCTCCTGCGCACGGAAACGTCAATAGGTCCCATGTTGATAGTAGATCCGATTACCAAAAGCCCTAGTTGATCACGCATTTTCCCCCCGTCAGCTGCTGTACACATTCGGCATTCCGGTGCTACTAAAATACGAGAAGCAGACTTATTAAAAAGGGCCCGGGTGGCCGATTGTAGATGTGTAGGTAGTAATGGCAGAAGCCCCTTTCCTTTTAGGAAAGATGTTGATGATGCATACGTGAATACATATATCCTTTCAAAGCGACAGCATGCCACGCGATGGCAGAAAGCGGCTTCGGCCATCTCTCCTAATACACCAACACCAAAATTCATTGAAGCACCAATAATTTCACATGAATCCAGCCCTACTTTGTTGATCTTGAATGCCCCTATTTCTTCTGCAGTTTGCAGGTGGATGGCGAGGTTGGGCACATAGAACAAGGGTCGCTCGAATCGAAGTAGCCTCTCAATCACCTTGTTTTCTGCGAAGGAGTGGAGATGGCACGCAACTAGGTGTCCTGTTGGCCAATTTAGAACAAGTACATCAGCCACTCCCCAAAGGCATCCAGCAAGAATTCTCCAATCTTTGCATGACCCAGTGTCGCCGTAAAGCCAAGCAATGTCATGCACACACGCAAACAACCACGTCACTGGTACGGAGGGGAGCGGTTCATGACGGCCACACCTTTGCGTAGGACGACTTTCCCCGCCATGCCAAGGCCCCTGTCAAGCCAGGTGTGCCAGAGGCCCCCACCGTAGCATTCCACGCTTCCCTGAAGAGCGCAAAATGCAGCCGATGCGCCCTTCCTTCTGCTCGCGTGTCTGCACTAACACATGGATGGGTATACACGCTGTTGGACGTGCTGTTGCAAGGAGCAGGCGGGCACACCATGTGGTATCCTTCCTTTTCTGCAAAGGCACGAGGCCTCAGACGCAGGCAAGGAGAGTCAGAATGTGTCGCTGTGACGCAAAAGCCACCATGCGATTCCTTCGTGAAGTTCTCCCCTGAAGGGAGGCGCAGCGCATCAACACCCACCTGGTCAAAGCCATAAGACATCCAACTACGGTTTCGCAAGGTGTCAAGTAGCGCCACTTGTGCCGTGGGACAGCCTAAGGCCAGCTTGAATTGATGTCATAATATTTTTCGAGGTGTACTTTAATTTAAGGGCGAGGCTTATGAACAGACGTGCAAACAGGCTCTGAACACTACCGGAGGCGAACTGCCAAGAGATGCGCAGTGTAGGGAACAGGGCGATTCGACAGCAGATGCCTTGTAGATACTTACCAACCACAATTGCTGCAATGCAAGAATCGTTTCTAGTGACGAGGTATTTGCCTCCCCTAGTCATTTTCCAGCTGGTCCTGGAGGAAGAACAGCCAGATAAGGGCCAGGTCATAAACAGGCCTCAAAATGCACCGGCAAGGCCAGGGATCGCACCTGCCTGGTTGTAAATAAGCGAACGCTCTGGACTAGGCAGCCATGGCAGCAGAGAATCAGATGGGACCAAGTGAGGGTTACCGCTCTTGCAGCTCTTCGAAGCCAGCAGCCGTCAGGATCTCCTTGATTGCCTGCACTGAGTGGTAGGGAGAGCCTGTCTTGTTAACAAAGTGAATAAACCGCTCGGCTAGCGGCCTTGCCTGCTCTAGTGCCATCCTGCAAACACCCACCAGGGCCAACCGGCCGAACAGGGCTAGCGTTACCTTCAGTTTGTGTATCTCTAGGGTCTAAAAGATACCATGACAGCTCCTGATCGCCAAGAGAGTCGGCATGCCGAAGGCTTAAGGACAGGTTTAACGCAGAAGATGTGGAAAAAGCGAAGCAAGTATAATCACTCAGCAAGGCGTCCCCAAAATGCACACGAACTTGTGGGTATTGGAGGAATGAAGATACAATGGTACACATAGAGCACACAAAGTGCTATTATTCGTAGCTTTGTGTTGTAAGAAATGTAAACTTCCCGAGTTTTTTGATGGGTTCTGAACCGTGGGGGCGACGGGCTCCAGTGTCGTCCAATGGGTCAGTCAACTGCACTGCATTGGCCTGTTGCAGGGCTGATGAGATAGTGGGGAGCATAGCATCCACTCTTCAAGAGCCACAAGTCTATAACTGAGAAATGTTTTGAAGCCGTTGTATTATGGTTGCCTAAAGAATGGTATTACTGGCGTGCCCTCTCAGGCCTTTCCATAGACCAACACCAAGCCCCGATTGCCATCGTGCAGCTTTGTCTGAGCTCCAGCTTGAGACTTCTCGCCCTTTGTACTAGAAACATTCGTATCTATTCACTCGTCTCAGCACTTGAGCCTCACTAATGAAAAAATATGTAAATCACGGTAATCTGATAGAGGGGGCCCACGAGGGGCTGGTGGTGTAGGGGTATCACGTTCGCTTCGCATGCGAAAGGTCTCGGGTTCAATTCCCGACCAGTCCACGTTTGTTTGTTTTGCGTGCTACTCGCTGGTTCATGGAAAGCCTCGTATGTGGCTATTTAAAGGCTTTTCGCTCAAAATAACGAATTAACTATTGCTTGTTTTGGAGACCTGCATACAGTAGAAGCTCTGTATGGGGGGTAAGAGGTGGCATTAGTCGCATTCGTCAGCGCTTTCGCGCGGATAGCAATGATTAAACAGATGTTTTATTTCACTGGAAGACGGCCAGAAAAATGCGTGTCGAGACGTTGTGCGCTTTGTACTTGCCGAAGACGTTCAGAGACACATACATTAACCCAACGGTGGAATTTAGAGGTGAGGTTCGCAGCTTTGTCGAGCAACAGTGTCCGCAATCACACATAGAAGGAAGAACGTGAGATCTGACGCCAAACTGTCTCGTTCTATACACAGTCCGCATTTGTTGTGATTTGCCCCTACACAACCCCCTCAGGGGTTGCGGTGCAGCATTTGCCGTGCCCCCCTGTATTTGCATATTGTCTGTATTCTACATAGGAAAATCCGTTAGCACTGTGGCCGTTTGTGAGGGCAGCACGACACGGTTAGCCCAGCAGCCCAGACAGGAACTAAACAGGTGACCAGCATTGAAGGAACGTAGTTAAAGGAAAGTTAGAAGTGATCTTTTTTTATTAGCATACCACTATCTAGACAGTATATACGTCAACATGTGAACCACAAAGGAGACGAACTTTTGGGGGGACTTGGTCTCTTATTTGTTCAGTACTCGGTATAGAATTAAAGCAAGTTTTACTACACAGCATGCGTCATATATTGGAGGAGGTGATAAATTCTGCATATCGCTTCTTCCGAGGCCAACATTCTCCAAGAGGAAAAGAAAGCAAATTCTTCTTTTTATAGCTTTAGAGAATGCGTTGCCTCCTGCTATGCCAATACATGTTGACGTGCTCAGCTGACAGCGCCACCCTTGGACGATGCGTGCAAAGCTTGACAACGATCTACTTGCGACCCGGGGGTCCCCCGTTCCATCTCGGTTTGACCTGAGTAACGACCTAGCCCCCCGCACCAGCTAGCCGAATAATATTTTCAAGGTCTTTGATGGCACTTGCCTGTTACTTATGCGCTGACTTCATCGAGGAACACGGAAAGGTAAGCTGGCGCAATGCCAGAGTGTCATTTTCTCATTCCTCGCTGTCCAGTTCTGACTGATTCTTTAAATCTGAGATCCCAATCTGTGAAGGGTGCCAACAACGGTAAATCAGTGCACTCTGACTTTGTGATCTTGTAATCCTATGGTGTAGATGCAAAGCCGAGCACCCACGCGACCGTTGCACGGGCAAAGGTAGTCCTGCAATGGAGCAAAAGGGTGTTAAAAACGCTTAGGACTTGCGGCATGGGTGTGACAGTTTGCTTTTCGGGAAGAAGCAACACACTTTAGAAAAGGTTTTCGATTCTCATGTTTTCGCATTTAGTGTTGCTGGGGGTCACCTGCTGGGTGCCCCCGACTGGGGCTGTCAAACTGGGGGCCCTTCTGCATGCGCTTCCTGCTGGAAACGTAGATGAATTCATATTGGTTGTGTTTGTATAGCATCTTTTTACAGTTGCCTACCAAATCGCTCTTGTAGCAGCTCAAGGGCGTGTGGTTGAGGCACTTTCATTTTCCTTCTGTTGGTCTGTCCTGGAGCCCTTCCTGTGGAACACTGCAGTTTTGCACTGCCAGTCACATGTTGCCCAACGTGGGCGCGTCCCCTTGAGTTTTTTGAGGGATTTCGTGGGTCTCGAGGGCGTATAGCGCTTAGCTACTCTCGTGTTTCCCTTCCCTCTATGCAGCAACGCACTGCTGTGACAGTTCTTGTTCGTGGTTTCCTTTGCCTTCTTCATTCGTACTTTCCGGCACCCAGCGACGTGCAGTTTTCCCATGCGCACAAATCTAAATGAGCGATGCAGAACAACGGCAAGCGGGCGGTGCTCGACATGGGCACAGGTTGCATAAAGGCCGGATGGGCTGGCGAAGGACGAGCGCGCTATGTCTTACCCACATGTGCTGGAGCGGTCCGTCGCCGGCCGCAGCTGTACCTAAGTGAGGAATGTTACGCCTTGCAAGAGTACATCTGCTCTCGGCCTAGTCAGGGGGGCCTGTGGGCTAATCTGGAGATGCTGCGAGACATCATCGACATGTCCTTTGGCCGAAAGTATCTCGGAACCGATCCCAAAGAATTAAGCGGCGTGGCCCTGACAGAGCCTCTCCTTACACCGGCCCCCCTTAGACACCACATTAGTGAAATCCTATTCGAGGACTTGGGTGTGGAGAGGCTGTCCATTGTTGCTGCGCAAGCCGTTGTTCCCTACGCCTTCTGGGGTATGGGGTGGGGGTCCCATGATATGTGTGCTCCCCCTCGAGCTAAGCGCATGGCCATTACTTGCTATAGCGGGCCCGATCTGGATCCTCAGGAACCTTCGGGCCCCGTGGGCGGCCCCTTGAAAGGAAAGGGGGCACCTTGCGCCGACCCCTGTTTTTCTCCTCGGCTTGCAGCCACTACCCCGTCAGCAGAAGGAGTAGACCTAAGTATGACGGGCCACGTCAGCCCTGGTCGCAATCCATTCGGCTTAATCGTCGATGTCGGGTTTAGCGCCTCGCACGCAGTCCCGGTAGTGAACTACACGACCTTGGAGGCCTCGGCGCTGCGATCGGAGATCGGAGGCACCCATGCCAATGCCTACTTAAAGAACCTTCTCCTCACGCGAGGCCTCAGCCTCGAGAAAAATGAGCTCTTCGCGCAGAAGGCAAGCCAGCTCCCATGGCCTAGGCAAATCTGGCCAAAACGGGCACTCCCAGCAGGGCCGCCGGTCCTCCGCACTGTAGAGCCTTTGTCTATACGGGGTCCCTACTGTGGAAACGCATGCATGCAGGTTCCTTTGATGCATTTCTTGCTATGCGAAAAAATTAGAGGTGGTCGCAGCTCGGAAAAAAATGGTTTTTGCCGTCTGCGTTCGTCCCGTTTTGCGGTGTGTATACAGCTCAAGGAGGAAACGTGTTTTATTGCGCGAGATCCTATGGGAGTTCTAAAACGCCTTAGCACTCTTCCGGGGGGCAGAAGGGCGGCTCATTTGGGAGGGCCCTTGCTTGTGGAGAGGGAGACCCCCGATTATTCATTATCTGTGAGTGCTGGGCTACACCTAGCCATACAGCTACGTCGTCCTGCTTGCTGCCCTGAGCCACAGGGATTGTTAAGCTCTCTGTGGCTGTGAGAAGGCGGAGAGGGAGCCTTCAGAAGCACTTTATGCCACTGCAACTGGGTATTCAGACCCTTTTCTTTGGTGACCCCAGGCGACTCATTTTTCCTGTGTTCTGTCTGCCACAGAAGGCGCAACTGGCCACCTACTTCCACACGCACTCTCCCGCACCCATCCCGGACTTATCTTCTCTCAAGGATTCTGGCGACTCTCACGCACGAACTGGCAGCACAAATGACAACCAGCACATTGGTGGCAGTGGGGAGACAGCCACGAAGTGCTCGACACCCTCAGCAACATCGAGAGACCCTCACCCACCCTCCTCAGCAGAGGTGTCCTGGGTCGCACCCGCTGCTCCCACGAGGCCTACAGTAAAGCTGACGACAGAAAGGCTCATAGTGCCCGAGATCTTGTTTCATCCCCAAGGCAAGATGCTAATTCAGATTTTCTTTTAAAAAACTCACCAGCCTCCCTGTCAGAGCCCCTCACTCTGTTCTCTGTAGGTTGTGTCTGAGGCTCGTTTTTCCTCGTTTTCGGTTTGCCTGCGGTATGCGCAAACATGCGCGGACTTCGGAAAGCCTGTAGGCAGTGTTCGCCTGGTGTACAGCCAGCGCATCTGGGCATAAAGGCAGGCCCTCCCAAAGCGTGCTTTCTGTGTCGCGGTTGCGGTGTGTCTCTTCTAGGTGGACGCTTGCTCTCATGAACGACAGTACATTTGTCCATGCTCAGTCCATCTTGCGCGTGTCTTTGAGTGCTGAGTTGCAAGAAAAATGCTGGGCTTGTATACTTTTGTACCCCTTTGTGAATGCGGTGTATGCGGGTTCCGGATCTTCAGACGGAGGTAGTACAGAGTGTGGCGTCGCGGAGCTTATATACCGCGCGATATGCAAGGCCCCCATCGAGGCGCAACCCTTTCTGGCCTCCCAGATCTTTCTCGTTGGCGGCAGCACCAAGTTCTGGGGTTTTAGGGAAAGGCTGTGCAATGACCTGCGGGCTATGCTACCCGAGGTAATGCGTGCCTCTGTGCCGGGAGTTAGAGTGTCCTCTCCCTCGTCTCTGCCTGATCATGAGGCCAGCCGTCTATCTGTGTTCGTGTGTGTCTGCCCATCTCTTTGGCTAACCTGTCCGCTCATCTGTGCCCTATTCTGGCTTTGCTTCTCAGTGCCAGCTGCCTCTGTGCTTCTTGTATTCTGGGGCAGTTGCTTCTGTGAGGGGGCCCGATGAGTTTCCATGCACCCTGTTGTATCCACTTTCCTCTTTCACTTGCATGTGCCCTCACTCATGTCTGTGCCTGCTGCCGCAGCACTGGCCAATTCACATATACCAGCACGAAGACCCTCAGCACAGTGCTTGGTTGGGTGCCAGCAACTGGGCTCACGATGACGGCGTGTACCTGCAATTCTCAGTGTCGAGGCAACAGTTCCTCGAGACCGGACTTATGTGAGCCCTTTCTGCACTATTCATGGCAGTCCACCTTTCCGCGCACCCCTTAGTATTACAGGTGTGCACCTGGCCCTTACCTTACCACGTCCCTCCACTGTTTCTCGTGTTGATACAGTGAAGCGGCCCCCAAATCTAGCGAGGAGGGCTGCTGGACATCCACGCAAACAAAATAACAGCTCTTTTCACTTAAATTATTGTTTGTCTTGATGGGCTCTCGCCATCGGCTGTGCATACACCCCAAGTCGACTAGCCAGCCCAAACGGGTGCAACTGCTGGATACCATTAAATTCGTAGCCCTCCTCATGGAACGCACGCCCCCAATCAACGCACACCAAACACACTCGGCGGGCAGCGCCCCTGATTCGCCAGAGGGGCATCTTTGGCTCTAGCAGCAATACTTCCTGCTACTGCATCCCCGCTCGTGAGCCCCCATAGACGTAAGGCCCACGGTTTAGCTCAGGGTTTGTAGGACTTATAGATCGGGTACTCGTCCTCTGCTTGCTGGAGCCTCTCCTGAACAATCTGTCTGAGCTCTTCTTCATATAGATGCCCCAGACGTCGCAGCCACACCCCAAGAGCTTCCACCTCGGGCAGGCCCCCAGGTGGCCCTTGGTCTCCCCACGCCCCTACAAGAGCCCCTGTGTCTCTTCCAAGATGCTGCAAGACTGCAGGAGCTGCAGATCGGATCTCCAATAACTGCGACGGAAACTTCTGAGCCTCATTCTCCTCTTGTTGGCACTGGCGCTGCCATGTGTACAGCTGCAGCGCCGGCACGCCCTGTAGCTGCAGCGGCGGTTGCTGCTGTAGCATAAACCGGAGGGCCCTTTCGTTGTGTCTTAGCTGCTTCATGTTGCACGCCATTCTGCGCTGCTTGAGGAGAGCTCGCCTTCCCCTCGCGATAACAAGGCTGTTCGTAACTCTAACTCCAGTTATTGGATATAGAGGAAGCCGGATTTCCTCTCCTCCATGACTGGGGAAGTCCCCATGGGCCCCCAGGGCCTCCTGGTGCAGCAAGCCCAGGGCAGAGACGAGGGCTTTTGAGCGAGGATCCCACGCTGTACAGTATAGCACACCACAAATATCATTGCTGCCGCTACTCTGCTGTTGCAGCAGCAGCTCCCCAGAGTCCTGGGGGATGGCTCCTCCCTTTCCCCAGTCTACAAAGTTTAGCAGCGGGATCTCTTCGGGGGGGTTCCGCGCCGTCGCCGTGCTCGCGGGAGGGTGCTCCGACGCGGCAGAACTGACAGGGGCAGCTTGGAGATGTGAATGAGGTAGGAGGAGACTGGAATGAGACCGTAATGGAGAGTGTGTGCATGGGAGAGACTCTCCGAACCCCTGAGAGACCCCCAGGAAGGCCGGGTATGCGCTGTCTCGGTATTTGCCCCGGATCACAGCCGCAGCCGTGGCTGCAGCAGATGTCCACTCGACAAGTAGCAGCAGCACACGGCACGTCAACGGAATGGACATCGCGAGGCAAGGGGGGGCCCCGGGGGCCCCTGGTTTCCTATATGATGCCGTGAGAGAACACACGAGAAGCCTCAGTGGCATTCGCCCACCAAAAGTGCAGTCATAGTGCGCCGAAAAGTGACTTTGCCTAGGATTTGGGGGTTGGAGAGTCTTCGCTGTGGAGCCACCCTTGTACTCTGAGCACTTCAAGAGTCAGAGTGGAAATCAAATGGCGAATGCCGCGGTATTCGCCACTTAACCCGGGTGTTTCTGGGTATTAGCAGGTGAACTGCTGCACGACTAACTTCTTCTCCATCGGATTTAAGCCCCGTGGAGCCACAATTTATGCTGGATGGGCCACTTGGGGGGCCCCCAGGGGTACCCATCAGGCGATCCCAAGAAGGCAACAGTTGTTGCTCTTTTGCTAATCCAGAAACCCATCTGGTCTCTCTAGTGTATGTGAGAAATCCAACTCCACATACTTAATAATGTCTTTCTTTGAAGAGAGTTCGTAACATCACGCCTAGATTCCTACAACTCAACCCTGCCCACTGTACTGTTGCATGCTGCGGAAAGGCATACCTTCCTGTGAAAAATGCATCAGACTGCACCAAATCATACGGTTGCACGGCAAACCATATTTGCGCTTGGATGTATACTTGATTAGAGCAGCAAATGACTTGAGATGAGGATCATCGAGAGGGGAAGAATGCTCACGTTTTCTCCATATTCTCTCATAAGAAACAGCGCTTAACAACCCCTCACTGATGGTGTGGTCAAGTGTAGTGGACCTTCTGCAGCTCTGAACTTCGATAGAATAACACAACATATTTTTTCATGGTAGGGCAGGTAAACCCTCTGGACACCGATTTGATGCTGCAAATATGAAGTGTGTGTTTGTATCGCCTTATTTTCTGATGTGCAGCAAACTCTACAGCACACGGTAGCTTATGTCTGAAAACGCGAGCAGGAGAATTTTTCCAAGAGTCATGTGGCACAGCTGTTCTTTAAAACTGAAACACGTGGGCGCAGTGACACTCCATCTGAGGTCTCGGTAGGAAGCCTATTCGCCCCCAAGACCAATATAAAGTTTGACTAAAATTGCTGATCGTTGTTCCAAAGAAGCTGCTTTTTCCCCTGGCCTCAACCCTCAGGTTCTGCCTCTCGTGGACAGGTTTAGAGAGCTAGTGTGCTAATAGCCACATACTCTAGGCACTCCAGACATTCACCGGTGATTGCACGGGCCAGTGATATGGCAATTGTAGCTATTGTTGCAATCGAATTGCCCATCCATTAGATTTGGCTTCAGCAGGCGAAATGCGAAGTAAATACGTCCACTTGTGTAGTTGCATTTTGGGATTGCTGGCATTCTATGGTCTCTCGAGTGCTGTAAGCCGTGACTTTCTCATGGATCGAGGCTCAGCTGTTCCTTTTGATCAAATAACCTTTGCAGTCACGCGGCCGGCAACATAGGCAACGTCTTAGCAGCAATCAGGCCAACCGTTCGTATACTGAAAGATATGCAAGCCGATCTGATGTCTTTGGTAGCATTCATACTTACCCACTCAACCAGACGAAACAGCTCGGAAGCCAGAAAGTAGCCAGTGTCTCAGCACTTATACCATTTGCATCTGCGATAACTTATCAGTACTATCTCTTCGCCCTGATATCAACTAGATGCCACCGATCATCTCATTGCTTGTCCCATCCTCAATTGGCCCCTCGATAAGCTACGCCATCCCGTATCCCCCATGCACCATTTGGGCAGCCTCTAGTTATCAACTAAAGCCATTTGACGCAAGCATATAAAAGGGACATTCTAGTGCTTCTCGCCACAGTGTGAGCCTGGGGGGAAGTCCAGCATGTAGGTTTGGATGACACACCATCTCCTTAATGTATGAAAGCCCAGCTTCTAGAAAGTGCGCCAAGTGGCCTGAAACGACCACCTCTTCGTGAGATAAAAGGTACCGCTGCTGGTTTGTAAGCAAAACTGAGTGTTAGTAATGGGTTTCCTAGTGAAACTAAGTCAGTAACTCAGTTGATAGCGGATTCCAAGTTGCAAGCATTTTTAGTGAGTCAGAAAAGATGGATATGCTTCACTCGTGTCGATGAAGGCAGTACAGGCGAACATTGGCCACAGCGTAACCCCAAAGGCGGTAGAAACAGATAGCTTAACAAATAACGCCCAGAGCAATGGACGAATGCTGGAGTACTTCGTTCCTGCCAGTTCCTCAGCGACGGCAAGGTGTGGAAAAGACGTTGAAGAGAGAATACAGTGTTTGCCAGCGTGAGGTGTACCACAAAGAGCAGAAAGCAAAACCTTATAGTCTGCCCAGATGTTTCAGGGTCCAAGTATTATTAGTAAGGCTATAGTGGCTAGTCTTATGTTCTCACTGTGTACCGCTATATTGTGTTCAATTTCGGATCTATGATAACCCAATGATTTGAAGTTGCACGTTCTCTGGAAGCGGAGTGCTTAGACTATCTTTCTTAATTTCATCACATTTATCATCAGAAACCAGCTTGCACTGCTTCAAGGGTTGCGTTTGTGGAGTGTCCTATGGTGATCCGCATACATGAAGGAATTGAAGAGGCGAAGGACATTAGAAGGACTCCTAAGCACATACACGAAGATAACAATAAAAGGAATCAACAAAATAAGTTTTCTAGCAAGGCTACAAGAGTCCTTCGGCTAAAGGCTATTTCATGGGCAAACACATGTTGGGAGTGGATCCTGAGATGGCCACTGAGTTGGGTGATGTAGTTGCACTTGCGGCAAGTATGCATATACTATTGGAAAACCTTGAAGGGGCTGGAAAGGAAACAAAAAAGGGTCAGCAGCGGCGAATCTAAATGAAGTGATGATGCACTGCTCTCTTCCCTCTCCTATTAGAGGCTGTGTGGGCTAAAATATCAAGTTGGCACTTGATTTAGCACTACTTCTGCATAGAAAAAGCTGATGCTTTCTGTAAGTGCCCACCTCTAGAGGCCCAGTTGTGCTAATAATATTACAGCGGGATGCGTATTTCTCTGTTCTGGAATTAAAAGTAAGCTCAACTAATCATGGGTGCCTTCATACTATGGGCAGACTTAGCTACGTATGGGTGCTTGCGGCTTCTCAAGCGCATTGGAACGGCTCTAAGGCGTTTCTGCTGCATTTTAGTTTGACTTGACGGTGTGTGTAGCATATCTGATGTGCGGAGTTTGTGTAGTGAAGCTTAGGATGGGCTGGGTCATGGAAGGGTCTGTGAAGCAGAAGGATGTGCTTATCAGGTTTGCACTTCTGTCCACTCTCAGGACTGCTACTGTGTTGACATCTCTGGCGCATCTTCTCCCGATGGGCTGCACACCTGTAGCCCACTGATATGTAATGTCATTTGCCCCTGGCCGTACTCCGAAGGTTGTCTATCCTTGTTGGTAACTAGCTCTCTATTTAGCATCACACCGATATCAGCCCATATCTAGAAGCTCGAGCTCGAATCATATTCTCTCTTGCAGAACATGTAGCCTGCAATTTCCGAGAAGTGCAGTGAGAACTGCAAGAAGAGCGCAGAACTGCTCTTGGTAGACCGGCATGCTAGCGCTGGTCACAACAAACAGCCAGACACGAATAGGGATAAGAATCAGTGCTTGCTTGCGTCAGCCGGGAGTCGAACCCGGGTCGCCTGCTTGGAAGGCAGGTATCCTAACCGTTGGACTACTAACGCTACGCTGCTCTGGGTCTAGAGTCACATTTGACCTTGTACATTAGTTAATCTTCATTATGCATAGGATGAAATCGAAATATGACACTTCTCAGTTTGACAGAGGAGTGGATGTTTCGGCTATAGGTTGCGGCGACAGAGTACACGCATTTGAGGAAGAAAAGAACTGTGGCACTTCAAGGGCCGCGAATTTGGCTAGTTATGGATGCATATTATTGTTCTTTGAGTGATAATCGATTCAACATTGGTATAGCTTTTTTATATTTGAGGTGATCATTGTAGCCGATGTTCGTGTGCATGACGCTCTACACATTTTGCCCTGTCACCCTTTCATGAGCTTACTCCGTTGTAGTAGCGGCACAAGAAAAGTTGATGATCATGTTTTCTGGGGAAGCGCGTAATAACAACAACGCTTATAGTGAGTAAGGACTGCAAAGGCGGAGAGGCAAACATGCGTCAGCCGGGAGTCGAACCCGGGTCGCCTGCTTGGAAGGCAGGTATCCTAACCGTTGGACTACTAACGCGACGTCTCCCTATTGCGGTTGTCTTGTTCTCTCGGCTCTCTATTTAGCACGCTGAAGCATTTGAATTTGGTGAGAATGCCGTAGCACAGTGGCAACACTGTCATTTGAACTGTTTCTTACCGTATCGCGGCATTTTGGCATGGTTGGTGGCCTTCGAACAATAAAGGCTCGTCGTTTTGGCTAACATGCGCTGGGGCTTTCCTGTATTTGTTGGTTGGTGCGATGGCAAGGCTAGTGTTGAAACTTCAAAGAAAACTTCTACCTTACCCCACGGACTGGCCTTGAGTGTTTGTTGCAACGTGGCTTCCAACTTGATTCCTGTGCAGGGACCCACCTTGCACGGCCCCTGATATCGATAGCCGAGAAACATGGCGTGATACACCTTCTACTGTTCGCGCCTGCAGAAAAAAGCGCTTCTTTGCCAAAGCAGCCGTAACCGGGGCCTTTGCTTCACCTTATGGGGATGAGGGCGAAGAGGAGACGCCCTGGAGACAGGCCAACTTGGGACTCTCCGGCACAACTTTATCGCCTTCTGTCTGTTGATTGATGCCTCAAGCCTGTAGTGTGCTTCTTGTTTTAGACTGAGTGAGCCCTGTGAATGCGGGCTCTATCTATTTCATAAGGGGTAACTCTTCCTAGGCGCACTTACTGCTGCTCCTTTGTCTTGTATGTAGACCCCCATTCCCCACGGTTTCTCGAGGGAATTTCTTCTTTCTTAACCCAGCTGATGCAGAGGCCTCCCGCTGTTTCCATTCCCGGGAGACAGCTAACATTGGGGCCCCGGCGGGTGCGGCGTGCTGGCCTCATTTTTTTCGTGCTGGTTTTCCTGCCTCTGGGTGGGAACCCTTACAGGTGCAAGGGGCCTAAGGCGATAGGGAGTGACGTCGGCTCTGGTGTCTCCGCTGAGTTTTATGGGCTTGGGCGAAAACGCTATACATCCCCCCTAAGCGGATGGCCTCCGTCGAGGCCCGGGGGCATCGCCAGAGTGGCTGACGGTCACTGCGCCTCTTCGCTACACGCATCTGTCGACACGACTACGAAACCTTCGCACCCTGCAGCAGAAGGGGGTCTAAGTGGGGAGTCAACAAGAAAGGCCCACACGCAGCCGCGTCCCCCCGCCAAATTTGTTGCTGAGGAGCACTTTCTTCATGAGCTGCTCACGAGGATCTTTACGCTGCATCTGCGCATGCAGGACTTGCTGCAGTACCAACAACAACAATCGGTGCAGCTCCGTTCCGAAGATTCTGCAGTTTCTCTTCCCACGCTGCACCTTTACGAGAAAAAAGATGGATCTTGCGTGGCTGCAGCAGACATTGTTGCCCAGGTGTTCATCCTAGCGTCTTTGAGGGCACGGTTCCCTGACGACGTATGCATAGCTGAAGAGACAGCTGACTTGTTTTCCCCTCTGCTGCCTGAAGGGGCCTTTCTCAGGGGCCCTGCAGCGAGCAAGAGGGGTCCAGGGCAGCAGCTGGTGTCCGACGTTCAAACTGCAGTACAGACAGCGGCTGAGCAGCTCTTTAAGGAGTTGCGGCTTCCAGAAAAGCTTCTCACGGAGAATGGGGCCTCACCTGCATCGATAAATAGAAACGCCTTCACAGATAGAGGGCATTATGCTTCTGCAGCCACATTGGAGGCCTCGGGGCCCCCTGTCTCGACAGTACTCCTTGCGACAAGAGGGGCACCCTGGCACTTACTCCGGGAGGTCGTCTGGCTGCTCGCTAAGGGATCGCCCCAACACCTTCTTGCCCTGTTACGCGAAGGATTTCAGGAAGGCCTTGCACCAGAAGCAGTAGAACGGGCAGCGTGCCTGCGAAGAGCAGCGGCTGCCACAACAATGGAAGGCCGCGAGCACCTAAAGGTTTCCTCGGCAGTAAGTGATGCTGAGGAACCGCAAGGAGGCTGGGCTACAGCTCTTTTACTACGAGGACTGCAGCGGTTGCTGTGTCGCCCTGGGGCCTTTCTTTCAGAGCAAGCAGCAATTGCTTCCCCTGAAACAGGAGCAGCAGCATCCGTCACATCAAGAGCACCAGCTGCAGGAGAAACACAGGGGCCAAGGGGTTTGCGGTGCTGGTTGATCGATCCCATAGACGGCACACGGGCCTTCTTTGAGGAACAGAAGCACCACTGCTTCTCAACGGCGGTTGCACTGCTGGTGAGTCGGGAGCAGGGGCACACAGCAGGCGAGCTACCTAAAGTGGTGCTCGCGTCCATTTGTTGCCCCTCGTATGACCTCTGGAATAGCTGCCGAGGCAGCAATATGCTGCCTTTGTGTTCACCCGGAACGTCAAAGAGCCCTGCACCAGCCGACAAGAGCGGCACTCCTACAGACAGTGCTGCTGACGCCGCGCCTTCTGATCCTGAAAGCGGCATCAGGACCCTCCTCAGGGGTCACTCCAACGCGAGGGAAGGTGCTATCGCCGGCGTAGGGGCTGAAAACAATGAAGAGAGGCCCTTGCTCTGCGCGGAACGCCTTAGGGGCTGCGTCCTTACGAAGGCTGAGGACCTTCCCGCGAGGCTCACTGTCCGAGATATTCGCTCTGGGGCCTTACTACAGCTTGTGCAGCAGCAGGAAGAAGAGGAGGTTCAAGGGCAGCAACAGCAAGCTGCTCCACTGCAGCCAGTAGCAGGCAGTACCACAGGCGATTGGCCTTGGTGCATAAATCATGGCCATCGTGGGGCTCGTCTGCCTGCTGCGGCAACTGGAGCAGCAACTCCAGAAAAACCCTCACAGTCGGCAGCAAACGCTTCTTCCGTCCCATTTAGGTGGACTGTCTCTACGCCGAACTACGAGCGAATGCATAGCTTGCTGCAGGAGCACCTGTCCTCCCCTTTAGGGGGGCCTGCACCTTCATGGACAGTGCCCCCTGAGGAGCACCCTCTAGAGGACTTCGGGTCTGGACGGTTGTATGCGATGCCTTATGTGCCTTATAGTAAAATACCTCCAGAGGGCCTGGCCACTCCGACGAAGGGTGATTCATCTTCAAGCCGTGTGCCGAACAACCTGTCGGATCGGCGTTTAGCGAGAGACGCCCCGTCGGGGAGGGCCTCTAAGGGCCAACAGTTTCTGGCACTCAGGTGCGGGCACATTGTGAAGTACCTCGCAGTGGCCTTAGGCCATGCAGACGCCTTCCTGTTACTTCCCACTCGCTACCAGAGAAAGCTCCCTGTGGGGCCTGCTGCTGGCTGTTTAAGCGCTCACACTGCGCATCTAGTGCAGCCACAAGCCAGAGCTCATGACTCGTTTGACGGGCTCTCACCTGCACACCCAAGCCCCCAGGGGGAAGAGGCCACTGGGAGAAAAGACGGGGCCTCTGTGGCTTGTGGGAGGCCTCTGCTCATGGTGTGGGACCATGCAGCTGGCGCTGCTATTGTCGAGATGTTAGGAGGCGTTGTCTTAGATTCTGCGTGGCAGCGTGTACAGAGCTACTGCTACCTGCCCCCTAAGTCTCCTTCGGATGTGGCCAGCCGCTCCCCTGAGGCCTCCGCACAAGGGTGGCAAGCCACCACTGCAGCGCGTGCAGCTGGGAGTCCGCAATCGGGGGCCCTTCTGACCTCATTCTTGAGAACCAACCCATTGCCTCTTCAGGAGACCGCGCTGCCCCCAGTGGCCTTCGCACTCAGGGGTGAGGCTCTTGTCGCCGCTCGTAACCCGCAGGCGGCGGCCAGGGCGTTTGCGGCGCTGGGAGCACTGAAGAACTCTTACTAACGCTGCAACATCTGCGATCCATGGCTTGTAAACGTGCGGGGGGAATCCAAACGCTGTAGAGTAGAGCCCCCTTTGGTAAAGTCTGTGTCACGGTCTAGGATTTCTTACGCAGCGCATTTGCGGCAAAGGCATTTTGAACGCTGGCCTACCGGGGAGCCTCGATTTGCTTTCCTCCGCTTCGGCTTCGCGCGCCTTGTAGAGAACTGGGGGTGTGCAGTTACACCAGATACGGTAAAAACGGAATTCCCTGCGGTTGCTAAGGGTCTTGCCAGTCTAGGAAAACCACTGGTGCGCCTTGAAGAATCTAGACACACTGAAGATACCAACGAGAGCTGGCGGCGCGGCTGAGCCGCAATTCTTGAAGGAGAGACTACATAGAGCAGGGAGGACTGGACAGCGGCTGAACAGGAAAGAAGAGGTGGATTGGAAACAGAGTCGAGAGGCCAAAGGGCCACTAGGCGAGAAGACTGAGCACCAACATTTAGAGAAATGTACCGTAGAGAGTTGAGGGGGAAAGATCATAAGGAACGAAGTCTTCCGTAAGGAGTTTGCTCAACACTTCGTCCTACGAAGACGGTAGACCTAGCTAAAAGCCTCATTCCCTGCAGTCTTCTTAAGTGCCAGTGGCAGTCTGGCAACCCCTACAGCTGCCAAAGACTAGCACAGCAACCCTAAAGAAGTCCTAGGGGGCGTTGCCTGCAGGGCTGTACCTTAAGCTACTACACACCGTACTGCTGCTGCTGCTGCTGCTGCCGCGGTTGCTGCCCTTTTAGTTCCTTTGCACTTTGGCGGACTTGTTGAGCCTCAAATTCCTTGGGTGAGGCCACATACGGGAAGGCAGGAGAGACGTCGCCCAGCTCTTCCCCCACGGCCCTCCCCGCGTACAAGGCTACACAGGTGCGGCCATAGCGGCGATTTCTCAGGCCATTAAGCTCAAGAGGGGCCCCTGGAAAACCAATCTGTAAACAGTCAAACAATACCACGGAAAAGATGAAGTTGGTCACAAATCCCTTCGAGCTCAAAACTGGAGGGGCAGGTGCAGATATAAAGTTTGTGAATCCTCCTCTTTTTGCTGCTTGGCTGCATCCCTGTGTGTTCCTCTTTGTATCTAGCAGTGTACGAGTAGAGTTCTGCCTACCCACTGCTTTCCATTCTGCAGTGTACAGGAACTCCTTGTGCGTGTATATGTGTAAGTGCATGTGTCTTTAGGTGTGTGTGTGTGTGTATGTACAAGGTCTGGTCCTTGAGGGAGACCAATGTCCCTACGGCTGCATATTTGGAGGCAGGCTCTGTGCTCTTAGGTGCGCAGCACTCACGTTTAGGGGGAGAGAGCCCAACTCTCTAGGGTATTCTAAAACCAGCACACCTCCAGGACGCAGGAGACCAGAAAAGAGCAGCTTCTGAGGAGATGACACGACTTGCAACATCACCCATCCGTCAAAAAGGGTAGAGGCAGAGGCCCACAGGACAGGACGGGCAAAGGAACGAAGCGACAATGAGTCTCAGAGGGCGTCAAAGGATTAAAGACATGGAGGTTACATGATATAGAAGATGGGATACACAGGCTTGAAGAAGTGGGACATGCAAAGAGGAGGGCCAGCAGGCTTCACGGAGACAGTCTCGTGTGTCCTGACTGAGGGACAAGTACATCAAGAAGCAGTGCAAGAAGAAACAGGTAGGTGCATATGGGCTCTTGCGACCATCAGAAAGGCAAAAGCGCTACGAAATAGAATTCATAATGGGGGGATACGGAAACAGAGGAGCTCAGGAGAGAGGGAGGCACACCGAGAGGACAGCGCAGGCCCTCGCACCGCCCCTCAGACCACCATCGGGAGAGAAAACCTCAGGAAAAATATCCGCAAAGCGGAAAGATACCGTGCGCCTCGGCAGTCAGAAGGGAAGGCGATATCAGCAGCAAGTGGCAAAGGAAGAGGAGGCGTAGGCCAGGTAGGCGCAGTAGCAGAGTGAGACTCCGTACTTGCAAGAGGTCTCCGTATACAACCTCCGTGTAAGGAGGGCACATGAACACTAAATCAAAAGACAAGCCTTCGCTGCTGCCTTTATCTTGACCTAAAAATCGTCGTGGCGCCAGGAGGAGCTCAAAGACGCAGAGGCGCAAGACTCGACTGTCCGTACACCCCAGATGCCGCAGGTTTATGGCCGCTGCCTGCGCCGCATGATTGTATAAATAGTGCAGCTGCAGCAGTTTGCCACGTTGTGAAGCGCTCTCTGGCCTTTTCCTGCGGGCCGTTTTCTGCCGGCCTTAAGTGTACAGACAGTCGCCCAACCAAGGGAGTAGAGGGGGGCTTGCCTCGCAGCAGTCCAGAGAGCTATCAACGAGGACAGCGTACTCGGCCCCCCTCGAGATGCTCTCGATGGCAAGGGCACCGCTGCCGGAGAATAAATCCAGGACCCTTAGATAAACCACAGTCAGCGAGGACACACTCACAGGGGTATGTGTTCATACGTAGGCTTCCCTGAGAGAGAGAAGACACTTGAGGGGCTAAAAAGGGTTACGACAGCAAAAACGAAGCTGCCTACGAGGACGAATGTGCAGCATGCGCACGCCGCGCGCAGCCCTGCAGTGTACAGAGAGCAGCAGCAGCGAAGCAGCCGCAGAAGCGGTGGAGCCGCACGAGACAACCCTGGGCAGTTGCTGCCTGGATTTATTTTTTGGAAATAAACACGCAAGCAGCACGCCGTGGCAAAATGTGGTGAGGAGGTTCAGGAGGAGGGGGGGCATACACTCGCTTACCTGACGCCAGGGCGCGCGAAGACTCCTAAGCTCTGCATCATGGAGAAGACGGCCTCACGCACCTGCGATCCCGCAGAGGCGGAAGCGTGTCACTACATGCATGCGCGGATGGAGCAAACGTCGGCACGGCGAGTTAGCGAGAGGCAGAAACAAGACGGCCATGGAAGCTGCGACGATGAGGCTAAGAAGCAGCCGCAAAGAAGAAGAGGATGCATGCCAGGGTTACCTTCGCCATCATTGGTCGTGTTCCTTCCGTGCGAGGCATAAGGAGCCGCCTTCGAGCTAGACGGCCTCCTGTCACTCGAAGTCTCCCTAGCCCGTGCTCGGGAAGCGGCAGGGGAGGCAGAGCTGCGCAAAAAGCCTGGCTGCCCCCTGTTTGCGCTGACTGTGAAGCTGCCGTAGCAGCAGCAGCGGTGGCTGCTGCTGCCCCCGATAAAGTCATATGCTGCGTTGCCAGCAGCCCTGCAAGACCTGCGACAAAAGCGAACAACAGAATCTCGACACCTTAGGGTTGCACGAAAAGAGGCTCTGCGTGCTGTCTTTACCTTAGGGGTTTAGACAACACACACGGCCCTTCCACCCTTGTGCCGCTTCTTTCCGCTGCATGGCATCTGCATGCCTCTGCAAAGCCCTGTGAGGGGCTGCCGTCCATCCCTCCCTTCCATAGATAGCCTCCCGCTGTGCAACGTCGCCAGCTTCTTTCCTCTGCGCTTGCTGCGAAATTCGCCTAGCTAGAATATCCCTATGCAAGCGTTCATAGGCAGTCGTATTGTGGCTTAAGCTGCTGATGCTATTTCTCTCTCTCTCTCTCTTTCTCTCTCTCTCTCTCTCTCTCTCTCTCTCTCTCTCTCTCTCCCTCTCTTTCTCTCTCTGTTTCTCGCTCACTGCTTACGTTGCTGCTCCTGTTTCTGTTCCAGCCTCTGCTGCTGGCTCTGCTAGGGCTCTTGGAGGTGCAGCAGAGGGCTATCGACTTACTGCGTGACAGACGTTGCCTTCCCTGCCTCTTCTTCGGCTTAAACTTTGGCGGCCTAGCTATTCCTTCCAGCGCTGCTTTCGGCAAATCCCCCCAGTTCGTGCCACTGCTGCTGCTGCTGCTAGTGAGGGAATTGTTGGTGCTTACGTCGGCATTTTCTGGGGGAGGACGTGGAGCGCAGAAGAGGCGGTGGGGTGTGTAGCTCGCCAGATACGTCACCGATCCAGAAGGCCCTCCGCGGATCTTGGTGGGCCCCTTCAGAGGGACCGCAACGTCAGATGCTGCTGCTACTGCGCTACAAGATAGGTGCCCATCACGGAAATACATTCTGCAATGTTTTCTGAGGAAGCCCATGGGCATCATCACCCCGTCCCTTTGTGAGCGGCTGCCCGTCTTGACGCCCGTGGTGCGGATCATTGCGTTATTGAGGATTATTGTGCTCTTATTGATCAGTGCGCTATTTATGATGATTGAGTCGTTGCGGATCATTGAGGTGTCGCTGCTGCGGCAGGTGTATTTGTTGCCCAGGGCTTGTACCAGCAGGAGCACCAGCAGGAGCACCAGCAGTTGCATCCGAGGCACGGTTTTTCGCGTCATTGAGCCACTGGGTGCTCTCCATGGGGCCCTAAGGGGCCAAGGAGGGCCCCCTGTGTGTGCGTTGTGCAAGGCTGGCTGCAAGACCACGATGAGAAATTGGGGCCCCCCCCCTCGTTCCGCCTACCGATTGTGTCCCGCGCGTGTCTGCGCGAACACGTTCTTCATGAAGGCGGCTCGGCAGTAAGTCTTAAATAGGCGCAGAGGCCATTTTTAAAATAAAAAACAAAAGGGAAGGCGGATGTGGTCGCTGCTTTTGGCCAGGAAGCCTCCCGCAGCGGAGACTGCAGCTCCCAAGAGGGCCCCCCTCCCCCCCTGCCGGTGCCGCCTTCGCCGCTGCGCTGTCGAGTCTGCGGGGGTTCCGCGGGGAGAGCTGATAGAGCAGCCAGCGACTAACCTCAGAGTCTTCTCTGACTCTATCTATATATGCATGCAAGTGCTGAAGCTGCTCTTCCTCGCGGGAACTTTTCTCGGATCTGACGCCTTTTGCCGCGCGCATCGTCGGCGCGGCTGCCGGCCGAAGGAAACCCAACGCCAGCCCGAGCAGCAGCAGCAGCGCCACTGGAGGGATCGGTGGGCTCGCAACACACACACACACACACAGACATATTGGAACCCCAATCACCGCCACACCGCCCCTTCCCGCCGCAACAAACTGCAGCCGATACGCGCCAGCCGCAGCAGACAGCTCCAACGACGGTCGGCGCAGCAGGGCGAGAGCAGAGCAAACAAGCGCGCTGTAGCAGTCTCAACGACAGGCCTGACGGCAGCGGAAACAGAATCCTCGGTCTGCCTCGTCGCCATGCACCCGATCTCTGTGAGGACAGCCGTGGCCGCCTCTGCCATTCGGCTTTGCAGCGCGCCGCTGCTCGTCGCTGGTGCTCGCTGCTGCCCCCATCCGGCAGTGCTGCTGCAGCGTTGCTGCCACAGCACCGCCTTCGGCAGACGTGAGAGCAGCAGCAGCGGGACCAGCAGGCTGCGAACTCTCTTAGGCTCCCTGGCGGGAGCGGCTGCTGGCCTTTTCGTAGGATGGCAGGCGCATGCTGTTGCTGCAACCGCAGGGGAAGGATTCAGCGGCTCAGCTGCAGCCGTCCGGCTGTGTCCTGCAGCAAAGTATAGCCCCTCCGACTGCAGCAGCAGAGAAACCCCTACGGGGGGAGTGCAAATTTACAAGCCTGCACAAATCCAAGGTGAGCAGCACCCCCGACACAGCGCCAAGCCTTCCCACCGACGCGATCTTGGTGCGTTTAGCCAGCGCCACTGTATGCCAGTCGCATAGCACCGCTGCTCCTCAATCAAGGGGCCCACGACGACGACTCTGATGCTGCATCGTGCTCTGCGCAGCCTGGCAAGACTTCCTCCGAACCCAAGACGGATTCGTATCGCTCCAAATTCTGGCACAGCCGCCAGCAGACTACGACTCGGCCGCTGTGGCTGCCGAACCCGAGGGAGAACACAGCGGTGCAATCCTCCTAATTGAACGGTAACTGCACGCAGAATGCCCGCAGTTGGCGGTGCAGAGCTGGCGCAAGTTGCGGCCTGTCCCTCCCTGTCTCCCGCGAAAAAAATATGCTGTTTTCGCTGAGGTGCCATCTTACTCTATCTGCGCGAAATCTCTACCTTCAGCAGGCCTTTTTACACAGTGCAGAGTAACAAAGATTCTGTGTTGCCGAGCACTATCTACGCGTCGCAAGCTGCCGCTCGTGGCCACTAAAGAAAGCGCATCGTCTACACACTAGAAACTTTCTGCGATGCGGCTGTGTCTTTCTGCCTCCCTAGGTGGCGCAGCCATGAGGCTCGTGATGCTGCTGAGGCCGCAGCCCGCACACGCATTGCACAGGAGGGACAAGAGCCGCAACAACTCCTACTGTCTGAGGCGCTCGCCTGGCCTTCACGTGCGTATACACTGGATTCGCAGGCAGCCGCCCCTCTGTGGCTCGCTCTCCGCTAGCTCTCGCACCGCGCAGCACGCCGCAGCGTTCGCTAATGCGCATGTTATACTCTGGAGAACGGAGACGCACGCTCCTTTTTGTTTCCTGTAGAGCCGTATACTGTGCTGCTGTGCAGCGCAGCAGTTAGTGAGGCTAGCTGCCTACTGGCTAGCTACTATTTATGCTGGACGACCCGCTGGTGGAACGACCAGCGAGCTGGGAAGGAGGAAGCTATTCGTTGTTGCGGAAAGGGGGGCAGCGAAGTGGTGGGGGAGGGGGAGGAAGGAAGGGGGCCTTTCCGTTACGAGGCTCCACTAAGAAGGCTTTTTATGAGGCTGTCTTTTGCTTGGCTGATGGCCTGCAGACGTAGATATGCAGACCAGACACACCTTTGCGCGGCAGCTACGGGATGCTTTCCATATCGAGAGACATGTACACCGTGAAATTTTTCTCGCCAATCGGCACTCCACGCATCAGCGGCGGTTACGCCGGTTGCATCGAAAGCGGGCAGCTTCTCATGATTCAGCGAGAAAAGGAGATTTAGCAATCAAAGGATATTTAGCGATGGGGATAGACAGAAGCTCTACAGTCAGGCGAGCAGCATGAGAAGGCCGCTTCGCGTAGGGGTGACGGGTCCACAGTGCAGCACCCACGCGCGCACTGGTAGAGGGAAAAGAGGCATTTGCGGAAGAAAGGCATAATCGTGGGAGGAAGACTGACACAGCGAGAAAGAAACACAAAGTCATACACGCGGAGTGCGCACGCAGAGCCAACCGACGTAGAGGAGACGATTCATGGGAGTTTAGAGAGTTGAGAGGGAAACGGGGGGGAACAGGGGGGGGGAGTGGGCGCTTGCCTGGTTGAAAGACGCGCTCTCTGAAGTCCCTTGTGCGTCTCCTTGCATATGAACACGCGCAAGAATAGCGGAGGGATTGGTCTCTAGCAACAAGCTGCATTGCACAGCAGGCACAACACGCGGGGATACACACGCCTATACACACCACATCTAAAAGGCCGGTGTTCAAGCGCTGCCGCCGCCTATGCCGCTCTATACGCTATCAGAGGCATGATGAGCGGGGGAGCACATGCAAGAAACAAAGAAAGCCGCCTTACACACACACACACACACAGCGAACGCAACACGGGATGAAGGGCGGAGAGCAATATCGCGGAGGAGAATGCCTTACCCCTGGTCTAAGATCTGATCGAGCGCGAGCATCACAGAATCCAGATTATCAATCAGCGCCTGGCGACTAATTGTTCCGCTACGAACAGGAAAAAACAGATTGGCAGACGGCTATGAAGCCTTGGCTTTGACTCACCAATGGCAAGCGTCCCGGAGGGAGAAAGGCCGTTGCAGCAGCCGCAAAGAAAGAGAAGCGCAGCAGAAAACACGTGGCCATTGGAGGCGCGAGAGCACAGCAGAATCGACAGTAATATCGACAAGCGAAGCGCAACAGCGCTAGCAGGACGCGCGGCGTACCTGCAGAGAGAGGCAAGTACGGATCTGAGAGCTTCCACAACTTCCAGAAGGAGCAGCTCGTTTGCAGACGCTTCGGGCGATACAGCAAAGAGAAAGACGTCTCCCACCGGCAGTCCAACTGCCACCTCGCCCTCTGCTTGCAACGCATCCGCTGCAGCACAATCAAGGGGGGGGGGGCCCCAACAAAGCCACTTGCTGGCGGGTACATCACAAGCCGGCCAGACATCCAGAGCACAGCAGCATGAGGGCGTCTATCACCCCGAATTCAAGCACTACCGTCCATGTACAGCTGGAGAGAGCTGAAGAGACAGCCAGCAGCACCAAGACAACAGCGAGATGCCATCATGCGATCGAGTACCTTCTGTCATTCCCCTGATCTTGAGAAGGCTCTGATGAAGGAGGCCCTCGAGTCTCCGCTGCGCTTCAAAATCAACATACGGCCCTTGGGGCCCCAAGGCTGGGGGGATCTGGGGGTAATGCACACAGATGCGTTCCCCATCTGCATCCAAAACTAGCAGACACGTCAGTCTCAGGGGCGACTCCATGCTGTTGACGCGGAGGTGCACACGTCAGACGCTCGAGAAGTCGGGCTGCGTTGGGTAGGTATTAGCCGAGGACGACTCGGCAGACACCGCAAGAACTCAAGGCGCAAGGCTTGATGGTCCCTCCAGCGTTCCAGAGCCCCTCCTTTAGTAACGCCCTAGACGCAAAAAAGCCCAATTCACCGATCCTCGCCAATGAAAAAAGTTTGCCGGAACGCCGCTTATTTGCAAGTGGCAGGGGCGAGTTGCTTCTGCACTCTCTAGCTACCCGGTGCTACCCCTGCTGCAGGTGGTGGGTGGTAAGCTCGGGAGGGCGCCTTGGGAGTATTTGCGGCAGGTTTGAGGCAGCCACAGACCTTGTGCAGTCGCACAATTACACGGAAGGCGCGCGAATGTAGGAATATAAGGGCCAAGAGGGCTGCTCGAGCAATCCAGCGGCTGCTAATGCATGCAGCAGGTCTCGGCGAGGGAACTGACTGGACGGCTGCGATAGATGCGCGCTCTAATCGCTCATCAGGCGTATATGCTACATAATTGTCTTGCAGATAAAATTTCGGGGACCCCATAACCTGCAGCGGCAGCGACTTCAGCCCCCGTTAGTTTGTTTCAGGTAGCAGCCCTTATTATATCGGTGCTGCGCTCCCGAGCACGAAGGATAACCAGGTGCTGCGTAGGAGAGTCAGGTTGCTGAAGCCCTGTTTATGTCGCCTCATTCGCCTATTTTTCTCACTTTCTACAGAGAGTTCAAGCAGTCCAGCGCTAGCTACAGAGCTCCTAAGGAATCCCCCTCCCTGCGTGCAGGGGCGGCCGTCGGTACAGCCGCACACTCCAACAGAAGCCCGAGCCAGCAGCATTTCCCCGAACAAACAGTGTAAGCGCGAGTCTGGAAGCAGACACCTGTCTCTGCAGCAGCAGGAAAAGCGAAAAGCCCCCCCTAGAGGCAGCAAGATCAGATCCAGCACGCAAGCAAGCAGCACTCCTGCGTGCTCCCGGGGTTTCTCTTCGTTTCAGCCTGCAGTGCAGCCGCCAAGGCAACAGCACAGGTGGCAATTTCTGCTGCCACGCGCCGTAGGGACGGCAAGAGTGTGGGAAAGCGGCAGCGCGGAGTTCACAAACAATGTGGGGACCTGGCTCAAGTTCACAGCAACGGCAGGTTGTGCTTGTAGGGGCTGGTCAGGCACATCTGGATGTGCTGCGATTGTGGGGAGAGCGACGGCTGCGGGAGGCAGAAGCAGACAAGACAAAGCCTCCCCCCGCCGCTGCACGGCCCCAAGCTTCTACGCCCACAGACACAACAGCGGCAGCGCTGCTGCGCTCTTTCCTGGGCAAGGATGCGGCAGCGGTAGCGGGAGCAGAAGATGAAGGATTAAAAAAGGATCCCGTGAATATTCCTGTGTCAGCGGTGTCTCTACTGCTCGTCACGGAAACCACAGAGGTGCTATACAGCGCCATGGTGCCAGGTATGTCTCTCTCTTTCTCTCTGTCTCTGCAGGAAATCTATTTCCTTGTGGCTGCTGTTGGTGCTGCTAAGCCTATTCTTTTTGCGTGTGCAAATGGTGCTGCTGCTGCCGCAACTGTGCCTCTTTTGTTGTTTTTTCTCTCCCTCTCTCTCTTGCCTCTCCCCCGTTCCGCCGCGGGCAATCCCAGGGCGCTGGTGCAAGCGCGATATTACCAACGAGACGCATTAGAAGGCTGCAACAACTGTACAGGGAGGGGGTTGCAATAGCAGAAAACTAGACTGATGGCCATCTCGTCCCCTTCCTTTCTGAAGGAAGGCCTACCTGCCTACCTTCTTGCCTTCCTGCCTGTATATTCTCCAAAGGGTTGCTCTGCTGGGAGTCTGTTTTTATCCGTTGTGGATAGGCGTTGCTTTGCATCGTCTCTGTATCTTCTTCTTTATATATATGCATATCTCTTGCATGCGCGTCTGAGTGCGTTTCAGGATACATAGCGGGAGAGTTCAAACTCTCCGACCTGACGGTTGATCTTGCGCCGCTGTGCGTCTTTGCCGGTGCATCGCTAATTCTCGCGCGCGCTGTAGGCTTGCTTCCAAAGGATCGCCTTCTTCTGCTGGACGGGAGACGTCCCCCGCTCAGGTGCGCATGCCCCTCTGCTGACTATTGGCAGGCTTTACCCTTCTTCCATGGCGCTGCGTTTCCGCATTCCTCTGGAGAGAGAACAAAGCCTTGACTGCAGGCCCTTGGCAGCGCAATATACGCACCGCGAGAGGTTTTTTCCCCTGAGGAACGGTCGTCAAGTCATGCACACCTGCCCATAGAGCACCCTCTCCAGCCCGTCCCCGCTGTTGTGTCTTTCCTCCCTCGCTTGCAGCTGTTGCAAAGGGCAATCTTCTTCGGGGTGTGAGTGTGCCGCGCCTCTAATGTGGCGAGTGATCTTTTGGCCGCAGATTCGACGTCTTGTCTATCGACACGGGAAGCAAGCCGGATCTGCCGCTTATCCCAGGGAGCCTGCGCCCTCTGGCCTTCTGCGGCAACAGTTCTGCTGAAAGTACAGCCTGCACAGCCCTTCGCTTCCGCCGTTTGGCTACTTCGACTGCCCCCTACTGCGCTTGCACAGAGCAGAGAGGGAGACGGGCAGAAGGGCCACGTGTGCAAAAAGAAAAGGGGGGAAATAGAGTGGGAAGCAGCCTGCATGCCAGCTGTCTGTCTGTGTGTGGCGGGTGCGAGGAGACTCTGCAGATGGGGGAGATTCTAGAGCAGATCCACGAGATTTCCAAAGGTCGCCATCAGCGGAAGACGCTTCTCGTCGTGCTGCGGCTCTCTCGCCATGCGGGTGCCCTACGCGAAGCCCGAGCAGCGGAGGCGGCAGTAGCAGCAGCAGCAGCCGCTTTTGCAGCTGCTGTGTCTGTCCTATGCGTCCTCTAGGGGGTATCGTCTCTCGCTGGCTGTTGCTGAAGCAGCAGTTGCAGCGCGCGTGGCACCAGGCTCGAGACAACAAGAATGCAGGGCTGAGCGCAAGTGGCTCCCTTGCTCACCACCAGCAGCAGGGGCCTGACGGCGCAAGCAGCACTAACAGCAGCAACTGCAAGGCCGATGAGTCTCCACGGTTTCGCATTCTCATTATTGGAGGAGGTGCAGTGGGCGTCGAGATGGCCCTTACCGTGCAATTCGCAGTGCAGCAGCTGCTGCGGTCGTTGGAACGGCAGGACGAGGAGCAACAGCAGCACTACATCTCTTCTACGTGTTCGTCGCACAAAGAAGAAGCAGAATCCAAGAGCCCTTGTGTTTCACCCCTCAAGGCCGAAGTTGTTCTCGCCACCAGCGGCTCCGATATCCTTACGGGCTACGCGAAAAGGGCGCAGGTAAGGCATGCTTTTCGCGACTTTTTAGACTGCGCTAGAGCTCTCAGTGTTGCCCTTGCCGCCTTGCGAAGAAGCTCGGCATCTTGTTTGCCCCCTTTCGGTGGCAGGGGCTCCCCGATCACGCAGCGCCTTCGTGTTGCAGCGTGTTGTGGTGCGACTTTTCTAGAGGCGAGCGGTCTGCTGCAGGTATTGCTTCGGCTGCACGTCAGACAATGCTGCAGTCTGCTTCTGCGTGTGTGGTGGGTGCTGTTGCAGTCGTTCTTGCGAAGGCTACTCAACGTTCGGGGGGTTCAAGTGTTTGTGAACTGCCGCGTGGAGAGGGTGGAAGAAACCCCAGAAGGGCGCTGGAGGGCGATTGCTGCCAATAAGGCACTTGAGGGAACTTTTGACTGCTCCTTTTGCTGCACAAGTGCAAGGCCACAGGACTGGATCCAGTGAGCGGAGCCTGGCTATTATCCTTCCTACACAGCATCGTGCAACCTTTCACCGTTCAAGAACGCACACCTTCGCCGCGCGGCGTGCTCCCGAAATCCTCAGAAACGGCACTCTTTGGCGCGATGGTTGTGAGAGCTCGCGAGTTGCTGCAGGCTTTCCTGGCTCACATGCAGTCGCTGCATGCGTTTTTACTCCTTCTTCAGTTGCTGCTGCTGCGGTTACTGTTGCTGTCTACAGATCGACACGGCTGCCGGTGGACGAAAACGGTTTCTTGAAAGTCTTGCCGACCTTGCAATGCGTCGACTTCCCCAGTATCTTTGCTGCCGGTACCTAGTTACTGCTGCTTCATTGCTGCTGCCTGCCGCTGCTCTAGGCTGTGAGCTTTAGGCGGTTAGGCAACGCCTTATGCATCGATTTTGTGTGGGTACTTCGTTCGTCGCTGCACGGTGTGTTTGCCCGTGGCAGCGAGATGGAATCGCCGCAATTATGAGGAGTTTTTGTGATGTATGCTGCAGGTGACACGGCGAGCATCATCGGACACTCCCGGCCGAAGGCAGGTGTATACGCCGGTACGTTTCTTCTTTATAGGCTCACATCTGCTGATTTCTTTCGTATATATATATATATATATGTAAGAGGGGCGTTTGCGCGCTCTCTGTAACCTCTTCTGTCGCGGCCTTCTGCTGATGTTCAGACAGCGGCTGCTCCGTGTGTGCATTTGGGGCAGCGCCGCGTTTAGATTCGTTATTTGACGTGCCTTGAGGCTGCCTCCATGGCGGCCTTGTCGCCTGTGGGAATGCTTTGTGGTGATGGCAGTTTGCTGCTATTAGGGATCCGCCTCTTGCGGCGGCGGGTGTCCTCCGTGCTTGCCAATGCGGAGAGTCTACGTGCCTGTATAGAGATGGACAGGCGGAGAGGCCTTTATGCACAAAGAAAGGGTGTAGTAGGCTTGCATATGCACATGGGCTTCCTTTTAGGTGGTGTCTAGTAGTCTCACATACATACATGTATATTATATATACATACATACGTATATATGTATATACATAAGCATAAATACATACATATATATACATAAACGCACACTGTTTCAGCGGAATTGCTCGTATGACGGGTATACATACGGAAGTGGTTGCTGTGTGTGTGTGTTCGTGGCCGTGACAAGTTGCGTGTTTTGGCTTTGTAGGAGAGGGGGCCGGCCGCCTTCCTGTGCATGAGTCCTTCCTCTCCTGATTTGTTTGCCAGTAGTAGCACGCGTGTTGCGGAGATGTATTGGGGTGTCTGAGTACGTGTTTGTTTGCGTGTTTGTGTGTGTATGTATGTGTGGCTTATAGTGCGTGCAGCTCCGGTGATCGAGAGCAACATTTGGCGTTTTTTGCGAGGGGAGACTTTGGATGTGTGGAAGCCGGGAGGGGCCTTTGTGCCTTCTTTTCTTGTTACGGGCAAGGGGGAAGCAGTCTTTTGCAAGAGTTTCATTGTGGCGCACAATCAGTGGGCTTGGCGACAAAAGGTGCGGTGTCTGTTGAGCTGCAACGGGGGGAGGAGGATTTGCATTGGCAGTGCCTCGAAAGAAGCGGCTGGCTGTCGCGGAACGCTGGGGTTGTCAGGTCACACGTTTCCTGTCTTGTGACAGCCTCGCATGCGAACGCTGGGGCTTTTGTTTGAACGGGTAATTTGTTCGTGTTTTTCTCCTGGAGCCTAGGAGGGCTGTTGGCGCACCTTCCTCAGCTGCTGCTGCCGCGCCTGTTTTGCCTCAGAAGTCGCTGGACTCGTCGTGGCTGGCTAGCCACCGCATTTTCCCGAATTCTCCGAAGAGCGCGTCTGGTGGCGAGACGGCGGCTCTGTTGTTTTTTGGACTTAGAGAGTTGGGGGCTGCCGCCGCATCCGGCGCTGAGGCCCTTAGCGCCTGGGTGTCTGCGAGTGTTGCCACGTGTGACGCGTCCTCCGATTGCCCAAGCACAAATGTACGCGCAATCCTGTCTTCAGGCGCTGCTGATCTTCGTGTGTACTGCTTGCGTGGATGTGTTTTTGTGGATGTCTGGATGTGTTTATGTGTGTTGCGTATGTATTATATACGTGTGTGTGGATGTATTCATGTGGATGTATTCATGTGATTGCATTCATGTGGTTGTATTCATGTGACTGTATTCATGTGGATGTATTCATGCGATTGTATTCATGCGATTGTATTCATGCGATTGTAAACATATGATTGTATTTATGCGATTGTATTTATGCGATTGTATTCATGTGATTGTATTCACGTTGATGTATTCATGTGGTTGTATTCATGTGACTGTATTCATGTGGATGTATTCGTGCGATTGTATTCATATGATTGTACTCATGTGGATATTTTTATGAGGCGCCTCTTTCTCCCGGTGCAGCGTCTCTTAGTAGGGCCGGCGTTTAGTATGTGTCTCTTTTTTGTGTCTTTTCGCAGGATCTGCCGCATCCTTGTTTGGCGGTTTTCGCGCGTCTGCTCGTGAAGGCGGCCACCTGTGGCGCTGAGGGATGCGGCCGTTCTCCTCGCTGTGCGGGTTGCTCAGGCAAGATGCCGCAGAGGGCGTTGTCTGCTGCGTTGCAGCAGCTCCGGATGCACAACACACAGCTCGAGCTACACGATCAGCAGCACCAGATGCTCAACTCCGAGCATGCACCTGAAGAGCAGGACTGGGAGCTGAAGCCCCTTTTCACCCGGCCCGAGGTTATCTGCGGCTTGCGGTCACCTGACGACTGCTGTCTCTTCTCCCCACTCCCCTTGGCAGACACAAGACCTAATGCACAGCCAGTGCCTCTGCTTGCTCAAAGCGTTGATTTTTTCAGGTGAGGAAACTGCCCGGTGTGCGCCTGCGTCTTCTCATATTGCGTTCTTGACCAGGAAGGTGCCTTCTTTCGAGCCTTGCAGGCATCCATCCATCTCTCTCCTTCTGTCTGTCTCTTTCTCTCAATCCGTTCTGTCTGTCTCTCTCTCTCTCTTTGCGTGCCTCGAATCCTTTCTCCTTCTCTCTGGCTCGCTGTCTTCCTCTCACCCTGGCGTTCTTTCTCTAGCCTGTGAGCTGCACATGCAGCCAAAGGTATGCCCAAACACCTTCTTACTTCCACAGAACTACTCAAGCGTTGTCTCGCCTTTTTCTTTTCTCAGGTTCTTCACAGGGGACCTTTACTCCATGGGCCGCATCTCTGCTGCCCACGCGCTATCGGACTTGTATGCATGCGGTGCGGAGCCTTTGACTGCTCTTGCCGTCACGCTAATGCAAAGGGCCCCCCCCGATCTCGTGCGTTTCGCTGTGGTGACTGCTGCTGCCGCCTCCTCGTTTGCTGCTCCGCGAAGGCCTTCCTGGCGTTGTCGCGCAATCTTCGCCCGTGATATCGCTGCATACACGGCGCACGCGGGCCCCCATGCTGAGGGAGGGTCGTACTGACTGTATATATATATATATATATTCACGCATGTAATATTTCATCCGTAGATGGAGATATGTTGAACGTTGCATGGCCGGCAGCTGTGGGAGGGCGGGTGTGGACGGCTGTGTGCAGATGCTCTTTCGTCAGGGTGTGCGCTGATGCGATTGCAGCAAGCGAACAACTTGCTGCAGGTGCTCGCGGGGGCGACTAGTGTGCTCGCCGAGGAGGGCTGTGAGCTGGCTGGAGGCCATTCTGCAGTCGGGGATGGTCCTTCCGCTGCGGGCTTTGTCGTGACAGGACGCATCCTATATCCTCCCGTTGGCGGAGACAGCGCTGCGGGAGGAACGCCTGCAGCTGCAGCTGGGGGGCCGCCGCGTAGTACTGAGTGTCTGCACAGCGCGGAGGAAAACGGAGAAGAGGAGCAGAAGCAGAAGCAGATCGTGTTTCCTGGGAAGCAACTTGCTCCTGGTTTCCCCCTGCGCAAGGGCAGCGCAGGGGTGTGCCACGGATCCGTTCTCCTCCTGACGAAAGGGTTAGGTTCTGGCGTGATTTTTGCCGCGCATACAAAGTGCAGCGCGAAAGGCGGGTGAGGAGGGTCCTTGCGAGGACGTATATACAGCTTTTGGTTTCCCCTGGTGCTCCTCTCTAGTAGTTCTCAGCTTCTTGGCGGCCTAGGGATGCGCACTGCTGCCGTGTGCTCCTCTGTACTTGCTGTCGCTTGGCTTGTATCCGCGTGTGCTGCAGCTGGGTGGAGACGGCGCTGCAACAGATGCAGCAAACGAACCAAGCTGCCATGCATGCGCTGCTGCAGCACGGGGCCACCGCCTGCACGGATATCACAGGTGAAGAGAGGCTTAGAGGCTTCCCCTGTCTTGCTGGTGATGCTGTCGCTGCGCTCTCGGTGTGCTGCTGCTGCTGCCGCTGCTGCGTGCTGCATCTGTAGTACTGTGATGCACGAATTCGGTGGTTCGCTGACCGTGGTATGCTTGTGCTGCCAGCCTGTCCCTGCGTCGTTTTGCCGTGAAGGGCGCTGTTTATTTTTCAACGCGGTCGCAGTAGGTATATATGCTGGCCAGTAACATGGGGGGGTTGCACGCCAGCCGCCTTCAAAAGCTTGCTTGATTTTTTTCGCCTTGCGCTTGCATTACTGCGCGTGCTGCAGGCTTCGGATTGGCGGGTCACTTGCTGGAGGTTGTAGATGCGTCAAATAGGGCGCTTGCGAAGCTGGGGAGCTCCGAGAAGCCTGCAGCTTTAGGAGCAACAGCCACAGCGGGAGCTGCCGCGGATGGAAACGCAGCAGCAGAATCAGCATCTGCAGAGCGGCTGGTAGGGGCACGGGTGTGGCTTGAACGTTTGCCGCTACTTCCAGGTGTCTCCGAGCTTACCAGTCAGGGCTTCTTTGCTTCTCTGTTTGTCGAGAATGCAGCCACAGCGGCCAGACGTTTGGTTGTGTCCTCTGCGGAGGACATCAAGGGCGAGCCGCCTTTGGCGTCTCTGCATGAAGGAAATGTGAGGGGCCTCTCTCCTACTGAGCAGCCGCTGGAAGGTGAACGTGAGCTCCTGCAGGTGCTGCAGCAACAGCTGCACGGGCCTTGCTGCTGCAGACTACCGGCCCCCGTGCAGCCGAAAGACGTTGCACAGCAGCAGCTTATGAGAGAAGAAACGGCTCCCTGTAGCAACACCAACGGCAGCTACACCTCTGCCTGCGCTCGCGCCACGTACAGCGACCCTAGCCGCAGTTGCTGTTGTTGCAGCACCTGTAACGATGCTTCCCTGGTATTCCCATTGCTGTTCGACCCACAAACCAGCGGGGGCCTACTGGCAGTGGTGCCTGCAGCCGCTGCAGCTTCCTGCCTTAAGGCCTTGAGGGCGCACTGTCCAGCAATGGCAATAGGCGACATAGTGTCTTTGTCAGCTGCTTCTGCGGCAGACGCGGGAGTCTCGCGCAAGAAGCCCATCCAGATCGTTGCCCGAAGCTCTGCGAGCGCCCCCGAAATGGGAAATGTGTGCAGTTGAACGCTGCAACGGGTGTCCAAGCAGCATTAATGGCAAAAAAAGGCTACAAAATGCCCTCGGTGCTGCAACTGACCGAACATACACACACATACACAAAGACATACCAGAGTGCTATTTCTGGCTGTGACGCAAAAAAAGGGATGGTGTTGTGAGCTCCTCCCGTGGCAGACCGTGTATCGACGTTTTATTTGAATGTTGTCTTAGCCGTGTGTAGATAGCATGCTTCAGAAATGAAGGGCTGTTCTTGACTTTTTGTAGCATCTCTTCACCTATCGCGGTGGAGGCTAGGCGTCTTGCAGTTGCGGATGCTTTCGTGGACTAAAGTACCGACAGCTTCTGAATGCACCGCTTTCTCAGATAGGGATGAACGCGTGGCTGAAGAGGTGTGCTGTTATAGCGAAATGCTTAGACGCTTGGGTCGCCGTAGGAAAAGCCTCGACTGCGCGTTGTCTGCATGAGGCACACGGCAGGCGGCATCCTAGAGCTACACCACCAGCAGCTCGAGGGACCTTTGCGAGGGGGCAAGTGGAAGGGGAGGGGGGGCGAGCAAACTGCCTTGCGCAGTTTAGAAGGCAGATAGCCGCAACGTCGCAATGCATTACGGTACAGCTTTTTAAAGGCTGCTGCTCTCCGCCCCCACTTCAGAGCGGTGACAAATTTTGTAGTACAAGACTCGCGTCTTAAGCCTAGATTCAAACCTCGTCTATGACTATTAAACATCTCTAGCTCATAAGGTCTCCCACCAGCCACCTGTGCAGCTGAATAGCCGTCCCTCTTTTCCTTTCCCCCTCCCCGTTGAGTCTATTATGATAGCTCTCCCCTTCTTCGTTGCCTCTCCACATCGCTGCTGCTCTCTGTCGCTGCCTGCTGCTGCGGGCGTCTTCATGCGGCGTCGAGGCGGCTCAGAGGTATGACAGATCTTGACCATTTCGTATTTGGGGCAGCACCTCAGTACCGTGCCCATGTCCATAAAAGCACACTTCTGTCCACGCAGGGACAGACACCCTGCCTGCTGCGGCAGCTCTGTGGGGTGTGGCGGCAGCTGTCGTCTAGGAATAGCTACAGGAAAAAGCTCGGCTTTGAAATTTAAGAGCTTATTCACTTGCTGAATGGGAGAGGCCCTTCGGCTTCGTGGAAAGCGCTTGAAAACGTCGCACTTGTCGAGATGCTCATGTCACGCCAAAGGATCCTAATGCAATGCATTCCGTTCAAGGTTGGCGGCTACGTGTCTTTACAGCAGATCTATTGTCTATTAGCCAGGGCCTACAGAGACTGTCTGTGGGGCGTTCCGGGCTGTAGTGGTGCCTTGCGCTACTCTGACCAGTGGTTGGCTGCTTGCTTTCTGCAGGAGCCAGCTCTTAAAGCCTACGTGATGCAGAAACTTTTCTGATCAGAATACGAACTGCGGTCTGCGGCCAGCAGTTGTTTCTCCACTAAGCCCTCAAGGTAAGCGTTCCACCGTCTGTTTTTCGGGCAGCAGCTCCTGAGAGCGCTACATAAATCAGCAGCAGTGCCCTGACGATGGAAGGAAGGGGCGTTCAGTGCATATTAAAACAAACACACAGACACGCACGCACAGACACCCTATAGCGCGTGCTGCAGGCCGCGTGACAATCCGAAGCAGTTGTAGAGCACCTCCACGACGCCCTTGATTGCGCTGCACCTCCTCGCTAAATTCAGCGCGAGCGAACAGCCCATATATATATATATATAAATATACCGTGGGGTTAGCCGCTGCAGTCCCCCTAATTAGTGCAGCTGAAGTTCCCGAGCAGCTCACGGTGCGAGGACGCAACGGCAGCAGGGGCCATTAAGGCAAAACGGCAGATGCGGTGAGCCTGCACCAGGCAGAGGAGACACGGAAGCAGCGCACAGACACACGCGGCAGTGAAAGGAGGACAGCCAACAAGCACCCTATACGGAAGCGCAGAACGGCAGGCCGTGAAGGCAGAAGCAACATCGTGAGAGAAATTTCCTGCAGCGAGCCAATTAGCAACTCAAGCAAGCCCTTCAAAAGAGCCTGACTTAGTCTCCACCAAATTTCGCCTAAAGGCCCTTCAGCTTCGTGGCCAGCCCTGCGGCGGCACAGTTTGGGCAGCGCTGGCCTCCAGTAAATCTGCAGGTTGTGCAGAAAACCTCGAGAGAATGGAGACCCCTTAGCCTCTTCGAATCGCTGCATATCAAGCACACACACGAGTGCTCGGCAGTTGCAGCGAGGGCTATACCTCCTGGAGGCGCAGCCGCCGCTTTCCGTCGAGGAACAGCCTATCGACCGCAAAATGGTAATACAGCCTCGAAGGGGGAAACGCCAGCTAGACGAGGCGGCAAGAAGGCAGTGCCAGGAGAAAGAGACGGAGGCCGTGAGAGAAGGCGCAACGGGAACAAACAAGGCGAAGGGGAAGCGCGCAAACACGAGGCTTTAGACAGAATGCCCCCAAGAAGGTGGCTTGGGATGTCTTTCTCCCCAGAACATGCAGACACCTGGAGTTCTTCTCAGCGAGCCCATGGCACACAAGTCTCTTGGAGAAAATGAAGAAAGGCGGCTGCTGCACGCTGGCAGGAAAGCGAGACGCCTCAGGGTCTTTTGCAAGGCCGCTTTTCTCTTACCTTGAGGTATGATATCCGCCCCCAAGCGAGTTGCTCCCACGTGGTTAGATTCAGAGACATCAGGAGCGCGTGATAGCCCGCGAGACAGCCAACCATAAGGAAAAGGCCAATCAGAACAAAGAAGTTCATCACCACCAGCATGCAGAGCATGCCACCCCTGCAGAAGAGACATTGAAAGGCGCATCAGGCTGCTGCAGATTAGTCCGCAGAAGGATAACACGGAGAGAGAAGCTCTCGCACCCTGCTGATGCGGCTGGCTGCTCGCGGCTGTCGCTGCCACGCTTCTGACACACAAAGAGGAAGGGCCAAAGCAAGCCACACGCAAAACTCATGCAGAGACGTTCTCCATTAGGAGTATAGCCGCACCACTCGGACTTCACGTCCATTGGCAGCAGCAATAGCCGCACAGCTTGAGCTGTACAGACACCTGCTTCCAACATCTGCAACAACAAATACACTATAAAGTGGGGGCGGCTCTTCTCCCCCACGCAGCTCCCTGCAGCAAAACATTCCAAATGCATCTTGCATGCACGTACATGAAGAAACAAACACACCTGGCAACAGGAAGCGTCAAGGCCAGAGAACGCACCGCCGACAGGCACATCTACTACTGTACGCTCCAACGATCTTTACCAGCAGCAACCTTAGAAACGGCAGCAGCAGCAGCAGACCAATCCAAGGGCAGTGATGATCGTGAGTGCGAATGCAGACGCCGCAGTCTGCGCAGTGTTTCGTTCGCAGTGGCTGCAACACAGCACCGCATCCAGGGTGTACATACAGGCACTGCGTCGCTGCGCTTTGTCCGCTACTGCGGCTGCTGCCGCATCCACCCTTGTAATGCAATGCAGCTGCAGTGGCCTCGGCTCACCTGATACATGCAGCACCTCTCGCAGAAGCGCAATCGAACCCCGTACTGACACAAGCGTCTTTTTATAATGGAGAAAGGAAAGGCAGCCGCAGTATTTCCTGCGTCTGTGGATTTATCCACTATCTCTACAGCCTCAGTAGGTTCCCCCAAATTCAGTTGCAGCAGTGCCTGTGGCTGCGGGGAGTCTGGAAGGGCTGACTCGAGGTCTAAGGGGGGTGCGGCCACTGCTTCACCGCATGCTGCCTCAGCAGCAACATCCACGGCATGCACTGCACTCCTCCCCGCACCGACTTCCCCTCGAACCGTCGGCGCAACAGCGACCAACTCAACGTCAACTGGCTTCCCAACTGCAGCCCTCCCTGCCGCTGCTGCCCGCCTAGCGAGTCTTCTCTCTTTCCGCAGCCTCTGCTGAGCCTCCTTCGCTGCTGTATCAGCAGCTGCAGCTGCTGCTGCTGCTGCTGCTGCGGCCTTCCTCTTCATCTGTACGCGAGAGGCTTCACTTGGTCCAAATCTCGAGCGAGCGCTCCCCTTTATGCTACCGCTGCTGCTGCTGCTGCTGTCGCTATTGCTGCCGCTGCTGTCGCTGCCTCCACTGCTACGGCCCCTGCTGCTGCTGCTTCTGCTTCTGCTTCTGCTGCTCTTGCTGCTGCTGCGTTCGGCGGGGTGCCTGATTAAGGTCGCTTCGCAGCCTTTACGTGAAAACTTGCGAACAGTCTTGCTGCTGCTGCTGCTATTGAAGTGCAGTACGTTGTTGCACTGCAGGTACATCTGACGGAGAGACGCTCCCTGCACTTCCACCGGGATGCCGCAAACAGACACTGCAGAAAGGCGCTGCTGCTGCTGCTCTTGTTGCTGCCTCTTTCTTCCAGACAGCACAGGAGAGGAGGCAGGAAAAGAAAACTGTGGGCGATGAAGATCCTGCAGAACGGAAACGGCATCTGCGGCTGCGGCGTCGTCTTCATCGCTTGAGCTTATGGCATATAGAGCTCCTAGCTGCTGATCCTGCTGAAACAGCCGCTCCTGCTGATTCTGCTGCTGCTGCTGCTTCTGTGCAAACACAATGTCTTCCGGAGTGCTCAGTGTATCTACAGAGACTGGCATGTATGCTTCTCCGCCGTTGCAGTTGCTTATCCAGTTGTTTGGTGTGCTCCCAAGAGGGACCTTCTCCTTGTCGTTTTTGTTAGGAGAAGGGCATGCACTGCCTTTTCTACGGCTGCTGGTCGTGAAGGCAGCTGGGAAATGCGCGTGAGCGTCTTTGCAGCTGTTGGGGGCAGTCCTTCTCGTAGACGAGCCTGCGCTGTCGTGGTGGCTGCGGCTCTTGCTGTTGCTGTTGCCGCTGCTGCTGCTGCTACGGCTCTTGCTGCTGCTGCTGCTACGGCTCTTGCTGCTGCTGCTGCTACGGGCGCTGCTGCTGCTGCTGTACGGATGCTGCTGCAGCGTACCGTAATGATGCTTGGGGGTTCTTATGGAGAAACGGCAGATGCCTCGAGCTTTTTGCTTGCGCTGTCGCTCCCACCGGTGTGCATGGTGCGCTGGCTGGAAGACTGGGCAGCTGTTTCTTTCTGCCATCAAGGAAGCTGCTGCGGTCCCTATTCCAGCCGCTGTGAGGCAGTCTTCGCTATCGCAATTGCTGCTAACGCTGCCAGCACTGCTGTCTTCCTCAGCCGCTGCTAGGCGTCCCCGCATGCTGCTGCGACTGCTATGGGGCCGCAGCTGCTGCCGCAGCTCTGGCGGCAGCAGTAACGAGGGGCAGTATCTCAGCACGCCGCTGCAGCAAACGCAGAGGGTCGAATCACAGAGGCATGTCCACCACCTCCTCAGCAGAAGCACGAAAGGCAGCAGTTGCGCCAGGGGAGGGCAGCAGCGGCGCTTACGGATCGGTCCTGGCGGCTAGGAAATAAGCGACAACTGCAGCAGCACTCGCGATCCAGGTGAGAACGCCCATCGCGTCAGACAAGGAGAAGTGGGAAGGGCAAGGGGCAATAAGAGCACCAAGGATACCGCAACGAAGCAGCAGCAGCAGCAAACCCACACAGAGGGCCCCCGAGGGGCCCCCACCCCGACAGCTCTCCTCCATAAAGGACGCTTCCTGTGCAGCTGAGGAGACTTCCAGCGCCGCCACGCGTCTCGGTGCATCTCCGCCCTTGCCCTCATCGGAGTCTGCTGCGTCTCCTGCTGCCGAGAGCGACATGGGAAAAGGCCTTAAGGAGTTCATTCCCGGTGACAATGCAGCAGCCGACAGAGGCGCCCTCGCAGATGCTTCTGCTGCTGTTCATTCACTAGCAGCTGCAGCTGATTTTTGCTGCGCTCCTCTTCTCTGAGGGCGTTTCCTCGCTCGGCTGCCGCCGCTTCCGTCGGTGCCTAGACACGTTTCCTCTGCTGCTGGGCGACCTTCTCGGGAGACTTCACGAGAAGCCACACATCCCTGCGGCGACGTCTGTGTTCTTGCTGCTGGCTTCTTTGTTGCCGCTCGTGCTGCGAGTGCAGCGGGTAGGTACATCCCGTGCAATGCACAAGGCACTTGCCCCGGCAAGGAGGTTCTTGAATTTCAGCTGAGAGGGCTGCAGGAGAAGGGAGGAGTAGGGGGGTGGAAACTGCGGCAACTGGGAACCCCAGGGGTAGTGAGCAGCCTCCGTCTCAGCTGCTAATAACGGGCTGCTGCTGGTGGCTCTCCGAGGCGTGCTGCTGCTTTAGGTAACCTCGCGTGAACGCTGCCTTCCCGATCCAGCAGTTGCTGAGGCTGGTCGCCCTCCAGTTGTACTGGCTGCAGCTGCCGCCACAGCTACCGTTCGGCCTTTTGCAGCAGGAAAGCCCCAAACAGTCAACAGGTTCTCACACATTTGCGATGACGCGCTTGAACCGCGCCTGCCGTGTACCGCTGCTGCTGCTGCATGCAACAACAGGCACACTGCTGCTGCAAGATAATACACCGCGGGGAGGAGCCGGAGAATATATATCTTTGTGACTCGAGCAGTCGCGATATATATTCAAGAAAGGGTTATTGAAAGGCTGGGGGTGTGGCCCGTCGTGCAGCAGCCTCTCCGGTAGCCGCTGTATGCAAACGGGCGTCGGCTGGGGGCGTTCTTCCGGCCCTTCTGTGTTTTGAAGTGTATATACGCAGTAACGTGCTGTCGAGCAAAATTATTCAGCAGGAACCTTCCTCCGTTTCGAGCTGATAGGGGGAGTTCTTACCCAGCAGCTCGACAAGACACTCGACGGCAGCTGGAGAGCTCGCGCGGCCTCGCTACCACCCCAGCGGCCGACAAGCCATGAAACTTGCTGTGGCGACTATTCTTTCCAGCGCAGAAGGCATATATAGCTGCTTTTCTAGGGGTGTGTGGCAGCAGGATCTTTGACACTGGTAGGAGGTGGCGGTGTTGCGGGTAGTGTGTATGCCAGAAGATGCCAGAGGGCAGCTAGGGACGCCCGACTCTGAAATCTGCGGCACGTCGAAAAGTCTGTGCCGCTGTTTGAAGTCCAGCATCGGCTTTTGAATGGCAGCTGTTACGACAGCAGAGCTCATGCGCTCATCAGCGCAGCAGCGGTTGTCGCAGGAGCACCAAGGGCGGCAGCAGACGCCGCAGGAACAAGGCGTGCTGTTGCCGCAAACAGAGCAGCAGGAGCAGAGCGGCGAGACTCTGTCTAAAGGCCACGTGTCAAATTTTAGGAGTGTAGCGGAAAGGACTCCGCAGCGCAGCGAAGGGAGCGGTGGCATCCATTTAAGCCAGCAGCCCGCAACCCCATGCAGGAGCAGTCTGCCGCTATGGCAGATGCAGAAACATGCGGGAAGGAGTTGCGATCTGGCCTGTTTTCTGAGACCTTTGATGCCGAGGCGCCGCTGGGAGCTTCCTCCGCAGAGGCTGCTGCTTCGGGGAATGCAGCTGCTAGCAGCACGCAGAGACACACCAGCAGCGATCCCCACACATCAGGCTGCTGCCACTCGAAAAGCACCGCAGTGCTGCTGTGGGCAACCATCTCTCCTAGAGCGGCGAAGCGCCTCATTAGGTGTCTTACAGATAGGGAGAAAGCGATTTGCAGCAGCGTTTGCAAGGCATGGTACGACGGCCTCCTGTTGATGCGAGTGCTGTTTTCTTTTCCCATTGGTGTGCCCTCACCGAAGCCACGCAAAGCTGCCCTTTCCTCCTCCTGCTCCGCCTTGAGAGGCACTTTGCTTTCCCGCTGGGAATGCAGGCAGCTGTTGCACGCTGCAACAACTACGGGCACTGCAGCGGCAGTACTTGCCATAGTCCTCGAAATCGCATGCAACTGTCTGCTGCAGGCGGAAGATCCTGTGGTCACCGCGGCTTCTCCCTAGTGTCTTTGGAGAGAGGGGCTTCCCCACAAGGTTCAGAGGGCAGTTCTATCGATATTGTCTCCTCAACGAGATGCAACAAGAAAGCCTCTCCGACTACCAGGTCTGCTGGTGCTGCTACACACACTTGTGGCTGCAGTTGCTGCCGCAGTCATCTCTCCCCCTCCGCTGCAGTAGAGGAGAATGCCCGTGTGTCTTGTGCATGCTGGATTAGCCTCTGAGGCCGAGGATCAACGCGAATTCTGTTGCTCCCAGTGGCTGTGAGTGACAGGCACCGCGTGTGTGCTTGATTATTTTGTGTATTTGTTTATGTATCCATATGGATAGATAGACGGATATGTGTATATGTATGTAGATATGAATGCATGGCTATGTATGTGTATGTACTTTTGTATGTATGTATATGCACGCATGCATGTTTGTGTATGCGCGTGTATGGGTGTATGTAAATGTACATATGTATGCATGCATGTATGGATGTGTATCTATATATGTATGTATGTATGTGTTTTTTTCGATGTATCTCTACAAGGACATACACATGTATATAACGATTTAGGAGAGTGCACTGCACGTGGCAATATTTGCGAACATAAGTACAGCTGCGAGGGAGTACTGCTGCAGGCAGCGTGCGCTGTCGCGGCGCCCGAGCTGTCCGAGGAGATCGCTCGCGACTGCCACAGAACGTTTCCCGAGTGGCCTGTCTTCAAGAAAAGACAAGCGTAATCGGCTGCTTCTGCTTGCTGGTGGTGCCTTAAATGCTGCTTTTGCTGAGGGGGCGCACCTAGCAAATGTGTCGTTGCTCGCTGCACGCACACCTACATGCGACTCCCTTCGGAACGCCTCGCTGTAGGCTTTGAGGGCTGCCTGTTGTGCCTCACTCTCTCCCCTGGCGTTGTGTGCTGCGGTTAAAAAATCAGGCAGATGTCGCTTCAAAGGATTCTGATTGGTTGTGCCTCTCGGGACGGCGGCGTGGGTTACTGTCAAGGCATGAATTACTTAGGGGCACTCTTCCTGTACGTCTTGCAAGACGAATTCGTGAGTTGAAGGAGTGGAGTTTCTGGCTCTTAGTGAAGTGTCGCTCTCTGTCACTGCTAGCCTCACCTCCAGTGTCTGTCGCCTCCCACCTTTCTGTGTGCCCTCCTTGACGTGCTTTTAAGGCAGTCATCTCAGCGTCTTGCTGCCCGCATTTCTGAGTCCGTGTCACCTTCTGGCTTCTGTGCATATATATATGTATATACATATATATATATATCCCTACTCGGGTTCGGCCCCTGCCGCTCTCTACAGTGACATTCCTTCTTCGTCATGGGCGTGCGTCTGCGGCGCTCTCCGCCTGTCTCTTTGCATGTCCATAAGTATGCTTACTTACTTGCACTTTGGTGCTTTTCACCGTACTCGTAAGCTGCTGCAGCTCTCCGCTGTCTCTGTCCAACGTGCAGACGCACACTTGCAGGGCTAGAGGGGTCATGTATAAATGTATATATATATGCATGTAGCAATTTCACGCTTCAGGACGCGTATCGCTGCTTGGTATCGCTTTTGAAACACCGCGGCCTGCGGTGTCTGTACACCAAGGACCTCATGCCCATCAAGGTACACCCCCTTCCCGGCGCGACTGCTGCTTGAGTTGGAGGTGGCCTTAGAGAGGCCGCTACAGCGGAAGCGTCCGCTGCGTCTTGCGTATTCCGAGAGTTTGGCTGCAGCTCCCTTCTGAGCACTGCTCAGTGTGTCTCTAGAAGCAGCGTGTCACGAAGGCTCGGGGTGCGATTTGCTCCAGCAGGGTCCTGAAGTTCTGCATTTCTTTGTAGGGGTTGGCGTTTGCTGGCTTTTGCTGCATGCGTTTCAAGTGGCTCCAGAGAAGGGAGGCGCCTGCGGTCGCACAACTGCGGTGTACAGACAGCTGCCTCCTGCTGACACGCGGTTGCATCCCCGTATGCATCACTTCTGGGTGCCTGCAGGCCCTTGTCTTTGCATTCGAAAGGATCATGGAGGCCTTTCTCCCCCAGTTGCATGCAAAGCTGGTCAGTGCGCTGACGCTACATCGTACTGTGCTACCTCCCCTCCCCCCCAGCCTTGTCGCTCTGCGTGTCATGGGAGGAAAAAGGGAAGGGGAGGCGAGAAAAAGGGAGTTCGAAATTCGGGGACGTTTATGCGCCGCCTGCCACTCGCCAAACCTTTGCCGACGATATCGTAAACATAGGGTGTGGTGCGCGTAAGCCCAACATACGCCTTCGCGGTCAGTGTCTGACTCTGGCTCTTTAGCTCCTGTGCATCTTGCGTGTGTATGCGAAGGCAGCGCTCTGCATACCCGGAGAGGCGTATTTGCTTCAGTGGCTGCTACCAGCGTTTGCTGTCGACTTCCCGCTGCCACTGGCCCTCAGAATGCTCGATATCCTCATTCTGAAGGGCCGTAAGGCCCTCATTCAGACTGCGCTCGCACTCCTCCAGGCGATCCAGGGTGACTCTCGGGGCCTGCTTCGCTAGCCACGCTGCTGCCCCTGCTGCTGTTGCACTGGCTGCATGTGAATGCCTCCGCTGCAACCTCTGTTGCTGCGGCTAGGACCAGATGGCGGGAGTCTATCCCGCCGGCCTGCTCAGTGCAGGAGCCTGCTGCCTTTACTTTCTAGAGAAGCGGCTCCTTCACTGATCCTGCAACCGCTGCCGTTGTTGCTGTCTGCTGGACGCTGCAGAGCCTCTCCTCTCCATGGGACCTGATGAAGCCCTTCACTACATTCGAGGAGCTGCTGCAGCTGCTCCCTTTGCCGACTTGGCTGAACAAAGGCCTCAGCTTCAAGCACTCCACACTGCAGCTGCTGATGCTGGGGCAGTGCAGGCCTACTCCGATAGGAAAACTCAGCAGCAACTAAAGGAGGCGCCTCGGCACCAGCAGGCAAAGCAGCAGCAACTGCAAAAGCTGTGGCATCCTAAGAAGCCTCCACCTGGCTTCAGCACCTTCCGCGAAATCGAAATGCAGCCGCAGCAACAGCGGCTCCAGAGTGCTGCGAAGGCAGAAGCAGCTGTACCCAGGTGCGGCAGCAGCCTTACTCCAGGGGAGGCCTGGCTGCTGCACCACATGCACCGTTTCCGCGTGAGCAACAAGATGATTGAGGCTCTAGAAAAAGCCTTCGCGAAAAACAGGAACTGCAGACTGTGCATCCAATCGAGTGAGTTGACAGGTGCTGCAGCCACTCTTCCCCCTGCAGCTCACCAGGAGACCGGCGTCGTCTCTGCCACAATTCCAAAATGCGCAGCCACTGGAGGGCAAATCCATAGCTGAGCCTTACAAGGAGGATGCCAAACAATTTATGAGCTCGCAGGGACGCTTGGATCCAAGCAATGGCGTATTGTCTTCGTTGTTGCTGCTGGCGAGATGGGTGCTGGAACGCCTAAGCGGCCTAATGGAGAGGCGCAGCCTCCCCCCGTGCATCTGCACATCATCTCCAATTACTTTGCGCCCTCGGAAGACTGGCCGCCATCAAAAGAAGACTCCAGTCGCTACTAAAAGCACCGATGGGGTGCATGCGCAGCTGCAACGTCGGCGCCTAAAGCAGCTGAAGCACCTTTTACAGAAGCTGCAACAGGGGCAACTACAGGAGGCACTGTTGGCGTAGTACGCACCCTCCAATTTCTTGTATCTTCTGTGACGTGTAGAGCCTGCTGCAGTCTTCAGTAAGGCACTTGTCCCGAATAGAGCATGCCTAGCGTGGCGTTGGTTTTTGAGAGGCGCATCACCAAACGCAATGAGCACAAGGGGCCGCAATAGGAAGTCTTCGTCGAGGCTTTTGTGCGAGATTTTAACGTACGGCGAACTTTTGGCAGCGGGCTGGGGAGACCTTGGCAATGCAGGGGGCACCGGTTTGCATTCTGTCCCTAGGGACTTTCTAAAAGGGCACTCAACCACCAATACTTGTGGCAGCATTTGAACTCCCCACATATCTTCCGACTTGCGTAAGGCTGCCGCGTGCTGCAGCCACTTCGAATTTGCTTGCGGCAGCACCAATCTCTGCCGCTACTGTAGCTACTGCTGGTTCTTCCATGTTTGATTTTGGGGGAACTATGTCTCGGGCTCTTAGGACTGTAGGGGAGCGATTGTAGCGGCAGCGAAAGTCTCGGCTTTGGACCTGGGGCTTCTCGTCGAGGCACGTAGAGTTATGACGAAACCACATCTCTGCACAGTCGCTACTGCCGTGGCGGTGCAGTTGTAATAAACTAGCCAGGGTCTTCGTAGAAAGATACTTGACTGCGGATTTGAGCCATGCGCAACTGAAAAGTGTTGAGTACCTCGCAAAAGAGCTCACTCCTTCTTCTTGCCCGCGACCCTCAGGGCTTCTGACATGAATGATGGGAGAGGGAAGGCTAGGCGCGCTTAGCTGCACCCTGTGAAGCACTCCCAGCACTCACAACTAGCTGTGCATGGCTTCTAGCGCACACGTACACAGCATTACTTCTTGCATCGAGCCAACTCAATTTTGCAGTAAAGAAAGTCTACGAACAGAGAAGCCAGTGATATGAGTTTCGCGCCGCTTCTCAATTGCATGAGTAGTGTAGTAGAAAGTGCCTCATTGTGGCTTAGCCCGCTACAACAGCAACACCCGCCCCTCACTCTACAGGAGGCACTGAACTGTACTGACGGTGGGTTCTCGCAAAGGGCCCCCATGCTCGGAGAAAGAACCCCCTGATCCCTACTCTAGCGCCACCAAAAGGCCTTTAACCCAACAGCAACTCGCAACCCCCTCGATATCCTTAATTTTCTCTATATCCGTGTTAGCTGGTGGTGCGACTCTAGATACTACTGATGCTGCCCTTGGGCACTTGGGTGGGTCCCCCCCGAGTACGAGCGTCAAGTGGCGGGGGAACTCTTTGGCGCTTAAACAGGAAGTGCCAAGATGAGTGTCACTAAGGCAACTGGATATGCTGTTATTCGGAATGTGACTCTCTTGTCTCTTCCGTTGCTGCTGCGCCTAAATCAGCTGGGCACCTACACATCTCTTCTACCGAGACTCGCAGAAGAGTTACGGCTCGCTCGGAGCCGAGCCGATTTTCCGTAGTGTAACGGGTGCGCCCTGGAAGTACTCAAAGGCAGACGTTTGTTCTCGAGGGGCGCCTCGTGCCCTTGCGAACGGCCTTTCTTTGCGGAGAGGAAGCTCTAAAGATACGAACAGCAGCACTGCTGCCGTGCCTGAGGCGGCCTTAGGAAGAAAACACTGTAAATTGCTAAGCCGAACAAGGGCCCTAGGAAATAGTGGCACTAGTGGGGTGCACAGGGGACCTCGAATGGGGAGAGAGATGGATTAACGGGGCGGAAGTGTCTGCTGCTTCAGTGTAAAGCGCTCAACGCAGGCAAGACTCCAGTTGCAGCAGTACCCCAAGACAACGCCTCCGGCTGAGGGTTCGGTAAAGGCGAGCGCAGCCAAGATCTGAGACGAACGCCGGCAGGTACAACGAGGAGTGTGCGGGATTTAATGGATTATGCTCGTAGTATATCCAACGAGGAAACAAGGACGGTTTCCTTATAGGTCCGTATTATATTTTTTTCTGCCTTCGCCTTTGCGCAGCACACTGCGGCATGCAACCGCGTACAAGGGGAACTCCGGCCGTGGCAGGAGTGACCCTGGTCCTGGTCCAGCAGCCGCCGATGCGGCTACCTTGGCAGGCACCACCTTACAGCATTTGTACTCCTCGAATTTCGAGCAGTAACTCCTTCAGTCAAAGAAAAGAGGAAGATCTGTATATGCGCGTGTGGTCACCACGCTGCTGTTGATTCTTCTTGCCGGCTGCAACGACCCGAGAGGCACGTGTCTGCTCATCTCCGTGCGATGCAAGGAGCCATAGCCTCGCAGAATCTTCTGCGGCGACTTACTCTCCGCCCTTGCCTTGCCTCTGGAATCTTCCGGGGCCTCCCGTGTAACAGGGGGATGGCCACACTTTCGGGTGGCTGGGAACCCTGCAGTGATCCATTGATTTCGGTGGACGAGCTGGCTGCAGAGCTAGCTGCCCATGAGCAGCAAAGGCCACTCCTGCTGGATTGCAGCAAAACTGGTCTGCCTATTTTTGGGGGCCGCTCTGCTGAGGAGGAATTCCTGGGGGGCCCCCGGCTGCCGGGGGCCCTTTACTTTGACATCGATGTTTGCTGCGATACCAACAGCCCGTTCCCGCATATGCTGCCTTCGCGCTCGCAGCTGCACGCATACTTGCAGGCGCTGCTGAAGCAAAAGCAGCAGCAGCAGCAGCACACGCAGGAACCGCAACAGCCGGAGCTGCAGCGGCAGACAAAGATTGTCTTATATGACTCCGTAGGCTTCTTTTCTGCCCCCCGAGTGTACTGGATGCTGCGCTGGGGCGGTTGGAGCTCCCGAATTCTGAACGGAGGCCTCAAGGCCTGGATAGCAAGCGCTAAGCCCCTAGACAGGCAGCCACTCACGACAGACACCCTCCTCCCCCTTCCTGAAGGTGGTAGCGAGACTGCTAGTAATGCTTCTGTGGATGCTGCTGCGAGCAGTGGGCATAGCCACTTGCACTCCACGTATGAAGATGTCTTGCAGAGCCTCGATGAGCTCGCAGCCTCAATTGAGGCCTGCACAAAGCAAAGCACTGGCACCAGCAGCAGTACGAGGACCGTGCTGTTAGTGGATGCGCGCTCTCACGAAAGATTTTGGGGTCTGTCTCCGGAGCCTAGGGAGGGCCTTTTCGGTGGTCACATTCCATCCTCTGTGAACCTTTTCTTCGTGGAAGTCTTGCAGCCGCATGCATTCTTCCCCTCGAACACCGACAGCACCACCAGCTCAGGGCCCACAACATACCTCTGCCCCTTCGAAACCTCCGCAAAGGCCCCCCCATTCGGCTACGCAACTCTAAAGACGGGAGCTCCCCTTCTTCTTGCTCTGGCACCCCTTCTGCTCCGTGCAAATGTAGGCGGCATCAGCCAGCAGCTGCAGTCGCTTTCCCAGCAGGGACAGCACCAGCGACAGAAACCATCGCATTTGCAGGAAGACTCGCAGCTAGACTTTTCACGCGCCAAAAGAATTGTCTGCACCTGCGGCACGGGTGTAACCGCATGCATTGTGTACCTTGCTCTCCTAAAGGTACGCTGTGTCCTGTGGCACAGTTGCTGATGCTGCATGCCTTGCGTGTTTGGCGCCCTTCTGTGACACTTCGGCCTCACGGCCTGCAGCTCTTGAGCCCGCTCCTCTTAGCCACTGCCATTGATGTTGCTGCTACAGCCAGTCTTACACAGCTGACCTTGTTGTCTCATTGTTGCTACAGGTTGGCTACCCAGAGGCTCTGCTGTCTGTATACGACGGCTCTTGGACTGAATGGGCAGAGCGGCGCCTTACCGAGGGCCACCAGGAGGGCTCAGGCAGCAGCTCCTCCTTGCCCACTCTCATCGTTCCACCCCCAACGCAGCAGCAACAGGACGCTCTTCGTAGTGTCATACAGGCCAGGCAGCGCGCGCCAAGTTCGCGCTGACCTTGTGGCACCTTCTTCGAATTTCGACAGGAAACAGTTTCGCGGGCTAGAGAATCCTGACACGGCCCCCCACTTGTACCTCCGTAGATCTAAGTCGAATGGATAGATATCTTCTGGGGATACCTGTAGGCGCGCGTATATCGCTTTCCCCTTCACACACAAACACTTTCGTGGAGACGCCGCTGGGGGTACCTCCACCTTGAGATAAAGGAGGTCCCAGTAGGCGCATATTTGTAATCATCGTACGTTTCTTGAGGCCCCCGTACCGCCTCAGTGCTAAACCCCTCGCGGGGGGCTTTCTGCAAGATCGCGCTTCTGGTGTCTCTCAGGCTCTAGCAACTCTATTAAGAGCCCCTACATGCGAGTATGTGCATCCACTTGTATTCTGAATACGCGGTTGCATGTGAACCCGCGTCTCTGCGCATATGCTACACTTTTATAGCACGCCCCTATCAAATGTAGCAATATTTGTCTCTTAAACTGAAGCTTCATGCTTTCAGGTTTTCACCTCCAATTTAATTCTCCGAATGCCTATGCACACTCACTCGTTTGCCTTACTGTGCTTCGCGAGATATTTTTCCTTTTGCGAGTCCGCATTCATCTGTTTGTTCTCTCCAAAAGAGCAAACGCTTTGTAATGAATCAGCTCCTTGTAGAGACTGACATTCTGCACCTGTGCGTACACCCATAGGCTTGCGTCCACAAACCTGTCCGAACAGCTCCGGGTGTGCTGTTGTATTTCGCTATAGCTCCCGTCCACCTGGTGTCTGCAGGTACGAAGCAAGTGTACGTTTGGTGCCTTGCTTGCCGCGAAAACTCACTTTTAGAGCAGTAGATCGTGTTCTCAAAGGTGCTACTGCTAGTGCTGATGCGTCTGTTTCTGCTCTTGCTCTGAGCACTGCCGTTGATATGTTTGCTATTGTGTTTTCTTCATTTATTGCTGCCTGTTTCATTCAACAGGTGCTGCTGCTACTGTTGCTTGCCTGTGCATACTCACCTCCGCTCACGGGTTCGACATCCTCGTGCTGCTGAGGACCTAAGAGCGGCTGAGAATACTGCGCAAGGGGCTGTAAAGGAAAATAGCACGAGTCTTCTTGATTTTGTCAGAGTGCATATGCCTGAATAGATACGTGACAAACGTTACCGGAACTCACGGAAGCCGTATAAGCATTTTTCTCTGCAGGTGTACAGCCATAAGGGTTTATGCAACTATCGGAAGCGTGTTTCTGCTTTAGTAAGAAAGAGGCAACATGAACACTACAAGGACGAGAAAATAGAAGGCCTAAGCTTGTGTATTAAATGCTAAGCTACATGAATACATGGTGCACTGCTACAGGTGAGAACTACAGATAACTACATGACTATGAAACATGCAAAGCCGCTTTAAACATTTTTTGCGCAAGCTTAGGGCTTTCTCCTCACCATATAATTATTCGACGTTCGAGCTGTGGAAGTATGGCACACCGGAACTCCTGCTGTTGCCGTGAGTGCTCCAACATTTTGTGCGTTGTACAAATACTGTAGTAGCTGCTGCTAATCTAGGTGCTACCACGAACTTCGGTGGTATTAGTGTATCTGATGTCCAGATAAATCCCCAGCAGCGGGCTGATGCCACGTGCAATACTTCATTTGTCTCTATAAGGACACGCCCTACGCCAGGCCTCAAACCAAGGTTAAAATAAACTTATTGTGAGTGCTTCCAAAAGAGGTCTTCCAGCCCTTACCGTCACCCTCAGAGGGCACCGCCTGTAGGGAAAGGGGCATCTAGGATGTACGTTGGTGCAACCTCAAAATTCTCCGAATATTCGCAGCTAGTCGCGCGTAGCACTTGTGCAAACCCACGTTACATTGTGACTTCCTGCATAGAGCTGACGCTGCTCTGCAATAAAAAAGATATTCGAGCACATATTTCAACGAGTGAATCTATTAATTCTTTTTAAAGATTGATAACGCAGTAGAGAGTGCCTAATTGATGCTTAGCCCAATCCAGCAAGTGCAGGCTTCTCATCCATTATCACATCAAACTGGGCATTTTTAAAGCTCCCTGCTCAGCTGATTGTACCACCTGTGAGAGCTACAAAAAAATTTCTACCACTATATGGCCTGCTGTATTCCCTTAAAAGTACACATGTGCCCAACCACCCTTGTGGCGTAGAGTGTGCGGATTCTTGGTTTATGTAGAAAAGCTCCTTAAAATTTGTTGCTTGCCTGCGGCATCGATCAAATCCAATGAAATCCCCTTGTCGGCGCTGTTTTATTCTGTGAAGACGCTTGAGGGAACTTTCCTCCCTACAGCGAGTGTCCCTACATGCAGCGTAAAAGGTACCTCAGAGACTAGCTTTCCCGGTCCCCACAGAAACTCACATTTCTCTGCGCTCTGCTTATTAAAGTAAGTCATTTCAGCTCTACTAGGCATAAGCACCCTAGGTGAACTACAGCATACACTGGTTCATCGTGGGGTGTGCATCAAGCATAGCCCCTGCTGCGCGGTAGATCGTATCTTGGGATTTCTCAGGAAACACCCGACAAACACGTATCTGCAGTACTTTTTATTGTGATAACTAATGCTTAGAAGAAAACCCTGCGAGTTTTCATGCCAGGTGTTGTGCAGCCCATTGACCCCCGTTTGAAGTAGCGGTGGGAAAACATTCCATTTGACCACTTCAGGTCAGGAGGCAGGGGGGCACCTCGATAGTCCGAAACATACACTGAAATATTCAATCCATTGTTATTTCAGGGTGATCTCAGTGGTCGTTCATTGTTTACTTAATGCCCTGACCATCACTATCCCCGGTGCTACCAGGCGTATCCTACAGTGGGGCGATGATTCGCTGCGCTCGTTGGTGTTTATGCTCCTTCCTGCCTCTCTCACATTTGTGCTACCGAAATCAATGACTTTCTGTGGCTTGTATTCCTACTTGGGGGAGACGTAGCCGGAACGTACTGCACCATTTGCAGATGGGCACCGAACAGGCCTTGCCACCTGCGCAGCTCCACATATTTCGAGTTTCCACGCACCTCCATTAAGGAAGAGCGCTGAAGTGTATCTTTTTCGTTGCACGTCTGAGTATGGCTCGCCTCACCGACAAGAGGGAGGGCCCCTCTAAGCAGACCCTTCCTACCAGCTGGCTCAGCAGGCACCAGGCCCTCTCCCGCTGGGCCTTGCTGCTCGCAGGCGTTTCCGTCAGTGTCTTTTCTGCGTACTGGGGCCTCTTCTACAGTAACACAGGATTGCGCCGTTCAAGTTTCGACAGCGAGTTGCCCCCGTCCAGTGCGTTTCCCGCTATTACCCTTTCCTGGCTCCTTACTGGTGAGCCGCATCCCCCCGCAGCGCCTTCCCACGAAAGTGCCCCTTTTGCTTGTCTGGTTGCTGTGGTGGTGGATGGCGACACGATACGCTGTATTCCCGTACTTACTGACGCCGAGGTGTCCATACATTTCCCCGCGCAGCAGCAACCAACGCTCCGACCCCTGCTCGCAGCCCTAGAAAATCTTACTACGGTGTACAGTAACCTCAGAGCACCACCACAGCTTACCCTGCCAACAGTGGCCTCAAGTTGCTCCCCCATATCCTCGTGCACCCTGAATGTTCGGCTGTACGCCATAGACGCACCTGAAACACGAAAACGAGGCATCCGTAAGGCCGACCCTGATTCTAGGGGCAAAGAGCAGGCTCCGGAGGCCTTGCCCTCCATGGTGTACGGCTCAGCGTTTCTGGACGTAGGAGGTCAGCCACTGGGCGTCGCAGCAGCAGCCGCGTTGGCAGATATGGTCTTGGGCCGGGTGGTGCTGGTAGTGCCACTGCGGCTAGACCAGTACAAGAGAATCTTAGCCCGAGTCCTTCTCCCCGCAGTTACGCATAGATCCACAGAAGGGTCCATGGCTTTCGCCAGCTACTTTCATGCCGTCTTTACACACATAGCCGCGCAGGCAATCCCCACGGACTCTGAGGGCCAGCTTGTCAATAAGGCTCCTCCAAAGGAGGCCGGCCAGAGTGCCCAGCGACTTGTAGAGGCTCTAGAGGCGCCTTATTCGCAGAAAGAGACCCTTCACGCGCTTGCAATAGCTAAAGACACGCTGTGGAAGCTCAGAAAGCCTTCAGGGTTTTCTAGACCCTCCAAAAGCAGCAACAGCCCAGACTTAGAGGAGGGCCCTCGAGAGTCGGGTGCCCGCGTCAGAGAGGCATGTTACTTGCTGCAAATACTGGAGCAGAGTCGGATACCGCTGCTGTTCGACGTGAGCGATGTACTGCTGAGGCGGGGTCTGAGTGTACTGTACACTGGAGGGGGCCGCGTGTATGCGGGGAGGCGCCCACAGCTTGAAGAACTCCAGCGCACTGCGGAGAGAAACAAGGAAGGCATTTGGGGCCTCCCCATAGAACTCAGAGAGAGCCCCATGGAGTACAAACGGAGAAAGAAGGCAAACTCAAACAAAAACAACCTCCCCAAGAGGCAGCAGAGAACCTAGTAACGACCAATAAATTTCCAGTGTGGGGAAAAGGGCTTCCTGGAAAGCCTGTGGAACCGGCTTCGAGGCCAACCAAGGACGGCCAAGCTGAGACGTTCCACCCGCCCTTAGGGGACCCACTGGTCCTTTGTCAAATACTTTCCTCGATTCATTGGCAAAGACCTTTCCGTGCTGCGAGTCGGGTGCCCTTTTCCTCCGCAATGTTCAGGGGACATCCTCCTACAGTGTGGCTGATGCATTGCTGTAGGCGGTGTTTCGACGAACCCGTCCAGCGAGATATGTCTTGCTTCTAAAGCAAACGCAAGGGAAATCTCTAGCTAAAGGGGTTCGCAGCTGGAAGTGTGCACTTTGGTAAGGCCTTGCAGAGGCAGGCATCAAACGCACGGGCCCATCACCGTGTGAGGCGTTTTCTTCACAGGCATGGCTGCATGAGCGTAGCTCTGCTCGCATTGAAAGGTTTATACGTATGCGTGCCAGCAAGGTACATCTGTATATATGTACATCAATTTGTCTCTATACTTTCCCTACACCGTGCATGTTCTTGTAGATGTACGATCAGGTAAAATTTTTGGTATGTGCATGCACACACTCGGTAAAAATTGTTCTTTGAAAACGCCTACAAATACAAAATTGCAAGTATGGACAAATTGAGAGAGTCCGTACAAAGTATGTATGCCATTAAACCTTAAGTTTTCCGTCTCAAACCCGCCCTCGGGCCTCCGTGAGCTTCACCTCATCAAAAGTAGAGGGCCCCTCATGGGGCTATTGTACCAGAATAACGTCAACGTAAACGCGCCTGACCTGCGCACGGCCCCCTGGCCGCTGCGGGGTCTGCGGCTGCTTCATTTAGAATCAGCATACCCTGTGTCTTTATCGTGTGGCCTCCCTACTAGGGGAGCCCTCGGAAGAGTGCAAAAAGGGGCCACAGCAGCCGTGAGACTGAGAGGCCGCAAAAGATGTAGAGAGAAACACTGTCTCTTTATTCTGCTCTCTCCATCCCGTCTCCTTTTTGAAGCAACACCAGCGGAACCACACCTCTTTGCGGCTGTGCAGCTACACACGCCATCAACTGACGCCGTGGAGGCGCATATACAAGCGAAGACAATGACATCCATGTATCTCCTTACAGAGGGGGGCGCCTTGCTGGCCGTGAGGCGTGTGCATCTGTTCATTGAGATGTCACCAACGGAGCTGTCATATTGTTCTGGAAGTAAATCATCAGGGATGAATAGGGAGAGGCTGCACGAGGCCCGAGAGCATGCTATGTCGTGGTAGTCAGTCAGACTCCCCCGAGAGATCGCCAAACACAGAGAACCTGTTCCCTGTTTTTACTGAAGGGGAAGCCGCTGAGTGAGCAGGCCTACAAGACAGTGGCACAACAAATACAGAAACATACCCTTATAAGACAGGGAAGATAGTCGGTTAGCAGCACTGGGGGAGAAGGCAGTGGTCCGCACACGGACGGCTGGCAAAGCGACCCGTTTCCCCCTCTTCCCAGAGGCCGCGTCTGTACACCCCACGAGGGGAGCCGGGAGGGGAGGCGGCAATTCAAACGGCACAAAGGGCCACACACGCTAGGTGCTTTTGAACGCATAGCAGCAACTCCAATAGAAGACAAATGGCATTCTTCCAGTAATAAGTAGTAGTAAGAGCACTGCACAGACACACACGGCCAAAGGCTGCATCTCAATCTGTAGAACGGTGATGTGCTCACCCTTCCCGCGACGTATTGGCAAAATTCTGCTGCTGTTTGCCTCCTCCCTGTTGTTGCTGTTGCCGCTGCTGCTGCTGCTGCTGCTGCTGCGCCTGTGAAGCTGCAGCATCTCCCGAGGCAGCAGCAGCGGCGGACGCTCCTGTTGATTCGCGGCTCGCCGATGACCAAGAGGTTCTTTGTCGCTCTTCGAGCGGCCCCGAGTTCACACGCCTCTTTGCACCCCCCGCACTGCCGCTGCCCTGGTTGTTGACATGATCTGCCCCTGCATCAAATATGACAAGTGACAGCTGCGCTGCTACCTCCACGGCGATCGATGTAAAACCGACAACCGCTCGTGCAAAACAGTCAGTGCTCGCATCATAAGCGACAGCACGACCACCTGCCAAGCAGCTGACTTGAGCGACAGCACACACACTACACGCAACTTCTTGTGGGTGATGCGCGGCTGCAGCCGCGCATCACCCTCAAGAAGGCAACCTTAATGACCCCTGCTGACTCAATGCTCACCACCAGACAACCTCCATTGTCGTTGACTACATTTGTCGTGCTCGTCTTCCCGTTTTTCCCGTGGGGGGAAGCCTCGCTGCCAGCGTGAGCCTCGCTCCCGGCAAGGGACTCCTCCTGAGGCGTCCAACCGCAGCAGCAACAGGGCGACAAGCGAGCCGCTAACTAACAGCAGCGACAGAAGAGTATACGCAGCCAGTAAAACGCCTTTGCAGAAGCAGAAAGGGAAGTTTCTTGACGCGGATGGCACACCTGCCGAGGCGGCGCATGAATGCTGTCCATCAGCGTACCCTCCCGTATCAGCCTAAGCACACGACAAGCCAAAGAGCACCGCTTTACCCAGCAGCCGCTGCATGCAGATCACTTGCTGCCAGAGGAGGAACCGGCATCCAGAACATATACACACACACAGATTTCAATCCACCAGCACCAGCGGCAGGTCCTGCTGGAGCTGCTACGCCCTTATAAATACATACATATATGTATCTAGCCTGCCCTCGGTGTACTGCTTACGTTGCGCGTTGTCTGGCTGTTGGTGCTGCTAAGACTCGTTGCTGCAGCACCTCCTGTCGCCCCTGCTGCGGACTGGCGGACGTTGTCGTCCCTTGCAGAGCCCCGGTTCAGAAGAGGCCCTCCCCCGGGGTGAGGGGGGCCCCACCGGGGGCCCCCCCCAGTGCCTCCCCGGGAGGCCCCCGCAGCTGCGCCCCCTCGTCTGTCTCCTCCTCTGCCTCCGCGTTTATCCTCTCTGTAGCTGCCCCCCCTGTGACCATAGCCGTGCTGCTGATACTGCTGGTGAGGGTTCTGTTGGGGGTACTGCTGGCTTGGAGGATGCGGAGCCTGCGCTTCCCCAGGGGCCCCTCGCCCCGAGTGAAGTAGTGGGCCCTCCTCAAGAGGCGGCTTCGTTTCCGCGTCTTGCGCGCTCGGAGGCTGCGAAACACCCTCCGCCTTTGTCTGCCAGGCCTGCGTATAAACACAACCGCAAGAACTAATAAGTACGTCGGCGCATGCAGCAGCCACCGTCAGGGCCCACAGGGACCAGCAGCGAGCAGCTGCGTGAGAGCTGCTGCAGCAAACTCGCGGCGGGGCGCATCACGACGGTACCTGTCGGCCCCTCGACTTCTTCACTTGCTGCTGCTCATGTTGCTCTAGCTGCTTGACAGAGTCATCGGGGAAGAGCTGAGACGCCAAAGGCCCCGTTCGCGGTGCAGCCGGAGGAGCAACGCATGCGTTCTCTTCGTGCTGCTGCTCGCCCTGCTCGCCTGCGACTTCGGAAGGGGCTGTCACTGCACAGACACCCCGCACTCTAATAGAGCCCCGCTTTCGCTGCTGCTGCTGCTGCTGCTGCTGCTGCTGCTGCTGCTGCTGCTGCTGCTGCTGCTGGGGGTGGGGGCCCCCTCCTACGCTGCTGCGAGCAGCAGTGCTGCCCTTCGACGTGTCCCCCACTGCATCCGCAGTGCTCCCGCTACTGCCTCCTTCGGGCGCAACCCGCCAGCCCCGGCGTGCAGGCGTCGTGGCGTCCTGCTGAGGCGCAGTGGGCCCTATTAAGGGGCCCCAAGAAGCTTCCCCCGTCCTCGGTCCAGCTGTTGAGGCCTCGGATGTCGGCGGATGGGGATGGGGCCCCGCCGCTGCTGCTGCAGAGGCCTTGGCGGGAAGATCCTCCGGGGGGGGGGGAACAGCTACAGGCTTTGAAATCGGTGCCGATATTCGCTTTTGCTGCACAGACAGCAACCGAAAGGCAGCACAGGCAACAGAGTAAGATCCGTGCACAAGCTGGAAGTGGCACCAGGAGACAGGGGGGCGCCGAACGCAGCACCAAGGAGATATGCTCAGCGTCCAACAGGCCGCATCCGCATATGCACTTCGCTATCCAATTTCAGTTCAGCGGAGCCCGCGGCTGCTGACTGTGCACTAGAGACTGCTCCCTACCTCCTGTGCGGAGGTAGTAAGCAGCGGTTCTTCACGAGGTCTCGCACCGCCTAGAACATCTTGTCGCCTTCGGGGCCTCTCAGGCGCAGTATACTGCTGCTGCTGCTGCTGTTGTTGTTGTAAACCCACCCTCCATCGCGGCTGCTGCTGCTGCTGAGGCGGGGGTTGCTGCTGTGGCTGCGGCTGTTGCTGCGGCGGGGGAGGCGGGGGTGGAGGCGCATGCATGTTGTGCAGGTGCATGGCTTTGAGGTCGGGGGTATCTTCCGAGGCCCCCTGTTTGAGGGGACTCCCGCGGGCCTCCTTCAGTCTTTGGAGCACTGCGGCTTCATCGCGAGGCTTTGCTTCCCCAAAAATCGCTGGATTCAATTTCAACCTGCAAATTCCCAGAGAAACGCCGAGCGGCCTAAGAATAAACCTTGCAGCCATAGGTTCTTGGGGCCGAGGACCCTAGCCAGAGGACAACAACCCCCGCTTCTCGCATCCATCGCGAGGCTCTATCAGAGGAGACGATTTTTTGACGCAGCGTGCGATTAGTGCAGGAAGCCCTCTCAACGAAGGCTCGATGTTCACTCAGGCCTCCCCCTAGGGGCCTAAGGACGTCGTCTTACCCTTGTGGTCTCAGCTGCTCTTTCAGGAGGTCTTTGGGGGCTACCAGAGGGGCCGAAGAGACTGCCCCATTGCTGCTCAAGTTCGACACCTCCTGCTGCTGCTGCTCCTTCGTGCTGCCCGGGGTAGCAGTGGTAGCCGCAGCAGACGTGTCGGGGCTTTTGCCCCTTCTGCGCCACTTACTGTCCGGATTCGCAGCTCGGGGGGCCCCCTGAGGCCCTCCCCCCGAACCGCCTCTTGTCAAGGGGGAGCCACTGCCTCCGCCTCCGCCTCCGCCTCCGCCCCCCCCCGGAGCGGCGGGAGCGCCTCGTCGATGGCCCTCTGAGGACGTCGCTGTGGAGGACCCTGCTGCTGCACCGGAGGGGCCCCCCAAGCCTCCCGTGCGAAACTTCGAGAAACATGCGTCCAGGATATCGGGGGGACGCAGCTGTATCTTGAGAATCTGGGGAGGCCTCTGGCGTTCCCCTCGCGGAGCTCCAAGGGAGGCCCCTCCTCGCCTGGGAATAGGGCGGCCATTCATGGCAAGAGCCGCACAGACTGCCTCGTGCGAGACGAAAGACACCTCAGCTGCATGCAGGCCCCCACAACACATGCGCAACAGCAGGATAAACAGACACCCATGGACGCCACGCGGGACTACACGTACACATGCATCCTAATACACGACATTCCTATGTGTGTGCATGCACTCTCTACAGACCCGCAATCCACATGCACACGGACAGCGACAGAAGCAGGCGAGCATTGAGCGGAAACACTCACGCCACAGATACACACAGAGACACAAACAACACACACACACACACACACATACACACACACACTGGATCCTCTCCACACACTGGATCCTCTCCACACTCTGGATCCTCTCCACACAGCAGTGATTTACCGAGGAGAGAATCCAAGCAGAAAATACGCATGAGCAGGCAGGCCCTTCCGCCGAGGGTGAGTTCTGCCCGTGTGTATTTCTGCAGTCGTGCCCGTCCCCTCCACCCCGAATAAGAGCATGCCACCATGCATGCAAGGGCCTCCTTGTGCCCGTGCCTTTCTCACCTGAAAGCAAGCCCGATCTCCGGCTGCTGTCTCCCCTCTTGATTCGCACTCTACGAACTCCGTGGAAGAGGGCTGCAATGTCTTTCTCTGTGGTACGGCCGTCTAACTCTGTTAGCAACAAGTCCCGAACTCCCCGATCTTCCACTGCACAGACGCAAACATGGCATGCAATAGCCAATCTGGATGTCTGTCGGCAGCAGCACCGGTGCTCAGCACCACAATGCCCCACAAAACACCTCCCGCATGCAGAGCGCTTGCTGGCGACACACGTGCCGTGACAGGGTCCTCAGCAGCTGCCGCCATTAAGCGTATCACGTCTCTGTGGAAAGCTTGGGAGCACTGCATGCATGCGCAAGCATGCGCCAGAGCGATGACACCGCAATCCCTCCGCAGAGGAAGGTGCAACACCCCACGCGAGGAAACACTGCGTCCCCCTGCGGGGGCACCGCCCCACAGGCCTAGGGGAATTCCGCACTCCTCCACCCCCGCTTCCCCGACCCCCGTTCCCAAAAGAGTACAGAAACCAGCTGCCCAGTGCCGTCCTGACCGGTCTAAGCCCCCCTTTCTACGCATGCCTCAGAGGGTTAGACAGCGCATGAACTCCCAAAAGACGCACTGACGACGGGGATAGGGCTCTCATCGGAGACTCCCAGCCTGAAGGGCGGAGGTGCTGCCCCCGAGGCCATCGGATCGAACGCCGGGGAGTCTAAATCGTCACTTTCGTCTGCCCAACGGTTGCGCCTTTGCGTGCAGTCTCCGCGCTCCGTAAGGGGAGACGTGTCTTCTCCTTCGGCAGCAGCTGCTGCGGCTGTTGCGGTCGTTGCCGTGGACGCGTCTCCTGCCGCTGCGGGTGCTGAAGCGGCCGACAAGCTATCCAACCCCACAGATCCAGATCCGGAAGCCACCGTAGGGCCCTCGGGGGCCCCAGGGCCCTCCGGGGGCCCCGGCGGCGGCACAGAGGGACACTCTGGAGTCGTCATGGACAGACGCTGCCTGCTGCTGCCCCCAGCCCCTCTGCCCCTGCTGTCGCCGCTCCCGCTGCTGCTCGTCGTTTTGGGATGCCCTCACACCACCCCAAAAGGCAAGGAAGGTCGCGACCAACAACCGGGGTGCAGAATGGGGCCCCTGGTGCTGCTGCTTGGGCAAACCCGGCTTAGCGCGGCGAGGGCTCTGGGGGGCCCCAAGCCGTAAAAAGAGACCGACGCGCTGAAATAAGTGTTATGCCTCGAGGACGGTGGCTCAGCTCCCTTGCTGTGCTAAAAACAGGCGAAGATCGCGCGCTGCTGCTGTGGCGGCTGTGACGGCGGCCGCTGTGTGGGAACGGTGCAGGGGTGAGGCGTATGCCTGCGGCCCCTTCGGCTGCAACACTCTGGAGCACAAACCATGCCTCAAAGGCCCCCAAAGGGAACCGGCCTGCCTAGAGGCAGCAGAAGGGCTTCTGGCCTCTGCTGCCCGGTGAAGCACAGCGACGACACGGCACAAGGGATAAGTCAGCCCAACGGGAGAAAGTGATAGAGAAGAGAGATAATTACTAGTCGAATTGTTCGCTTCTTCTTTATTAAATGCAAATCTACAAGATCGGGTAGCCTATGCTGCTATGGCAAGCCGCCACGGCTGCAGTTGCTGCTGCGGTTGCTGCTGCTGCTGCTGCACTTGGTACCCCCCCGCTGCTGCCGCCGCTGCTGTGCGTCGTGCTTTAACTTCTAGTACTCCTGCTAAAGAGTTTTTTTAAAGGCGTATCCAATATTTCGAGAAGTTGGGAGCTTCGCCATAGCCACTTTACTTCGGCGATGAAGACAGGAGGCCAGGACACTCACCTATGCTTTGACCCGCCATACCTTCTTGCATTGTTGCTGCCACTCCTGTTGGTGGAGAAGCTGCTGAGTGCAAATGCGTGAACGCTCCACAAAAACAATGCCTTCTTTTAATTTTGTGAAGTCTCTTCGATTCAGATGATAAATATACTGCCGGATCATCCTGCAAGGCTACGAAACACTTCCTGCGGAGCAGTGTGTGGCCTCCCACCCAGGCTAAGCAATCTCCTACAGCCGACTGTAGCGGTTTGCAGCGAACCACGCTAGGCTCACGCACCTTCTGCCCCATTACCTGTGTTCAGCGATGATTGACCTAAACGTTGGCTGCAGAAACAACTACTGTTGCATCTTAATTGTTGCAAGGTGAGGCTTCTAGGCGTACTTCAATAATGACTGTTGTTTGTCAAGTTTCTAGTCTAAATGGGTATAGCTATTCCGAAATGATCATAGGGTGTAACTAAGTGCATCCAGCTGCCCATTTTTTCCTTGAATGAAGGACCTAAAGAGGTGATGACTCGTAGTTGTACCTTCTCGCCACGGGTCTCCTTAGGAAGGCACTTGACACCTTACCAAGGACAAAACCTTAAGGGAAGCTAACTAATGTGCCTCCAGAGGAGATTCCTCTTCCTGAGCTCACCTTATAGGATTCAGGCGTGGGGACAGAGGATCAGCTAGGATGTGCCTTGCTGTCTGGTCTACGCAATCCCATGTTTCACAGATAGTTGCGTATAGCGACTGGTGCACTGGAGCTGTAGCGCTTCATCTAAAGTCTGATTAGAGAGACACTCAGTTGCAACCTCTCTACGAAACTTTGAGCAAGTTATCGAGTGCTATACCCGAAATAGCTCTCCCCTCTCCCATCCCTTGCCCCTCGAGGCTCCAGTGTTGTCGCGGGGTATGCCACACCTCAACACTTTTTACTACACTATTTATATTTAGCCAACAATAAGCAAAAAAGTGATTAATTGCTTGTTTGTCCCTATATTGTTCCTTGCAGCGAACCGTTAGCTGTGGATACAACAAGACGCAATGTTGATAGCTTGTGTGCTAGATACTAAGTGCAATTAGCTGCGAAACCTCGGAGTGCTTATAGGGTGTAGCAACGAGAATCCTATTAGTCCCTTCCCCCCATGTAGGACGATCTAAGGTATCAAGCAGCTATACAATTCTTAAAACACTCAACAGCTTATTGTAATGTTTGTACTAAATCTGGAGTTTTAGTGACCCCTACGAAAACCTTAATTGGCACGGTACATGATCCACTGTTTCAATAGTCTGTGGATGGGGGAAAAAGCCGTACCGAAAAATGCAGTGCTGTCACATGCAAAGCTCTGTCTAAGGTCTCAATAGGGAGAGACTCAACCCCAGGCTCAATACTAAGTTATTCGCTGTTCATCGAAAGAACTTCCACTTTCCCTTTGCCCGAACCCCTCAGAGTTCCTAGGATGAGAGGGGGTTCAGCCAGGTTGCGCTTGGCTGCGCCTTCACCCCATATTCACCACTATTCGGACATAGTAGCTAGCACGTACTCGCGGAAGGTTGCGTTGTGTTGTATGGAAATAAGTTTACACAAGAAATCAGAAATAAAAATACACCAACACCATATCTGACTACTAATTTTGTTATTATGACTAGTGTGTCATAACCTGCCGAAGTGTGGGATAGCCTGCTACATTTTCTCACCCCGCCTTTCAAAACACACGCCCTCATGTTCCGTGCCCTTCCACCTAGACCATCTGAGTGCAGGAAAGTGATAAAGTCCCCGTCCTACTGCCACTCCTCACGCAGGCACAGACGCGAAAACACTGTAAATGAGAAGCGTACTGTGGGCAAATGCCGACAAGGCTAATTGATAAAAACAAACACATGTGCACTAGCTAACAACGAACGAGGGACCAAACCAACGACACCGCGGCAGAGCAACGGCTAACGGTCATCAAAGCGCTGAAAGGTGTGAGCTTCCTGCTAAGAGAAAACCGAAAGCAAGTACAAGGTGTTATGAGAATCGGCATAAAAACTAATTTGCCAGTGACTCCGCAATTTATCAATCAATATCTGCCTGCAGCCATTGCATGCAGCGTAATTAACTTTAAACCCTTACCGGAGGCGGAAGCATGATTATAAAGACGAGGTACGTGGAAGTGTCTGCACATTAATCTAAGTGAATGAAGCACCTCGAGAGTAAGAGGCAAAACATTTAAAGCAATCTTATTGGTGAAGGTAGCTATTTCAGCCAGATCATGTGCTGGGGAGGAACAATTTTTTAAGGGGGTGAGGAATGCCGTCCACAAAATCTAGCGTTATTAACCAAGCATATTCCTCAATTCACGAGCATGCGACGAAGTCAGCAGTTGTTCTTTATCCATCCACAAGAGGTGGTCTTCCCTCACATATTTCACCAGAAACTTTCGTCTATTTTGTCCACGGGTCACCATAGACCTAGAATCCAGCACTTCTAGAGCTCCCTGTGATTGCTCAGCCCCCTACGGCTCACTTGGCTGCGCAACGAATTTTGCATGTAATTGGAGGAGTTTGACCTATTGCTAGAAAATCAATATTGGTAGTTCTATGGCTCATCCAGTGCAAATAAGAGTGAAAGAAAGAAAGATTTTTGATTCGTGAGAGAATGGAAAAGGGTCCTCGCCACCTGGCTGCAAACGTATTCACTTAGTAAGTTTATGGGGGACCGAACAGAGTGTACTGATGCACTAGGATCAAATCCCCGGGCTCGAAACACACAGCTGACCACTGCTGAGCTTAGTTCCCTGCGTGTCTCTCTTGAGCTTTGCATATACATTCGCATGCACTAGCCACATGCTTTCTAAATCCCTCTGCTGCTACTGGTGAAAACTAGCTATAGACCTTCGGGCTCAGGCCCAGCTTAGAGGAGGGCTGCTCAGGATAGACCAGGAGTGCAGGAGGACAGTGGTTAGGCGGGGTGCACCGAAGTCTTACAGACCGACTCGGCGGACGAAGGAAACTCAAAGCTACGCAATTGAATTTTTGCTTATATAGAGCTGCAAATAAGTAGAAGAGCTTGTCTGGTGTACTACATTTGTTCACACGCCCCAACATGGATTGCAGTGGTTATCGCATGGTCAGTGACATACATATGACAAGAGGTTCCAGACATGAAGATAAGACAACTTAGCGACTTTCGGAGCCGTGATAAAGCTGGAGCACGTAATGAAATACGCATACCTGCTGAGTCTGTCGAAAGCAGCGGGAATGCTACGTTGGACCTTAAACTCTTGCACTCAGCAGCAAAGCCCATAGTCAAATCAGTCCAAATCCTTCCACGCGGAGAGTAAACTTGTCAAGTCCGGGTATAGATGGATCTGGGCCTAGTCAGCTGCTGAGATGGGCGCGACAGTGCATAATTCTCGCCAATGACGCATCCCAGGCCATTGGAAGGAGCTTGAGCGCCTTTCCGCTGTAGGGTGAATCTAACTATGGTTAGCAAGAACGTGATTATTTGCTTGGCACACAAAGGCATTGAGGGGCAACGCTAGAATGTAGAGTGTACCTCCCCTTTTTTAAGCCACAGAAAGATATCCTTAAAATGGGAGTCCTGCGCCGTTGTCATTCTTTATTTTGTCACTAGTAGTTGCAAATGTATGAAGGTCAAAAACGTTCTGGTGAAGCATCACGGACATGGGCGTCGTGAGAGGGTGTCGGCGACCATGTTGGTGAAGCCTTGAATTTACTTCGCTGGAAAGTCCTACTGTTGGAAAGACCTAAGCCAGCGAACAACTCTAAGGATATCACGGTCCTAAGCTCTTCGTCAGGTACATTGAAGACTGATAGTCACTTTGAACAGTAAAATGACGCCCATCTAAATAGTGTTGACATTTATTCATGCCCCACTACACTGCGGAGAGTCCATTTTCCAGCACGTGATGCTACTGCTAAGGTTCAGTGACGCTGGGGGGTAAATAAGCAATAATTTGATGTTCTGGAGAACCAATAACATGTTGGAAGATGATAAGACTCCCCTCTAAGTCATTCATGCCTGTTGTTTGGAAGGCTTGACGCCCATAGGTGGGCAGCCAAAGCATCGGAGAAGCTCCTAGGCGCCCTACAAGCATCCCTACTATGGCGTCAGCGTTGTATGCCCGGTTCACAGAATGCGCCCTCTTAAGTAGATCACTTTAAAAATATGCGAATTGAGCAAATACAAGAGTCAAGTTTCGACAACAAGGTGCATATCCATGCAATTTTTCTACTGCTTTGCAAGTGCGTAAAGATGAAGGCCAGACCTGGATTGCTTCAAAATATATTGGAACTGGGTAGATTCTATAGGCGAAGCACTAAATTCTAGAAAAATGTTTATCTACCTGGCAACAGCTGAAGCACACGCTATCGGTGATATTGATGCTCTTGAAGGTCTAGGTTGATACAATGACCTTGTCCATATAAACAACCATCCGCCCTTTTTTGATGGACACATGAAGAATTCGAATCATATCTACGTTGTATGTTAGCCAATGTAACGCCCTCTTTAAGGTCTCCTTAAGGAGACCTCTGGCTTCTGGCTCAACATACACCCTGTAGAAAGTCGTTGAGTCACTCCCAGAAGAAGCATTCTTTGCTTTCCTTGCCATCGCCCTGCAAGTCTTCTGCATGAGAAAAGAGGGGCAGCTAGATAGCGTGGTGCTGCACAGTTTAATTTCCTTGAACACTCGCAGCTATTCCCCCAGATAGTATCTGACACCTACGCACACAACTCTACGTCTTGATGCATCAAAATAGCTCTACTATGTAGCGAAGGAGAGAGAAGAACAGAGAAAAGCAAGCAGTCAAGTGCTTAATAATTATTCTATAATATGGTAAGCTTGAAGGAGTAGCCCAGCTCTTTTGAGCATGGATCTGTTCGCGTATGTGCTGTAAAGTTGGAAGGCTACAATACATATGTATTTTGTGGCTAGACATTGCCCACAGTGGAAACGCTGCATGGTTTAGTATATCACACAGTGGGCTATGGCGAGTCTACATGGAGCACATGCTACTTCGAACTTGGCGGTTCATGTGTCTTATCGGTTGTACAGCAGAGTCAGATCAGTAGATTAAGCTTCAGTGTTGTGTGCCTATGTGGTTGATGCTATGTGCAACCAGCGATGAGTGCTCTTAGTGCTTGGAGGGTGAAGCTAGGGGCGCCTTACACGCCCCTCTCTTTCTGCAAGCACTCATGGTCTACGGCAGGAAAGTGGGGAGCTTCCTTAGACTGGAACTCAATAGCGCTTCTTGGAACATCGTATTGGGTGTGGCTGCTATATTCCACCCTAGGGGGAAATTCGAAGAAATGATATACTACTCGAGCAGGAATACCTGTACTGAATTAAAGGCTTTCCTACTGACATTAGCAACAGCACATTTTGAATAATTCGTCCGTTTTATGGCGCCAGCTAAAACTAGGGTGATGCGCCTGGAAACTAGAAGAAATAACTCTCATGATTGAGGCCCTGAATTCCTCAAAGCCACGCAGTAGGTTTCGTGTGTACACCCGTCGTTGTTCAGAAGGCTACGCACTTTTCTTTCTCTGGAACCTTAAAGAGGAACTGCCTTTTGCTGAAGGCGGTCATCTGCGCTGGTACAGTACCCCAAGAAGATCCTATTTTTACTTGCTCGGTGTGATGTGATTCTGTCAAGTATGCTTCGACTCGAGAAGGCTACCCATATCTAGGTTCCGCCTGTCTTGATCTTACTAGATTTGGTGGTTGCGAGCGCTGGAACGTTCCCCGTGCAATTTAGATTGTAACTAGAGAGATTACAGCGGGTTCCCTGTTACTATCCGTCTCAATCCAGGTACGGCTATCAGAGATGCTCGTGAGTTAAGTTTGGGGAGAGGGAATAATTATGGCACTTCGGAAGCTCCTCAGAGTATGGCAGCTAATTACGGATTGAGCCCAGTGTTGATGGAGGGAATATAATACACGATTTCTCCAGACGGTGTGGGCTTTAAAGGCCATGTGATATGCTTACCATGAGCTGATATCTTCAAAATACATCTGAGGAGACGATCTGCCTGCGGATAAGCCTTGAGCTGCCCATTGGGCTACGTGCATTAAGCTGGGGAAATTTTTTTTCGGATGGTCTTCTCCAGTATAACGATGAACTTGGAGCTGCGATATATTCCCACGATCCTTACTCGAAAGCTAGCTGCTATACGCGGAGCCACTGCGGGGTGAAGCCCCATATGCGCTTAGCATAGGGAACTTTCGAGTAAACGGAATATTCTATGCCTTGCAGTTGTTAGGGCGCTACATAGTGCTGCAGGCGTTGCGACTACATGGAGACTGCAGGTATATGGGACCTTATGCCAGAACACGGGAAGGGGATTCCCATGTAGCTGTCGAGTGTCTATGCAACGCATCAGGTACAACTTGACCTGAAACCAAGGATGCAATGCGCTTAAGAAGTGTAAACTAGGCCTTGGGCATGCGTATGATGGCAAGCACTCTTCCCAGTAACAGTTTTCGCATGCAGTAGAGTAGTGTTCCATGCAAAAAGGCTAGCTTTCCGAGTTTTTGCTGAGCATCCCTGATACACCACTTCGTTGCCGTCATTACGAAACAACTAAAATGCAAAGACTTAAATAAACAGAGTGAAAAGAGAAAAATAGTTTGCAACATCGGTACTTCGGCGCCAGCAAGTTTTGCAGGCAAAAAAAAAGGGTGAGTAGTTACTGCCCTCTAGAACTCGGTAACCTTTGGAACATAGCCTCCGAGGTAAGGGGGAATATTAATAGACAAGCTAGCACCCTCCCCGAATTCCCCCCTCACTTGCGGGCAGGAGGCAAAGGATAATCATAGAGCGACACTGCTTACGAGCAATTTGCCCTTGAGTATGCACTACATCGTATAAACTGCCTCCATCCTCGCTTGTTGCACCATCACGGCCTGAAGCAGCCCCGCTTGCTCCTGGCAGAGAGTTACAAAATCTTTGCCTAATAGGACAAAATGGCAGTTGGCTTATGAGCCTGGTGACTTAACACACCTTAACCAAGCATCTCACTTCACTTGATTCATGAAAAACCCTCTATTCAGTAATGCAGCAGTGCAGACCACGGCTGGCCACTGTCTTCATTTAATGCCTTACTACTGCTTCCTCTTTCGGAACATACAGCAAAATCCATAAAACAGATAACTGACAAGTTATGACGTACGTACACACTCAATGCACCATTCGCATACAAACCACCAAAGGAACACCCTCTGCGTTCATATTCAGCAGCTGCTTGTACACCCAGGCATAGGGGTGCTTTCGGATAGCTAAGACTACCCACACAGTGGGGATCAGTCACTTTCTGCTTCCACCTGCTGCACTTCTGGCTGCTGTGCCTGCGCTGGAATTGGCAGCACTCCGGACGCCGGGGGAAAGCAGCTGGAGGGCTCTTGTTCCTGCGGTGGGGATGCACTGCAGCAAGCTGAGCCGTCACAGCCAGGAGATGCCTTTGCTTGGCATTCAACTGCGCGCACCACACCAGCCTCCACAGCACATCGTATTCCTGTCCCTTAAAAGACTTCTGACCCCGGCTCGACCTGCACAACCCTCGATTGAGCTACTGCAAGCGCCAAGGACTATGGAATCGGACAGTTCAGTGCGCCCTGCGCTGATTCACGTTTCGCATATTCAGTTCACATCAGTATTCGCTTTTACCTTTGCCCCTCATCTCTTCCTCCCCGTGTGCATGTCTGCACTGCGTCCCAGCCCTGCAGAACCCTGCAGCCCAAAAGGCACATAGCCCCGTCTTGTAGAAATCGGAAGTCGAACGCAACTCCCGCAGCGCATGCGCAAATTTGCAACGGCGAGACGCCCTGCACAAGCCACGCAAGCAAACGTTTCCAAGATGAGGGCCAAAAGAAACACAAGGCCTTGCTCAGACGTATAGCGCGGAAGCAATCAAAATACATCTGGAAGCCTCAACCATCCACAGAGCTCTAAACTCACAGCCGGCACAATCCATTCTTGTACAACTGGCACATCCTTGTTTTGAACAAAGGGTTGGGGGCCTGCGAGCCTTGGGGGCCCTGCGCCCCAGTAACCCGAGCTTGCGCTCGGGGTTTTGAGCAGCTGTGCTGTTGCATCAACTCGTATTGTTGCATATCCTGTTGCTTCTGCTGCTGGTCTCCCTCCCGCTGCTCCTCTTGTTGCTCCTCGCTTTGTCGCTTCAGCTCCTCGAGATGCTCTTCTTGCAATCCCGGCTGCTCTTGTTGCTGCGGCTGTGGCTGCCTTTCCGTGTTGGGGCCCCCCGCGTTGGCGTTGCTGGACTCTCCCACGGTGGCTAAGGCATCTTCTCTTTCCTGAGGTGCCTCGGTGGGGTTCTCTCGCACGCCTGTTCTGCTCCCTCCCTGCAAAGCTACTGCTGCTGCAACAATGCTTTTTGAAGTTGGTCCTAGGGCCCCTCGCGCTCCTCCTCCTCGCCGCTCGCAGCAGGCCCGCCGGCTAAGGGGCGTCCCCCCGCTCCCCTCTTTGAGAGTGGGGTGTATCCCAGGCAGCTCCCGTACATCTTCGATATCCCCGCTGCCGGCGTGACACACTGAGGGGCCCCCGCTGCGAGCGCCTGCACACGGAAGGGCCCCATCAGGGTGTTCTGCCTCCCTTGGGCATCGTTTCCACCGGCACTGCTGTCGAGGGTTCCCCGATGGCTGCGGCCTAGCAAGCGTTCCCACAAGCGTCGCCCCCACAGGCTCCTGCTCCCCTGTGGGGCCCTCCCCTCTGGTAAGATACCCTGGAGACTCCAGGTGTGCAGAAGCCTCCCCCGCAGAACACAGCAAGGCCCCTGAAGCGCCTGGGGGCCCCCCCGGAGCCCCTGAAGGTGTGCCCCCGCCTTGCGTTTTGGCGACCTGGGGAAGCAACGGATCCCAGCTCCCACAGGTGTACGGACAGACGAAAGGGCAGTACATCAGTAGCTGCTGCTGCTGCTGCTGCTGCATCCGCATGTATTCACATGCCCAAAATTCTTCAGCGCACAGAGGATGCGCCCCCGGGAGGGGGGGCCCCCCTGCATTGTACCCTGGAACAGACCTGTCAATCAAGTATTGGTGCGGGACGGCAACAGCATACGGAAGAGGGACAGGTGTCTGCTGCTGCTGTTGCTCATCTTCATCTCCCGGTGATGTCTGGCAGGGAGCGGCAGCATACGGGTAGCACGAGTAGAGTTGATGGCCTCCCGGCTCTGCTGCCGCAGGCACAGGATGTGCCCCGTAAGGCAACACTGGGCAGGAACGGCCCAGCCAGCTCAACTCTTGTTGTTGCTGTTGCGTGTGCTTCTGCCAGTTCACTTCTTCTGCGCCTCCGCCACCTCCGGCAGCAGCAACATCAGCGCCAGCGAGGGGAAGAGCCAGCGGGGACTGCATGCAAAGTCCGCTCTCGGGTGTATGGACGTCCTGCGAGGAAACTGCCGTCGTTGCCTCAGCCTCTGCTGCTGCTGCTGCTGCTGCTGCTGTAGCTGTTGCTGCTGCCACATATCCTTGTCTGCCCAGTTCCGCAGGGCAGCTCGCTGCACTGGGTGTCGGGCTGCTGGCTGCTGTTTCTCCTGCCGGTGCTCTGCTGCTCTCCAGAAAGGTGGCAGAGTCAGACGTCCCACTAAAAGGTTCGCGATGCGAGGGCTGGGGGGCAGCTTGTTGCTGCTGTGGCTTCTGCTGCGGCTTCTGTGAAATGAGGGACTGCCCAAGCCCCCGTTGTTGCTCCTGATCCGGAGAATTAGGGGTCCCCCACGTTTGTTTACCCGCTTCACAAGGGCACCCCATGTCATGCGTGCTTATGTGGCGTGCGGCCTTGCAGCCAATCTCTCCCTCTTCTCTAGCGCAGCATGTGTATATGGGGGGACCGGTGTCTGTTGCGCGCTGCAGTCTCCCTGGATGTATGAAGCAGGCTGGCATCTCTTCGGGATTAATGACTGCCTCTTCATTCAAGAAAGAGCCTCCCGATCCACCAGGGAGCTGCTGATACAGTTGAGGGTTGTAAAGGTAGACGCAGCGCATGCAGCGACGCGGCCAGGGCAGCTGTAGCAGTCTGAACTCCTGCCTGAGGGTATGCTCATACACCCCGCCACAACAGCTCTCACCCGGAGGTTTCCGTCCTCCGCAAAGAACCGATCCATCAATCTCTCCCGTTCTCAAGTAACTCAAGACGACGGAGAAAACTTCAGGCTCGCAGTCTAGGAGCAAACGAGGTGCCCCAGAGGTAGGATTATTTCCCACGCCCTCAGGTGTACGTGTAGCTTTCGCTTCCTGTCCTCTTATCATGCGCCTTAGCACAGGGGACTTGGAAAGGGTCTTCCGTGTGGCGTAAAACAACCGCGGGCCTACCTGCACCTCTACGAGGCCTTGCTGCTCTGATGGCGTAGCAGCTGCTGACTCCACCGTTAGTACTGTTGTTGTTTCTCGATCGCCAGAATTCGTGAGGGCTTCTGCTTCTGCGGCACCGCACTCTGCTGCTCCTTCCTGTGCAGCATTTGTAGCTGCTGCCTCAGCAGCGGCTTCCGCTATTGCTAGGGCACCCTTCATTGTCGCGGGGGGAGCTGGGCTTGTTCTTGATCCCGTAGCTGCTGCCGCCGTTCTTGCTGGTGCGCGTGCTGCTGCTGCAGTGGCTGATGACACTCCAGGGTGCTCCAAGGAGAGAGACGGAGAACTTACGGGAGAGACCATGGGCAAAGGGCCCCGTAAGGGACCTGCTTGCACGTGTGGGGAGTATTGACAGGAGTTCCCAAGAGTGTTTCACCGCCTCTGGTAAGCCCCTGTTGTGTGCGTTCCGTTTCCTAGACAATCGCGGCTGGGGCCCTCGCGGGCCCCCGCTCTTACTATTGCTGTGGGGGCCCCTGTTGCTGTTGCCTCGGGGACCCCATGTAGCAAAAAATGACGAGAAAAGCCTGTAAAACATCTAAATAACAATTAGCGAGGAGAAATGAAGATTGAAGAGCATTGAGAAAAACAGAAGGCCGCCCTCAGCCCCAGCGCAGAAACACGCCGTCGTGCCGTACCCCCTGCAAGGCCCCCGACATTCCCCGTGGGGGCCCCTCGGGGATCCCGCAGACGATATAATTGCTGCTTTAGAGGAGAAACGCGTAGAAATTCAGGCGGAAGATTTGTGGACCTTAAGGTATTGGTTCTGTTCATTTGAGAAACTAGCGGCACAGTTTCGCATTCGGCGAACAGGCAGCTGGCAATAGACCTTTCAGCTACCGCCCTGCTTTGCTCTTCTTCGATGTGCGCACCTTTCTAGTTACAGTTTTAGTAACCTCCTTGTGCCCACATAAAATTTGGTGGCCTACACGTCTCCGAGAACCGCCTGTAAGAGGATACCTCAAACACGCGCGGCCTGGCAGCATGCAGCTGCCAAAGGTGCCCGTCGCTTAGCAAATCATCAAAATAAGCAACCATGTCGTTCCCGCCAAATCTACCCAGCCTCCTCTTCTTCCTACTTGACTTGGTGGACTCGCAAAAATACAAAACATAAAGGGTTGCTATGCCGTAAACGTTTCTCGTATGGACATACGAAGTATAGTTTAGCTTTCTTCAGGCATCTTTGTCGCTGTCACTTTTGCAGGGTCACACGCCTCAGAACAAACGCTACGAGCTCCCCTGACAGTCCTTAGTATTAGTATAAGGTGTGTTCACGGCGGTGCTACTAACAACAAGAGCCACTGGCCTTACAGCAGCCGCTGTAGTCATTGCATGAAATTTTTCTTCACTAACGCATGCACTGACAGCTACATATCCTCCGGCTTCACGCAATGGGCCCAGAGGGCACAAATGAACCGTCGGAGGCTATACGGAGATATGAGCTTCCGAATATGTATGCACCCTAGTGGCGAGCCTTTTTTCAGAGTTTTGTATGGCACAGCAGGCCTTAGAAGTGCCATTTTACTTTACGCTACGGGTGCACATTGCCGGCACCGGCGGAGAGGTCTTATTCAAAGCGTGCGAAAAGATATATAAGAGGGAGGCATTAGAAGCCCCAAGTAGTAACTGTCACACGCCAGTATGGAGACGTGCGCGGATGCTACAACCCCAAGGAGTAAATGAGTCAGATGCCAGGGCCCTTGGTAGGCACAAGGCACTGTAGGCGCGTTTGCTTGGCTCCTCGAGGAAAATCTAATGGATACGGTACTATAGAGGTGTTCACAAAGGGGAAAGACTGAAACAGCAGACGCTTCCCGCCTAAAAGGGAGGTAGACTGCTGGGAATGCAGTGGGAGACGCCTAAAACTACGGTGAAACAGCCCATGCGAAACAAGGACGAGACAGCAGCCATCGCAGTAGTGACTGATTTCGTTGTAGTTGTTTGCCTCTGAAAAATGTAACCCTGGTATGTTAAGATGCTGTTGCACATCTGTTAGGTCTCATTGGGTTGAGCCTTAGCCTTAAGGGATTCCATAACTCTGAAAAGCGGTGGGAGGTGGGGCCTTCTTTTGCCTGAGCATCTGTCTCCTACCTCCTGAAAGGCGCACCTCGAGTGAATGCCTGCCTGTCTCATGGCAGCAAGAGACACCAGGAGGGCCTCCTCCGCCCGGATGGTGCGGGAGGACTGCATGGGGCAGGTGTTTACGTACTCGTCAAAGAGACAGCTTGGGGGTATGTCGGTGCTATTCCCCTCCATAAAGGAATGCAGCGGGCCTCCAGGGGAACCCTGGCGGGAAAGAGTTTTAGAGGCCCTGCGTAAGTCGGACGGTAGCCCCTCTGAAGCCCCCACCGATCGCCCTTCAAGACACTGGCTCACTGCAGTACGGGCCTCTGCTGTAGGAACGCCTGCCTGTGGGTCCTGTATGACCTCCTCCAGTCCATGAACACCACCAAAGACCAGCAAAAGGTGACTGAATTTGAGCAACACACGCGGACTAGGAACTCTGTGCATAGTAAGATCAGCTGAGTGAGTACCGGCATCAAGCAAGCAGGACGACAGAGGGCGACATACCTGTAGCTACCGTACTGTAGAGTGGGCGCAACATCCCCCAAAGCCTCTCCTCTCTCCGACGTGCCAACAAGGCAGTCATACAGCCCTCCGGAGCTTCCATCTAAGGCATGGCCTCTGAAGACCTCCCGCAAGGATGCTGCAGCCCGCACCTGGTAGCCCCAATATAGACCTGCGGAGTACACAAGCCAGCACACGCGAATATTGTGCCGTCTGCTACAGTTTGTCTTTCTGAAAAAAGCAGTGTGTGCAAGTGGTGCTGTGCATTGGCAACACACAAACCATTAGCAATTCCAGCGAAAAAAAAGAGTAGCAGTCTCCGCGGCTTGTAGCGAAGCTGAACTGTATCAGGCCTCTCCAGATCAAGCCCATGCCATGTGCTGTGACAGAAAGCAGTAGGCTTCGAGCACGCCTTAGGCCTCACCGGCTCGGGTCGGTGGTTCCTGGGGGCTGACTGCCTCCCCCTTGAAAATTGCTTCCTTCTTGGCAGCTGACAGCCGCCCACCGTCCCCCGCAGTCCGCATTGCAGGGTGCAGACGCAAAGTTACTCTGCAGCATACATGCACACCCCCTGCCGCAAGTTCCACTCCCTAGCAGCCCCCTATCATTGATAGCAGCATGTGAAGCGATGGGGTGAACCTGACCTTGTACCGGGGGGTATCCGCTGAGAACAGGTGACAGGTACGGCAAGGCCACACTCCACAAGGCAGCCTTTCGTAGTTTTGGGGGGGTCTTGAAGGACAACACCTTCTCTGTAGGGCAGCCATTCCGAGCGACGGAGATGATGGGGGGCGTCAAGAGGGTTCTGTAACCCCGCAAACTTCAAGTCTGAGGCACCAGAATACAAACATTTCAGGAGGAGAAATCATATGGCTCGGCAACACGAGATACCCAGTGAAAATGCATATGGGAATGGGAGGAGGCAAAGGGAAAAGACAGCCACAAATTACGCGCAAGGGCCCCGGAGTATTCCGTCTGCCTTTAAGGAACAAAAGTGTACGCGTTCTTCACAACAGCCGCAAGTTAGCAATCATCTACGGTTTCACGCGTGCGTCAAATAAAAGGCACTCAACAAGTGAAGCACCATACGAAAAATTGGTGTAACCCCTCCACAAAAACTTTTATCGGCAGGCGGCCTTCTTGGCAGATGCCGCCGGGCGGCACTCCCTGCTTCATCAATCCCTTTCTGCAGTACACGAGAAGGCGCTTTGCTGCCTCCCCCCAAAAGGCACCTTGCTACTCGTAGAGGGAGGCCTATCGAAAAGTTGTGGGTTTCGCTGCCTCCCCCCCAAAAGCACCCTGCTACTCGTAGAGGAAGGCCTATCGAAAAGTTGTGGGGGCAGATTCCCACAGAGCTGGGTATGTAGCGTGCCTGGATGAAGCTTAAAGAGAAGCTTGCGGAGGAACTGGGGCGTCTCAAGGTATTGTAAGTTTCGCACAAAGAAATCCAAAGCCGCAGAGCGCCCTGTAGAAGGGACTATCGCAGAAGCTGACAAAAAGCGCAAAAGGCAACCCCGATTTCTTTATTCTGAGCTTTGCAGTGTTTGTTCTAAGACGCTAGGCCTGAAGTGCCATGTGCGTGTATGTTGAGTAAAACGTCTCAGAGTTGTTTGGAACTTCCTGATGCGGTGCGGCCTTTCCTAAAGGGGGCACACGCCACGTTCCCGCCTCCTAAGGCTCGCCTGCATGTCTCTGGATCCTTACCACGGTCCTCATAGATGATGATCTCCTCTACTCCCATGATGACTAACGTGCGGGCAATCTGACCTACGAGGGCAGCTTTCAACTCAGGCGACTGCAGCACAGGCAGAAATAGAATGCAGCCCCCGCCTCCAAATCATCAGATATCCTGTCTATATATGCATATATATATACATTTAGACATTACGCATCTGCATCTATCCTCTGGGCCGTCAAAATCGAAGGTTGCATAGGGGCCTTCATACATCTAGGCCCTCTACGACCAGAAATGCCATTCAGGTAAGCATCTAGATACACTTCTCTGTATGTACAGGCACATGTCGGAGACGCCTGCATAGCGACGGCCATTTGCATGTACACCTCGAGCACTAGCCGTTGGCTGTATCGCTTCTCATAGGCGAACGTGCAATAGAGAACATAGTCTCCATGCGAAAAATTACACAATAAAGATGCCACACAGCTCAGCGGCTGGAGTGAACTTCCCAAAAAGCTGCCGATCAACAACTTTCGGGGCTCCTGCTACGGACTTGCGCGTTGGCAACGATGGAGGCGGGCAAAGCCACACTGAGGGTTCCTTTCCGAGGCGATCCTTGAAATGGAATAACCTGCAATACAAGCGCATAAAATAGCTCCGATGCACAAAAGCCCTTGGGGAATTTCGATGAAAAGCAGCGCGAATAACCTGATCTCCCACTCTCTGAGTATGGGGGACCTTTTCACCACGGATACAGATGTCCCGGGTGGGTGTGTTCAGTCCATACACTTTGAAGCGGCTTAGGGTGAAGAAATTATGGTTGCACATTCAAAACATTCTTCAGGGCTTTAGGGCTTCGTGCGCTAGTGTAGAAACATTGGCATTAGGGTTTGCAGTCTTTTTACCCGCGGGATGAGGTTCAGCGACTCTGCAAAAGCGTCCTGAGGAATCCAACTTGCACAAGACCTGCAGCAGACACGCCGAGATTGAACATGCTCGCGTTGTCACTGGCCACTCCCTCGTAAGCTCTAGATGTACGCAGTAATAGAAGACAAACGTAAGACAGATGCATTAATTTGTACAGGCATGCACGCTTGTACAAGGAATACCCATCGATACATGCTGATTCCACGCCACGCAATTACTCAACGCGTTAAGTACTGGAAGCCGAAGGCAACGGAAGAGATGCAGCCTCCTGCTCATCATGCATGAGGAAGAATGAGGGGGAGGGCAGGTGCGGCTGGGACACGGAAGGTGCCTAGGCCCCGAGTCACACAGAAGCTCCATTGGTGTGCAATCTGCAGCAATAGAAGGTTGGTGTTGATCTGTGGTCGAAGGTTTGTGACTTAGCGCCTACTCTGTGTTGCCCTCCTGTACACCTTCGCCCTCAGCAGTGTCATTTTTACGTTCCTTCTTGCGCTTCTTCAATTCCCAATGCACCGCTGTTTCCATCGGCGGATCTTCCTTCCGAGGATCCTCCTTCGTCTCTGCAGAGTTGGATACGGCATCCTCGATGTCCTCCGCTCTCCGCCATTTGACCCGCCTCCCTTCTTCCATGGTGTTTCGCGGCATGGGTAGGGAGGGGCCCCCCGTGACCCCGTTGTATGTACTGCTCGGAATAACCGTATTCCTTACGGTGTCACAGCCGCTAGAGCCAACGATTCAGCATATTACACCTAGAGGATGAAGCCCTTAGAAAGCCTTCTAGGGGCGCAGAGAGCTAACTACCAAGAGGCCCACCTAGCACTCGCCAAGGCCAGAGAAGGGAGAGCGCCCAGGCTTCTCTCCCCTAACGCGTTTTTTTAAGCATATTGGGAGGCGTAATATCAGCCCAGCATGGAATTGATAGAGTGCTTTATCGATTAGACAATGAATTAGAGTGTAGGGTCTTGTTGGTCCCCACGGCGTCCCGAGAGGGCCCTCATGGCCAGTGTGGGGAAAGGGCTTTGAAACGCATTGCCCTGAACACATTTTCTTCCCCCACGCCCTCTTCTACCAGTGTTCTTTTCTTTGTATTATTAAGCTTCATGTCTGTTGCTGCGTGGACGGTGCAACGTGTGATTCGTCGAGAAGAGAAGACCCTACTGCCGCGGAACAATGGCAAACAGCAAAGTCAAGGACCTAACTCTGGCAACTTTCGGGCGAAAGGAGATAACAATTGCAGAGGGCGAGATGCCCGGCCTGATGGCCATACGGCGCGAATTTGGATCCTCTAAGCCTCTTCAGGGGACAAGGATAACGGGCTCTCTCCACATGACCGTGCAGACTGCCGTCCTCATCGAGACCCTTAAAGAGCTAGGTGCCACCCTCAGATGGTGCTCCTGCAACATCTTTAGCACTCAAGATCATGCGGCCGCTGCCATTGCCAGGGACGAATCCGCCACTGTCTTCGCGTGGAAAGGTACATATACACCCCGGTCAACCTCCTCGCTGTGTGTAGCGCGCGCGCGCACATCAAGAGGCCATGCAGTGCCCGGTTTGTATTCTTTTAAAAGTGATCTACGCTCACTTAAAGGTTCTGGAGCAAAAATAGGCTGCTGTATTCGTAAACGAGACACATGCCGCCAGATGGGAAGCAGGTTCTCTCGGGTAGAGAAGGCTGGCTCCAATCCGGATGAAGGTGCTGTTTCCCTCTATGAAGCAGAAGGGCGTCCCGGGAAGTGCATGCTGACATTCTTCTTCAAAGTACTAGTGCCTGCCTCTGCTCGCTGCTACTTATTCTGCCTTTCTGTGATTTGGCGTTCCGTGTGTCCATGTAGTGTGTGAGTTGAGTGCAGGTATATGCCTGTCTATTGCACTTTGGCTTAGCCTCTCCATCTGGTGTGCATGCGTGTCTCTTCTCAGGAGAGACTCTGCAAGAATACTGGTGGTGCTCTGAGAAGGCGCTAACCTGGCCGGACGCCGACGGCCCGGATCTGCTTGTAGATGATGGAGGTGACATTACCCTTCTTATTCACGAAGGGGTCAAGGCTGAGAAGGAATTTGCGGCGAACAAAACTCTGCCTGACCCCGCGAAGGCATCCAATGAGGAGATGCGAGTAATACTGGAGCTGCTGAGGGACACCTTGCAGAAGGACCCCACGAAATGGCAGCGCATGGCAAAGGCTGTGAAGGGCGTGAGCGAGGAGACAACGACGGGAGTCCACCGTTTGCTTCACATGGCAGCCCAGAATGAGCTGCTCTTCCCTGCAATCAATGTGAACGACTGTGTGACGAAGAGCAAGTTCGACAACGTGTACGGGTGCAGGCACTCATTACCTGACGCTATCATGCGTGCCACAGATGTGATGCTGGGAGGCAAGAAAGTTGTTATCTGCGGATTCGGAGATGTGGGGAAAGGATGCGCAGCCGCCATGAGGGGTCAGGGAGCCCGCGTGGTCATATCGGAGGTAGATCCCATATGCGCCTTGCAGGCAGCTATGGAGGGATACACAGTGGCCCCCCTTGATGAGCACGTGCGGGACGCAGATATCTTTGTTTCTGCGACGGGAAATAAAGACATTATCATGGCGAAGCATATGAGCCAGATGAAGAATAATGCCATTGTGGGCAACATTGGGCACTTCGACAACGAGGTGGATGTTCACGGGCTACGACAGTGGCCTGGGATCCAGCATGAAAATATTAAACCCCAAGTAGACAGATTTGAGTTCCCCGATGGCCACGGCGTCATCCTGCTGGCGGAGGGCCGCCTCATGAACCTGGGATGTGCAACAGGGCACCCCTCCTTCGTTATGTCCTGCTCTTTCTCAAACCAGGTCCTTGCTCAAATCGCTCTATGGGAGAATGTCAAAACTCGCAAGTACCAAAACGATGTATACAGACTGCCTACTGAGCTTGATGAGAAGGTCGCTGCGCTGCACCTACCTGCGCTCGGCGCTCGCGTCAACACCCTTACGGAGGAACAGGCCCAGTACCTCCATATCAGCCCAAAAGGGCCGTTCAAGTCTAGCGACTACCGGTACTAAGACGTTACAGTGACTGGGCAAAAGCTGCTCTGCTGATCGTACACTGCAGGAGGCTCAGAGACACTTGAGATGCCGGGCCGATTGTGCCCGGCCCTAACCCGGCTAGGGCTTTAAACTTCTTTTTACATTCAGTGTTGGTGTGGTTAAAATCCTAGGGGGCGTGGCAAGCCTCCCTTATTTCCTTGCATCCTTTTAGTGCCGCAAGGGCGCCTGGTGGGCCGCTTAGAGTGTTGCGTTTCCCTTTGGCTTACCGCTCTCTTTTTGCCCAATCCCTGTTAGCCGCTGCAGTATCGACCCGCCTAAAGCGAGACTGCTAAAGCAACAAGTTACGCCGTGTCAGTCGCATACACTGTACAGACTTCTGTTCACAGTGAAGGCCCCTGTATTACTACTTTTGGCAGCAACGGAGTGCGACTAGGCTTGCTGCTCCTGAGGCCAGTGCTGTTTTGCTGGGAGCGTGCACGCTACACCAGCACATCGTCGCCGACTTAAAAAGGTCAGGGAGGAAAGGCGGCGAAAGCGTCCCCACATCAGGGAGCGGATGGGGGAGGCGAGGGGCACCTCCGTTTAGTGAATTCGCACCTCGCCGTCTTGCAGGTGCAGTGTGTGGAGGGTTGCAAAGAGCAGTGTCGTCGAGACTAGTTAGGCCCAGTCAGATCCTTGTCCCTTTTGCACGTCTAGCTCTCCCCATTCAGCACATGGCCTAGTCGGCTACAAACCAGGAGGTTGACCATCTTCTTCGACCTGCACTCCCCCTGCGGACGCGGCGCTGTTGCGCCCCAACACCCACTGTTGCGATCGCTCGACTGGAAGCCACAAAAAACCTGCTTCGCTGCAGCTGTTTGCAGCTGTTTGCCGCAGTTCCTCAGTCAAGACGGCTGCGATAACGGTGGCTGCGTCGCTTCTAGTGCGGACCTGGGGGTAGCAGGCAACGGCACAGCAGATATGCATGCAGCTGGAAGCAAACACGAAGAGCTGGACACGAACTCCCGCTCCCCGTCTGCGCAACACGAAAGAAAGACAGAAAAACCCTGTCATTAAGGAGCTGCAACAGCGGTGCTGCACCTACACCAACACGAAGCATGAGGCGCACACATCAACGAGAAAAAAAAGCCCGTCTCACAACAGGCGAAATACCTGGTCAGCCAGGGCAGAGTCGAACTGCCGCAGTTCTGCAGATGGCCGCGGCAGCAAAACACTGCGCAAGGTAGCAAAGAAATGTGCGGCAACCGTCACGCTGTCAAGACGTTTTAAAAGTTCCTCCTGTTGGCTTTGCTGCGTCGGATCCTGCCTCTGGTCATCGTAAGGGGTGCTGTAGCGCTCGTGTTCTGGGAAGATGAGTCTGTAGCAGACACACCCCTTGCAGAAAAGAAAGACTTATGGATTGCAGCTGCGGTGTCTTTGCGGCTTACAAGTCGCTGCTGCAACCCGTGTGCCTGCCACGAAGCGCTTTCACAGAGGAGGAGCAGATGCGCAGAGAACTTGCACAGTGGGAGAGCCGCCAGTTCTCACTTGAAAGGAGTTGTCGTGTGAACGACAGCCAGCAAGGGACCATCAGAGGGAAGAGGCCCCCCTTGTGGCCCTTCCTGCTGCTGCGCGAAGCTGCTCAATACGATCTCCGTCACGTTCGGCGTCACAGACTGCAAGTCGCCTTCCTGCGGCTGGTCACTTGGGATAATTCGATTATCGGGTTGCAACAGGACGGGAAGGGCTGGGCAGGAGAAGGCTCTGAAAACGGCGGCAAAAGCAGCCCCCCCTCCGTGCGTGCGAGAAGAGACGGACAGCAGACGAATTGTGCAGCAGAGCCTTGCTACTGCCGTCCATACAGCCGGGGTTGCCGGCGCCGCTGGACTGTTTTCGCTATCCATGCAACACACATTTGTGGGCAGCAGTCCGAGGGTGACAAGAGCAGAGACTGTCTCTGGTAGGCCGCAGGATGCGAAATTTTCTCCATTTGCCCTTGCCTCTGCTATGCTCTTTCGTGCTGCGGATTCCTCTGCCTCGCGGAGTCGTCTGCAGATGCCGATCAACAGCTGTTGCATGCCGTCGGCGCCTGTGCAGCCCCGCAGCAAAAGCAGCGTCAGAGGTGCAAGGCTTTTTTCCGCTTTTTTGTTGACAGGCCGGAGCGTCACTCAGCAGCAGCTGCCATGGCACGCCTAGCAGGAACAGGAGCACCGTGTTCGCAGCAGCTCCTCTGTTAGGAGCACTACACGCAGCAAAAAAGCTGGCACCCAGAGCAGCCGCAACAGCAACCACCCACCCTTCAAAAGCTGCGTATTGACACTGAAAGTCTCCCGTATAAGGTCCTTCTCCATCTGCTTTAGGTCCAGTCCGTCTAACTCGCAACGTCCCCCCTCCTCAAAGACAACGGGCATCCCGCAAAGTCTCTCCCTGCAGCAGAAACATGTGTAGCAGAAACATGTGTAGCAGAAAGGGCAACAGCGAGACTCGACACTTGCACACACCAGTGCAAGGGGCCGCGTGCTAGCCAACTGCGAAGACGCATACCAGTACGTGTCCACACTCTGAGCAGCAGATGGTAGTTGAGCGAAAGACAAAGCACCAGCAGCTCCCATACAGATGCTACACCACAAGGATCGGGCAAGTTCGTGTTGCGGATCGCGCTGCTCTGACTGCCGGCCATCTTGCTGCTCCCGTTGCTGCTGCTGACTGCCGAAGCCTAAACACCATATTAGCTGCTGTCGCTGCAACATGGCGCATGCATCGAATCGCAGCTGTCTACTTTTAAAAACACACCCACTGTGGCGGTACGAGCAGCAGCAGCGACACGCAAAGGGCGTGCGAGGGATGCACAGACCTTCGGAGAAACGGAAGAGCAGGCAGCAAGAAACGCAAAACGCAGCAGTTCGCATTGCAGGCAAGCGGACAGCACCTGACACACAAGACACAGACACACAATACAGACAACACTTGCGGCCCCTCACGTTGCGTCTGTCTGTCTTTCTCTCTCTCTCTCTCACTCACTCACTCACTCACTCACTCACTCTCTCTCTCTCTCTCTCACTCACTCACTCACTCACTCTCTCACTCACTCACTCACTCACTCACTCACTCACTCAGCTGCTCGTCCTGAAAGAAAAAGGAACGGTTGCTAGCTGCTTTTGAGAGAGCAGCGTACTGACCTGCTGCAGCACTTGTTGCCGCTTCCATTCGCACTGGAAGAGAGCGGAGGCGGCAGCAAGAGCGGCGGTGTCCTTCCCTGCGTCTGCGGCTTCCAGTGTTTTAATGAGGCACAGCTGCTGCTGCAAGCTATCCCTGTGAGATCCCAGTTGGCTCGTTAAGGTGCCCCTCTCCTCGGACGCGATCCACTGCAGGTCGGCAAGCAGTTCTGACGTTTGCATTTGAGGCCATGGTGGCGAACGGGCAGTTTGAGGTCCCCTGGGGTGTCCGAGAGGTTTGGAACTGCGCATTCCTGCTGCTGCCGGTGCTGAACGCTTGGAAAATCGCGCGTTCAGGATGCAGATGGCAGCTACACTTGCAGGACGCCTGAGCCCAGTCTGGAAGAACTCATTTAAGGGCTTACTCTGCGACGTCAAGGCGCTGCCTCTAAGACAGCCGAGGATATATCAGTGAGAGACAGAGTTGCGGAGAAGGAGAAGTAGCTCGTTAAGGAGTGAAAGAGAGCACAGCTTAACGGCGAGGTCTCGCCGCCTATTCTGACGCGCAGCACAGTTAACGCAGCCGCTAGGGGGGCAGAGCCGTTCTTGCAGGCAGATTTATTAATTTTACTACAGTACGGATATCAAGTAACTAGCTTTTAGCCATCTGTCAATTCAACATTGAAGCGAATTTCGAGCATCTTGCGCCGCAGGGGCTTGTTGCAACGCTGGATATCGCCATGGGGCTGCATGCCTGTCGGCGGTCACTGACCTGGGGTTGGAGATCGAGGCTTATTTTGTAAGATCTCCACATTTTATGGAAAAGCGTTTACCTGTATTCTCATTAAAAAGCAAAGACAATAAGATCTAGAGCTGCATGACCCCTTATTGCGCGGCATGCGACCCTTCCCCCCCTCCCCCCCCAGTGGGCAGCTCTTGGCAACTTTCGAACAGTGAAGCTCTTTGTCCTTGGAGCTTTGCCTGCGGTGAAAGACTTGAAAGTTTCGGCCTTTAGTGGCTTACCAAGCGAGAGGCGTTCTAGCCTGCAACGCAGCCGCCCCCGAACCACGGCGTCTGGGGTCACTTGTTTGGCAGAATCCGCTCAAACGTCCAACCAGCAAGTGGCCCGTTGAAAATCCAAGCGCACGATCATCTTCTTTGACAGAAGGCTTTTACAAACAAACAAAGAAAGACTGCGGGCTTCCAGACACGGGCAAGGCGGAGAGCGGTAAAGCGTCGCTTCTCATCGATCTTCCCTTACTTTGGCACTAGGTGCTCTAGCGGCAGCTGCGGCAGCAGAGCGGTGATTCCAGAGTAGCAGGATCAGGATGCGTGGAGGTGCGTGCGCTTTGTTCTTAACAGAGCAGTGAGCCAGCGAAAGCCTCCCCCTCCCCTCCCCTCTCCCTCCGTTGCTTGCAGGGTGCTACGATCGGGGGATCGCACTAGCTAAGGATACATGTATATATATGCGGTTTCAGCTTCTTCATGAGATACACACATTAGGGCTTCCCTCGAGCTCCTTAAGGCCAGAGAGGGCATTTGAAGGGGGGGCCTGGACAATCGCAATACCCTCACTGCACCAAACATCGGAATATCGCCTGCTTCGACCCAGAGCCTGCCAGATACAGCAGCGCAGCTTCTTCGGTGCTGGATTCAGCAGATCTAGCGGGAGCGGAGAAACACCGCATTTGGCAATACAGCCAGATCGCAGCAGGGCAGCAGTGACAGGTTCCCTGGCTCAGACGGGGGCAGCTGCTGCTGGAGGGGCTGAGAGAGTGGCAGGCAGTACAGACCGAGCAGTGCTTCTAGCGGCGCAAGCCTGGTAGCACTTGTGGCATGCAGACAGAGCTATCGCCAACGGCAGCAGCTTCAACCTCCGAAGCAAAGGAAAGCAACGCACCGCAATGCCGCTTATGCAAACAGCGCTAGAAGCATGTCTAGGACACAAGGAGTTCCCTGTCTCACCCTCCGCAGCAGAATCACCACCATTCGCTAGCAGCAGCGAATCGACAGCAAGCAGAGCAGTAGTCGCCCTTTCGAAGCCACCAGCAGGTGCTGCTGCGGAGCAGGCAGCAGCACAGCCACCAGTCGCACACAGGGAGCCAGCGGAAACTGCTGTATCAACATTAGGCGAGCCCGATGAATCACGTAAGCGCTCGGGAGTCTATGCAAGTCGAGCAGTACTGCCTTCAGCTGTCGCCGTGGGTGCAGCTGACCACACAGACCTATTCCCCGCTGGAGCGGTGAAGCCGGGTGCAGAGGCAGCAAGTGCGGAAGCTGCGGAAATTCGAGATGCAAGAAGTCCAGCATGCGTGGATATAGCGAACGCAGCACTCTCTGCGGCAGTGACGGCTTGCTGTGAAGACGAGGACAGCTACATAGAAGCGGCGGCACCAGCATCCGCATTGTCTGAAGGTTGTTCGGGAGAGCGGCTGGAGAATACCGAGTCTAAAGGGGGCCGTGAAACGTCTGTTTCTGGGGGTCGGCGTGCCGTTGGAAGGCGCTCTTCGCAAAAAATGAGAAAAGTCATCGTAGCAGAAGCTAGGGGCACCCAAGGAGAGGACGTGGCAGAGACGGAGGAGGCTGAAGTCAGCTTGAGCCTTCCCAGTAGTTTCCGCAGAAACCCCAAGAGGCACTGCAGAGGGCGCGCGGCCCCTCTTGCCACTACGCTGGAGTTTACTCGGATGCAGGTATCCCACTGCAAGGCCTTAGCAGAGGTACGTAGGGATAGAGAAACTTCTCAAGGCCGAAGCTAAATTTACAAGCTGTGCCTCAGGGGGGAAGAATGGGGGGGGGGGGTGGCGGGGGTAACACGCTGCTCTGAGCACCGCTTGTCGCGCTTCTCTCTGCTCCACGTTGGTTGGCGCTGCAGCACAGCACGCCTGGGGGGCCCCTTTGTGCTGCTGCTGAAATTCTTATGTTGTGTTGCCTTCTTGCTCCGCTTTCAAGAAAATCGCATGGAGCACGACAGACTCGTTAGCGCTGCGTGAAAGCTTGGAAGTGCGGAAGGAGCCTACTTCCGGAGTGGGCCTTGGTTTATATTTGAAACGAGGTCTTAGGAGCTGCTGCTGCATGCAAGCCCAGGCCGTAATGGAGGCGGAGCACCGTCTGCTCCCACAGCTGCTGCAGCAGCTGCAGGAGGAAAAGCTGCACCTCGCGAAGCAGCAGCGTGGACGCCGTGTTAGGGAAGTGCAGGGAGACGGCAGAGACTACACCGAAGCCACGCGTGCTGAGGCGGCAGCCGCTGCAGCAGCAGCAGCAGCAGCAGCAGGAGGGGCTGCCCACAGATCTGCAGCTGCCTCGCGGGCTGCAGCGGTAAGCGGGAGTGCGCGTCGTGCAGCGTGCAGCTGCAACACCACGAGCTGCTTCAGGGTCTTGTGCTTCCGAGGAGATGCTGTGCTGTCGCCTTTCAACTTCATGTCGATCTCCGGAACAGGTGCTCTCACTGCAGAGGAGCAGATCGCACTCATGGCGCCCGAGGAGAACGCAGGCAAGGCCTACGCACGCAGAGGAGGGGGAATAAAGACACACACGCGGAGCCAATAGTCAAGGCCACAGAGGGAAGGGTGCAGAGAGGCGCATGCCAGAAGAAAAAGACAACACTTCTGAGAAGTGAAGGGAAGGCGTACAGTGCAAAGAGGGAGCGTTCAACAGTGACACACACACGGAGATACATAGAGAGATATAGAAATAGAGCTATAGAGAGAGATATAGAGAGAGATATATAGAGAGAGATAGAGATAGATATATACATAGAGAGATAGAGAGAGAGACACTGGGAGGAAGGGCCAAATATGGAGGAGAAGCAGTGCGTTTTGACATTGGACTCGAGCAGAGAAAGGCAGCCGGGCGGAGGCAAGAGGCGCGATTGGGGTGTGCGGAGTGTGCACTGCTAGACTTGTTGTTTTTATTCGGTGTGCTGCTGTAGGTTTTGAGCCTTACCAACATCTAAGCCCGGCTTTCACCCTCTCGGGGCATGACTTGCCTTTTAGCCTGCAGCTTCAGGCGCACCCGTATCTCTCTTCTGAGCTGATGGCAGACGTCATGGCCATCTACGCAAACCACTACTGTGCACTCCATTGCAAAGGATTCTTTGAGCAGGCAGACTCAGAAGTCCCCTGTATTGTGGTGAGGCGCCTCGCAAGCCGCCGTTTGCACTAAAGCACCCCACCTAGAAGGCATACACGGGCAAAATTTTGCACGGTATTTCGCCGCCGGCCCTTTTATATGCGCTTGGACAGGGAGAGGCGGGTAGAAAAGGCGGAATTTCAAATCCAACCACCACAGATAGACAGCTGGTCTGTAAGGGTCTGCGTAGGCAGGGCTACTGAAGAGTGTCTGCCTTCCACCAGTCGTGATGTTGAAGGCACGCTCGAGTGCAGGAAGAGGCGAGAGTGCTTCGTCTAGGTGGAGGAGGACCTCGCTAGTCCGGTTGATGGAAGCTTTAGGAAGCTTCCCCCCTACGACTCCGCCGCTCCAGGTCTGTGTGGGCTCATTGTGTGCGGTTGTGAGCAGACCAGACCAGGACACCTGTCTGAGGGTTTTTTTGGGGTCTTTTACGGCTACAGAAGTGCAACCAGTTTCCCCTGCGCCTTCCCTGGTTGCGGCCATGTGTGCCTCCCCCACTGTCGGTGCTACGAAATAGAGAGGGTGTGGCGCTGCCTTTGGACTCTCCATCACCGTAAGGCCGCTGACCTTGTCGAGGCACCCTAGGGGACCCCCTCCTGTCTGCCTCTCCCGAGCAGTAAATGTAGCCCGTAAACCGCCTAGAACAACTACCCACCAACCGCTAACTACACTCCCGCAGCCTGTCGGCATAGAGGGCTCGCCCTCTGCTGTAGCACCTTGGTTAGTCTGCACGGGGGTGCATGCACGGGTAGAAGCAAAGTGTATTGCCTCAGTAGATTTGGGGATACGTCCTTTCCATGCACATTGGAAGGAACAAGTGCTAGAAGCGGCTGGGGGGCCTCAATTTGCTTTCAGCCGGCTGCAGCAGATGCCACTTGCTGGGGCGTGTGCTTTCCTTAAGAAAAGTAGCGCCGACGGGCATGCAGGACAGAGAATAGCTCGCTCTCTCTCTCTTTCTACACTGTCTTTCTAAGGATGCTAGCGACAGACAGGGCGACAAAAAAGCTAGATATCACTTAAGCGCATAGTCCGTTGAAGCTCCGAAATCCTTCTTAAATGTTCCCCATGTGCCCCTTTGTTTGCTCACAGCGTCAGCGCCTTCCACCCCTGAGCGCTACGCAGGGAGAAAATGAATCCACAGGGGCAGTTGAAGTCGCACATCCTAACAGCTGCAGCGGGGATTGGGGAGCCAGATTCTCCACACCAACTCCAAACATGGAGAGTTCTCTTAAAAGGGCCCTAGTTGAGCCCGTCATAGTGTGGTGAGCCGCTAGAAAGCTCGCGGAGCCTGCAGGACCTTAGTGCTAATTGTGCCCTCAGCTTCAAAACTTTGTGCCGAACATCCACGGATCTGCATAGCGCAAAAGGCACTTAAACGCAAGTCAATTAGGGTAGTAAAAGTGAAGTGGCGTGAGCGAGGGGCTCTGCTCAGATGGAGCCTGACAGGGCAAGAAGTAAGGGGCAGCAGCAGGCACATAACGCCTGTCGAGGCAGCATACATAGGGAAGGGTGATTTGGCCATGCGCATACAGGAACGTCTCACAGATTAGTGGAAAAAGAAACCCATTAGCGATGCAACCAAAAATATGGAAAAATGCTCACCGTGATTATACGCCCTTGGGCGGCCCATACGGTTCGTATTGGCGTCTTGGATATTAACTGCGCAACATGCAGCCATAAAAAGGCCCCAGATTGCCTTTTTGACATGCCATCTTCCTCATATATATTCGCCTTTCAGGAAGGAAAGACAGCTCTATAAGGGGGTCTTTAAAGTGCTTCAGCATGCATTTTAGGGGTCATTGTAGGGCTTGGGTCGTTGAATGCCTACGTCTGTTGTTTGGGTAAATGACCTCCTGGGACGTAAGGTTCCGCAGTTCGGTAAACCCCTTTTTGAAGGCCTTAGAGACGTTGGCTGCAAAGATCGCCGGCATCTGCGGTAGATCCAGCAGCAGAATGATGCTGGCAAAACCAAGGCTGCACAAGGAGGGGCAGACAGGCACACACGACACACAAACGTAACAGTGTACTATGCATACACCCCAAGGGACTGAATGGGACGAGTGGTGCAATACACAGACAGACAGAACCAACTGGGGCTCCGACAGCCATGCAGAGGCAGACCCTTCGGCGGCCATGCGCACGGGTCCCCTCAGGGGAGGCACGGGGTGAGGGGCCATTCTAGCCACATATGAACAGACACACGAGACAGCCTGAAGAGCCTACCCCGGACTGGTGGACATTTTTAAAAATAGAGAACAAAAGAAAGAACGGAGGATGCAACGAGCAGCCTTTCGCCGAAGGCCAGGGAGGAACCACTGTTGGGTCGCCGGGTAGATCGCCAGCAACCCTTCCTCAGGACAGTAGAAGATGGTACTGTGGATTATAGTGCTTAGTAATTCGAGGGAAATTTCACCGCCGGTGCCCCCAAGATTACAGCACAAAAGCCCTAGAAAGGCTGACAATCCGGGAGGTTTGGGGCTGTCTGGCCAGTCCCTGAATCCCATCCCGGGGGGGGCCCCTTGCTGGGGGCCCCTAGAGACACCGTTCGTCCTGTTGTGGAGCGCATGACCTGCAGTGGCAATCGAGTTTCGTAAATACACAGTTGACCCTAGTTTTTAATTTGTACTTCAGGACTGTTGCTGCCGCTGCAAGATTTCCAGCGGATAGTGCTCCTTGACCGCCAAGCCATTGGTTTGCTACGTCATTCCACTGATGGACGAAAATTGCCCATATGGAGGGAAAGAGGAAGCCTGATTGGGGAAGTGTTGCGAACTCCACGGTAACAGTAGCAGTAACAACAGCAGCTGCTGCCTTATGCCTAATTCTAAAGGCATTACAACAAGTGTAGCGCAGCGGCCGAAGCTACATCTGAACACTTTCCGAAATTCGTACAAAGCTACTAAGCTGTTCCAAATAAAGCTTCCCCCTTTCCCTGCCCGCGACTCTCAGAGGTGTCGATATGAGGGGAAAGGGTAAGCACTCTCACCACTTGCAGGCGTAGCTGAGAACACCCCTGCACACACCATTACGTCTCCTTGTATCGAGCTAACTGTACTTTACAATAAACAAGATGTCCGAACAGGCAAACCGAGTGGTCGATTCTTTGCTAATTTAGTTGAATATAACCAGTGCAGTAGAAAGTGCTCAAGTGTAGCTTAGCCCGCTACACCTTCCTTCCCATTTCATAAAACTCGCCCTCATGTTCCCTATCCGTCCATCGAGACCAACTGCATGCAAGAGAGCGGAAGAGTTCCTGCCCTACAGCTACTACCCACGCAGGCACAGACACGGAAAAAACATGAGACAAGCAAATTTTGCGTCAACTGGCAAGGAGAATATAGACGGAAAGAATGGCACATACACCAGCCAGCACCAACCAACACATCAAAATAATGAGACCACGGCGGCGCAGTGGCTGAGTGTCGTGGGAGCGTTGATATATGTGAGCCTTTCGCTAGGAGAAAACAGAAGACAGGCAACAGGCGTGAAGAGAATCAGCATTGAAACTACCTCAGCTGTGACTTGCAACAAATACTACAATATCTGGATGTGCATACAGCCAAACAATGCGGTGCAGTCGACTTCAAATGCCCACAAAAGGCGTAAGCAAGATTTTTGAGACAAAGTACCTGGAAGTGCCTACGCATAAATCTGAGTGTACGAAGCACTTTAAAAATAGCAGCCGGAAGTTTCAAAGCAATACCCATAGCTGCAGATAGTTGTATCAGCCAGAGCATGCACTGGGAAAGGACGCTTTCAAAGGAGTGTGACTATGAGTACCAGTGCTATTAACCTAACAGACTCGCAAATTATCCAGCAGGCAACGAAGCTAGCAGTCTCACTTTCGCCAATCGCACAAGCTGGTGTTCCCCAGCATGGTTCACTAGATGGTTCTTGCCTAGTGTGTCCCAGAACTTCACAGTCCTGGAATCCAGCACGTCTAGGGATTTCCGTGGATCCTCCGCCTCCACACGAGTAACTTGGCTGTGCAACAAAGTCCGCGAGTAATTGGGGGTTTGAAACCTTGGTCAACCAATATTGATAGACCTGTGGCACCTCCAGTTTCTGGTGAAAATGCGAGTTAGAAAGAGCACTACTTCGCGACAAGATGGCAAAGGGTTTTAGCCACATGGCTGCCAACATTTCGCCTGCCCACCTTCTGGTGCACTTCGTACAGCCTGTCGACCCATCAGTACCAAATCCCCGGCCTCGGAAAACCCAGCTTACCACTGCTAATCACAAAAACTCAAGGCTTGTTATTCTCTTTGAAGGCATCCATGCGGACTACTTAGTCCTCTCTGAATCCCTATGCTGCTCAGGGTGGCTACTGACACCGGTCTATTAGGCACAGACCCAAATTGAAGGAGCTCCCCTTAGCGTAGACCAGGGGAACCAGGGCTGCGGAAAGGACAGCCGGGAGGCGAGTGTGGACTGCAATATTGTTGACCTGTTTCTCAGAAAAAAGAGAACTAAGCCACCTAGTTGCTTTTTGGTCGTAGAGTCACATACACTGCAGAAGAGTATCGTTATTACTAGCTGGTTTCTCATTTGCCTCAGGTTGATTTGCAATGACCATGTTTTGGTCAACGTGTACGCAGGTCATAAAGGCAGGCCAGGACGCATTAAGGAGCTTCGAATCCATATCCGTAACGGTACGTCTGAGGAATCCATGAAGTGTCCACACGTGAGGTAAAAAAAAGCGAGCGTTATTCTGAGCGGAACAGAGTTCGACAAGGAATGATATAGGCATATTTGCCCAACCTGTTGAAAGCAAAGTGGATGCCATCCTGGGCTTTGACTTCGAGCATTCCAACAACAAAGCCCATTGTTGATTTAGTACAAATCCTTTCAGGGGCCAGAAGCTTTTCCATAGGACCAGGGCGTCAAACTATTTTAGCCATCGACTGCTGAAAATCTGGGCATGACAGTCATACTCCTTTGCCAAGGACGCATCCCAGGTCACCAGAAGTAACGTGAGCTTTTTTCCTGGAGCTTGAATCCCACCGTGGCCAGCAATAAAGAAACTATGTGTTTGCGTAATCAGACACAGGAAAAGAAGTTCAGAATGTACAAATGACACAGTCTTCGCTTTGTTTTGAATTCAAAGAAGTCATCACAACTTGGTAGTTGTTCACCCTTTCGTCATTCTAAAATTAATTCAATGATAGCGGCTTTATAGATTTCAACTGCAGATGACTCATGAAAATTTTGGAGGAAACGTAAATTATCACAAACAAGGGAAACTGCGCACAACAGCGAACCGTTGGCGCGTCGTGAGGGCGTGCAGGCAACCACATTGGTGATGCTTTCAATATATTTCAGTCAGGTCGACCTGCCAAGCTAGTGAACACCTCAAGGGTCACAAAGTCGTGAAGAGCTAATGTGAGGTACATCAAAGGCCGATGGTCGATTTAGGCAGTAAAATGCCACCGCACTTTCTCACGCCCCAGCACAACGCAGAGTGTTCCTTCTCTCGCACTTGATATCGCTGCTCAGCTAAGGTGAAGCGATGAGAAAATAAACAATAATTTGGTGTTTTGATGGACGCGTAGCAAGTTAAGGTAGAACAGCCCCCAGCGCATTGCTAAAAAGAAATAACGCTCCTCAACGGGCAGCCCACCATCGGAGAAGTTGTAGGGCGGCCTCTAAGCGTCACTGCTCTGCCATCAGTCTCTTCTATTAATGCCACATACTCTGGTGCTCTAAGCATATCAGTCACAGGAGCAGAGATCCCAGGAATCAAACTGCTATGACAAGGTGCGGGCCCATTGGGCTTCGCAGTATCTCTAGGGGTGTGTAAAAGTAAAGGCCACGACTTCACTGCTTCCAGTATAACAATTCCTGCAGTCGAATCTTGGAATTCCAGCAACACAAATGTCTTTGCAAGAAAACTCGTGTGCCTTCACGTACTACTGCTTGTCCCACGACAGCTGAAGCGCACGCCTTTGGTTCGCTGTAGATGCTCTTGAAGTACTGGACTGACCTTGGTCATGTACAGCCAGGCACCCCCCCGTTTGGGGGCTCATTATCTTTTTGGGTAGCTTGCCGTTGCAGTTCAGCTATGGCCTTATCAAGTATTAACGGAATAGACACATGCTCGTATTGGCGAGTGCGAGTGTGGAACGTGTATTGTATCTTTTATCAAGGTCAATGGGAATGTGTAAAAAAGCGACTGCGCAGTCAAATTTCGAGACGACTATTCACCTGTGTACTATGTAAAGGAGTTCTCCAATCTGACAGATAGGGAGCTTCTGCCTCACAGTTATCTGTTCCACGGGCTTTAACTAAACCCATATGCACTACCTTCCCTCCTCTGTCTGGGCCAAAACTGGGATGTGGGATATATCCAAAAAGCACTGATCAGCCGTAATGCTTTGTATCGACAATTCGTCCGCCTGACCCTAACTTTTCTCTTCATGCCCTAAGGGCCCTCGATACGGGGGAGCACAGCTTGGGACTGACTCGGGGGTTATATTCATGAGCCTCTCTAAACTACCAACAAATGGCCGGCCTGCTAGGAGTTCGTCCTTATCGGCCAGATTCTTGGGCTTCTTCAGCAAATTTGCCCACTCCTGCTATGGCTTGGCGCAAGCTTAAGCAGAACTTCCAAAAATATAGCCTGTTGCAGAGCCACCAAGACAGGATGCGTGCTAGGAGTATCTTCACCTACTGCGCTGCTGAACCGGCCGCAAAAAGGCTCTGCCTCACTTTGGTGCTGTATAACCACTCTATCTTCCCTCTCACCAAACAGAAATGAGTGTCTTCCCGGGGCCCCAGATACGCTCTTCGTAGGCCATCCATGGCATACTACGATTATATCAAGGTGCACATACCCAGCATAGGTCATGGAGAATGGTGTAGGACCCAAATTCAAGCTTGAGTAAAATTCTTCTCCCATAGTATTGCTTATTCTTGTGGTCTGACGAGCCTCAGTAAACTTGAGTCTTAGGGACTGCGCTAACGACTGAACAAGCAGTTAGCACCTCCATGCCGCCTCCTCGGAGGATATATTCACCCTACATCCACTAACAAGCAACGCGAACAATTCTTGACCGATAGTGTATTGTATCACCGCAGAGCCAATCCATAGTGGGTTGCCTAGCGGCAGCTCTATTTGTCGTATCCTACTTTACTACGCCGCAGCGTGCGGCATTCCGTTTTCCTGATGCAGCTTGTTTACTCGCCAAGCAGCTTGCATCCGCTAAGCTCAGTTTTTGGCCTTTTGCATTCGCTTCAGTTTCCAAAGTTTAAGGCTTAATTATTCACAAAAGGAAGTAGTTGCATCGTTGGGGGCTGGCTGGGTCTGTCTAGAAGCGCGGCTGCCTCCCAACCTGCTTTTACCGTTCGCCTTCGCGTGTAGGCTACGGCTGGCTGACACCGCCACGATATCCACAAGATCTCAGTCACGAGTTGGTTTTTGCGCTTTTATTATAGACTTTGAAGCCTTAATTATTCTATTCTGAAGCCCCAAGGTGTGAACGCCCCACCGGTCGGCTGTTTAACCACGCAGTTAGCACCCATCCTGCAACTACGAGGTAGCCCATTGAGTAGATCTGGGATAAGCCACTGAAGTGCAGCAGTGTGTGTACGTTGTGACTTTGAGAGCCAGAGTGTCATAGCTTTCGATCATGTATTTATTGCCACATTCCGCTGCTTCGGTTTGCTTAATTATCCTAAAGCTTACTGCGGAGCTGGCTTCGCCCTCACCGATGAGCCAGGGTTTGTGCGGAGGCTTGAACTATAGTAGCCTCTGTATGCAGACTACTTCCTCTTTGTAAAAAGGACCAACACTGTAGTGTTTTCCTATTTAGTACCCATCTTGCAAGGAGCAAACGTCTCTCTTCATAGAGGGCGTAAAAGCGAGGTACATCTCCAGCCGGCTCATGAAATCTTCGGGTACCTGCCAATCCTTACGGCCTTCATACCGCTGTGGTTGATATAACTTCGTAGGCTCATTTATAAAACTTTTAATCTGCTGACACATTGTGTTTGTCTACCAGGTGTGGATCCAATGCGCTCACATCGACTTGGAAGCCGGCCTCTGCCGCACGCAACGGGTGTTCTGCCACCGTCAACTTCCATCGACAACAAGCTTTGTTCCCGCACATCGCTACTTAGAAATCAGGCTACTGGAGTACAAAATAATCTGATCAAAACCAGCTCAATATTCTTGAATCATGCAACATCTCACTGCATCCACAACCAATGGATAATCGAGAAACAGCTGTATTGAACCGTGCGGTGCTACACATTGTATGCTCCATCTAGGCTATCTCTAGGGTGAGGTGGATATAGCGGATCAAGCTACACCTAAAAACTTTTCATTACACTAGTTATATTGAGTGAGATTTTGTACAGAACTGTGTAATTGGTTTTGCTGCTATGTGCTCGCATGTATCCATGCGTGCATGAATGTGTGAAACCCTCCAGACTGTCTTAGAGTGGCTGCTGATGACACCACTGCTGGCCGTTTTCTCATCTGGGCAGCCCTCACTCAGTTGCTTGTAGACTGGGCTTCATATACATCATGTAACAATTGAGAAGGGAAACGGCTTGGTTGTTGATTTGTTGTAGCTCCTACACAGAAAGTTTGGAATGCTCCGCATTATATGAGCGTATCTTTGCCCACATGCCACGTAAAGCAATTTGGAACACAGGGTGAGTGCCTAGAGGGGCCACGTCTTTACTCCTTACGTGACTGACTCCCATAATGTTGAAACCCTGTCTTGTACCACCGTGTAAGCGTGAAATCTCTGGCGAAGCAAAAGTTAATAGATTTCCCATGTTCTATAGGGTGTGGTGGCTACTGCCTAGCCTATGGAGATCCAGCAATACAACAGTCTTTACCTCGAACAGACGGGAGCCTGGTGTCAGAAAGCAGCTGGTACGATTGCTATGTCGGTCCTTTCTTCGGATATATCTTAGTTGATTTTGGTGGCTAGAAAGGCTACGAGTATTCTACGAAGGGCCAACATGGTGTGCACCATCGAAGCTTATTTTTTAGTTGGAAAATCAAAGGACTGTCTTTGATGTAGTAGAAGGCATTCGGAAAGCCGAGCCTCTTCTCATCTTTATAAGTTACATTCCTGCCAGTGGGCCCCTCTGAAGAAGGCTCAGACAGGAGTCCTGGCGCCACCCTAGCACTGCTGTAAAACTTTGGGTTTTCGGCTATAAAGACTGATACAAATAAAAGAACCGGCCGCTATAAGACGTGAAAATCCACTTTGCTTCTAAATTCCAGCAATATTTGCGCTGTTTTAAAGATGTTCATGCCGTGTGTCTCCGTCATAGAAACCGTGCTCTGAGCTGCTATTGGTACTGAACGCCAAAGCAACAAAGGCAGCGTGTGCCCTTTTGTATTCAAAGTGAAGAGGTCATCCATTTAACTCTTAGGAAGAGATATTTAAAACACTTAAATCCCTTAATTTTATCCCTTAAGGGCTCCCCTCTTCCTGTTGGTGCGCTTACACACTCGCCGACACCCCCAGCGGGCACCGTGTGTAGCAGCTGTAACCGCTCCCTGCTGCATATCTCAGTATCCGGAGAATCACTTGTGGATTATACTTGTTGCTATCAACGGCCTTAAATTTTTGACTAAAAATGTTGAGTGAGTTCGAAAAGGCGGTGGAATTCGTGCGGAAGCCTGTCGACGGGCACTCACCCTCAACAGCGCAGAAACTCCGGTTTTACGGCCTGTATAAGCAGGCAACCGTTGGCGACAACGAAACACCGGAGCCCTCCTTTTACCAATTAGAGGCCAAGCAGAAATGGAAAGCATGGGCGGACTTTAAGGGCATGGACAAAGAGGCAGCCCAGCAGGAGTACATCAAGGAGCTCGACAAGTCGACCCCTAACTGGAGGGAACACACGCAGTAGATCGTACGCCGAGCAGTATAATCGCGCATATCTGCTTCATCAGTCCTCTACTACCAGTTCAGGGTACAGCTCTTTCCATACCCCTCTGCCCAGGAAAAATCCTCACAGCATAAACATCCGCAAGCGCCTCACGTCGCCTGGATCACTTTTACCACAACTACCTTTCGTTGGAGCCTTCCGTCGGGGCCATGCTTTGTGGAATCCCGGAATAAGGGTCATTTTTTTCAGCAAAGCATTGTATCGAAAATGGCGTTGTAGTACGACGTCTACAGCTTAGGAGGGTACATGACTTGCTGTGTGCCTATCCTCAATCCTCTTCCCGGTTTCTGCCTTTTGTTTTGTGCGTTATATCAGAGCCCCTGAGTCTTAGGGACTTCTATTGGGCGGACTGCTGAATGCGCCCCGTGCTGCACTTGATGCAGCCCACTCTGCAGCTTTTTGTCTTTCTTGACCCTAAAACTACTGCTTGATATTATTTTCGCCTTTTCGCTTCCTCCCTTTCCCTCTTGCCACAATAGCACGAAAGCGCCCATAAGTGTACATGGGTCTTCAATTGGAAAGGCCCGAGCAGCCCTACGGGACCGGGCACTTTCTGGTGCAGTTAACTGAAGGGCTCTGATGAGGGTTACTCCAGGGTCGACTCAACCACACTATGTATGTCACTAGCATTCACAAGGGTCCTGTGGGGGCCTCTATCTGGCCCCCTGCTTTGCTGTAAATAAAATGGGTAATCTTAATGGACTTTTTGGATACTAATTTACTCTCTCATCTAAGTGGTCAGGCAGTAGAAGAAGTGGTGCGCAGTAGAGAGAGACGCTCCGGTTGTCTTTGAAGGTGGCCCACAGGACCTCGCAGCACCCGCATGCGAGGATCCAGTGGGGCCTAAGTAGCCTTTTCCCACCCGCCTCTGGAGGTGCTATTCTCTTCTCAGAGCGCCCGAGGAGCTCACAAACTGAAAGGATGGGTCTCCTTAAACATACCCGTAACGCTGCCTGATCTGTTCACAGGAATAAGGGCTCGGCATCCGAGGGGCCCAGCGTTGCTCTGCATAAGATGTGTGGACGGAGCTCCAGGTGTAGCAGGGTTGTTCAAGCCCTCGGGTTTTTTAAGTAAGGAATTGGTGGCCGGCGGGCCCTCAAGACTCCAAACTGCTGGATTCATGCAGACAAATTGCCGCTTGGTAAGGGGAGTTACAATAACCTCTCCCGAGCTGACGCTCCCTGACCAGTTGCTGCTGGGACTGCTAAGTGAGTCTGCTGCTGCTGCATTGGGAGACACAGTACTTGATTGCCGTCCTGCAGCTCTTCGTTGCTCCTTATTCGGAAGAGGAGGGAGGCTTAGGGGACTCGCTGTATCCCATTGCTGCAGCTGGGGGGAAGTTGACTGAGGGACCCACTTTCGCTGCAGCAGTTCTCTTTGCTGCTCAAGCACCTGCTCCTGCTGCAACAACACCTGCTGTTGTTTCGCCAGGACCTGCTGCTGCAGATGTTGCGCATCAGATGCTGGGCATTGTTGCTTTGAGGCTGCATCTGTAGATTCTACGGGGGGTGCTGCCCTTTCTGGGGAGACCGCGGGACTTGAGAAAACCCGTTTGGTGGCCTCTACTCTGTGGAAGGACGCATTTCCCTCGTCCGTGCGAAATCTTGCGGGGTATTTAGTGCTTCTCCCTAGCCTCCCAACGACTGCAGTTGTCACCGCTGTTGCGGTGTTCTTCCCCTGAAAGTCATGTGGGGCACTTACAGGACGCGGCAGCTTCCTGCGCCTGCTATCTGCTGACTTAGTTAGTGCGAATTCCTGAGGGGGTCCACGCGGATGCACAAATGCCTTCTGCTGCGGTTTATTGGAGTGGAGCGGCTCTTGGTGGTTCTGCCGTGTTAAATGCTGCTGCTTATGCCTTGCGACCACGAGCGTTTGTGAGAGAGAAAGGGTCCCACGAGTCTGAGCTGGTGGTAGTCGGGAGTTCTTGAGAGGCTGCACCTTGCCAATAAGATGCCTTCCCAGCTTGGTGGAAGGCTGTGCAGGTGAATTTACAAATAGGAGGCATTGGTTCGGCATTGGCTTTGCCATTCTGCTGCTTGTTGTTTGCGACTCTTTGCGCACGTCATGAATATTGTCGCTGTGTTCCTTGTCAGACTGCGCTTTCTGGGATCCTTGGGATTCCTCCTCGTGCTGCGTTTGCTCTTGGGCCACAATCGTCCTCAGTACTTGCGGCTGCCTGCTAGGCGGGAGTACTAAAACAGGGCTCTCGGGGTGGGCTGCGAGTTCCCGTGAGGATGTGCGGGGCAGTAACTCAGAAGCCACAGGGAGAGTTCGCTGACATGCTGGGGGACTCTTCCGCTGCACACGACTGGATGATTCCGAAGGCCCATCCCTTTTCGCTTGCTGCTGGTGGTGCTCTGGTCGTGATTCGGTGAGCGGTTGCACCTTGTGGCTACGTGGTTGGTGTGGGAGGGTCAGGCCTAATGGGGGGCTTTCCGCAGCAGGAGAGGCCTGCGAGCTGTGAAGGCTGCGAGAGGGGGAATATTCTGAGAGGGCTGATGCACTGCATTCCTTGTACTGCCAGTGATTCAAAGAAAGCTGTTCAGGCTGCTCTCTTTTTGGCGAGGGCAACTGCTTCACTTGGCACTGCACAGGCTGCCCTACTTCGTGCCGTGCAGGTTCTTCTGCTTGCTGCAGTTGCTGCAGAACTTGCTGCTCCTGTTGCACTGGCTGCTGCTCTTCATGCGCTGGCAGTTCCGCAAGCCTTTGCTCTACAGCTACTGACTCTCGTTGTAGAAACTCCTGGAGTTGCACAGAGTCCGTCTGACTCTCTCGGTGTTTCACACCCCTAGCTCTTTGCAATGACGTTGTGTTGTGGTGGTGGTCATGAAGCTCATGGTGATAGTAGTGGTGGTGCAGCTGCGATGGCTGCTGATGTAGCGGCTGAAGGGTAGCCCCTAGTCTCTGCGGTCCAGCGACTGCCATGGGCTGGCCACCGTTTGGCAGCTTTTGCGTTGCAGGGTCTGGGGTGCTCTTGGTGGCAGCCTCAGCTTGAACTCCTCCTGCTGCAGGTTCTTTTGCTGCTTGCGTTACAGCTGCTGCAGGAGCTGGTGCCCTGCCCTGTGCCTTTTGTAATAGAGACTCCAGCACCTGTGTTAATTGTGCTGCACCACCCGAACCTTCGGGCCTTCGCAGTGGCAACAATGGCTCGCTGTGACAATGGGCTGCTGAGAGCTCCCAGGGGCTAAGAGCAGCAAAGTCCTCCATCTTCCTGTGCTGAGGACTGTTCTGCATTGCTGCAGTATCACGGCAGCAACTGGGTATGTCTACTGGCTGAAGAGGAGACTCCGCAGGCCTTCGTGCCTCTGCAGCTATATCTTCTGCTGGCGCTGTCAATTCTGGTGTTGCTGCGAGTTTCTCCCCCTTGGCCGCAGAAGCCAAGCTATTTAGCAGCCTCGACGTGGAAGCGCTCAGTTCCTCCTCTGCGGCAGAAGCAGTGTCTTTTGCTTCAGCAGCTCCAACTGTTGAAGCCGCTCGAGGGATTGCTGTCGGCAATTCCTTCTTAGGCGATAGGCTTGGCTCTCGCTGGTCCAGTGCTCGCTGCCTTTGGTGCCTCTCTACCGTCTGAAGTCTCTTTTGCAGTAGCTCGTCAATCAGCGCGTGCTGCTGCAGCGGAGTGAGTGCAGTGTCAACACGCACGCATCTACGTTGCTGTAGCGGCTTGCCGCTGGCCCGCTCCCCCGCTGAGCTGCTGCAATCGCTTGAGCACGTGCTGTCTCCGCCGACACAACTGCAACAGCCAGTGCGACAACAGCAGCAGTTGCTGATCCCATCCTTACGGGACTGCTGCCTCTGGTGCATCTGAAAGGCTTGGTTGTGTTGGACATCTTTGCATCGCTGCTGATGCAGGCGCTTGCCTCCGCCTTCCGAAGCACTCGTCTTGGGCTGCTTATGAGAACTCCGGAAAGTACTACCCCAAGGTGTTGTATCGCTAGCACTTTCTTCAACCAGCTTCCAGTTGCCATTCATGCGGCCCCTTATCAGCTGCATCAAAGATCTTTGCTGCTGTTCTGATATGTGCAGCCTCCCCCGTTCCCCGTCCGACGCCGGGCTACACACCAAAACTTCTTTCCCAGCGCTACACGGCAGAGCCAGCACCAATAGCTGGGGTTCTTGCTGCTCCTTCGACTTTTGTTTCGGCCGCTGCCTCTGTTCCTGACGAGAACTCGGGCTTGCGGACGATCGAACTCTAGGGATAGCACCGCCAGTTCGCTGCTGCTGCTCGCGGAGAGCAGCAGCAGCACTTGCAGGTCGCTTGCTGCCGCCAACGCCGAAGCACTGACCGGCAGTGTTTTCTTCTGGGTGACAGGCTGCACATTTGCGACTCGTGTGCTGGCAGTCCGCTGTACATACTGGAGCTGTCCACCGCGCTTGTGGTAAGGCTGCTCTGCTGGCCTCCCCGGCGTGCTGAACGCGACGCTGTGCACCGCTCTGTGGGGAAAACCCCGTCGCCTTCTGCCAGGACCCATCAGCAGCAGCTTCTATGTCCTTCCATTTCTGCTGCTGTGGTTTTTCTGTCTGAGCTGTCGAGTAGCACGCAGCTTTTGGACTCCCTTTGGGAGTCATGGAAGCCCCTTCGCTGTGCAGCGGCTGAGTCTGCTGCTGTTTTATTTGTTGCTGTCTAAGGTCACTTTCTACCGCGCCACCAGATGCACCATCTGACGCTTTTTGCTGATTCTTTATGGCGTCGACAGGCTGCTGCAATTGCTGCTGCAGCAGAAAATGTTGACGTAAGATGGCTTGCTGGCTTTGCTGCTGCTCTTGTAGTAGTTCAAGCTGCTGTTGCATATACTGAAGCAGCTGTCGCTGCCAGTCTTGTTCCGGTAGCCGCGAGCAGCCGCTGCTCGGCTGGAGTCTCTCCACGCAAAAGTGCATTCTTTGCAAGTATGGCGGTCTCCTTCTGGAAGTAGCTACTACCTCGCCAGCTGCTGCTCCTAGGCCTTTCGCCGCGGGGTCCTCAGACTCCATCGGAATGGAACCGCCTTCACCAGCGGTAGCTGCGGGAAAGACCTGGGATGTTGCTGTAGATAAGCATGTGTGTGTCCAGGGATCATTTACTAAGACTGCAGCAGCGGCAATTCCATCTGTGGCCGAGTTATCCGATCGTGTCTTGGCAGTGGCTGTGGTAACCGCTGGGACGGCTGCTACCTCCGATGCTGTAGGCCCCCTGTTTGGATTAAACGGACTCGCCCTCACCCATGTGGGCAGACTCGCAGAGCGGCGGGCACAGCTGCTGCCACACTGAGCTGTTCCTCGAAAGTCTACCTCCTGGTTTGCCAGTGCTGTTGAGGCTGCGCCAGTACGAGGTGGCTGGGAGTGATCCCGTGCGCGACGCCGTCCCTGTTGTTGCTCTTCTTTCTGGCGTTGCTTCTGATGCTCCTGGGCTTGTGTATATTCCTGTTCTGTGCAGAGCTTAGCAGGAGAGAGATGGTGCAGGTCACCTGCTCTGTGCCCTCTCTTAGCCACAGGCGCAGATGGCTGTTGCCTCTGCTGCTTCCGTGGCTTCCCACCAACCTCCTGGGAGGCCCCCAGACTGCCAGGCTCCAATGTAAGAGGGAGGTACTGTTGTTGATCCCACTCAATGGCACATAAGGCGCCTGTTGCTGCCCCCAATTCCGCATGCACCTGCCCTAAGGACTTTAGTAAACTGGCACAGCCAGGACTCCTTTCCTCTGACTCCACAGCGTGGGACAAGGAATGCTGTTTCTGGGCTTTCTGCTTTGTTTGTCCACCACTACGCCTGCCTGCACGTTGTTCGCTGACGCTTTTCAGGGGGGGTTTGGTTATCGTTGGAGTATAAGCACCTTCCTTGAGCAGCCCGGAACCTGGGTACCCCTGAGGTCCAGCTCCGAAGAGATGCAAAGGGCTAAATGCATGTCTATGGAGTGCCCGTGCATACAGCTGCAACTCCTGCAGAGACACGAAGCACCAAGATCATCTTATACGATCTGTCCCATACTGCCGCTGTTGCTAACAGCAGCCTTTGCGTGTTCCCTGTTGCAAGCTTGGTGAGCGAGGAAGACTCACGCTGAGGATTAGTGCAGCTCTACTGCTGGTAGCGTCGGAAAGACCCAGGGTCCCTTCTCTCCTTAACGCGTGTGTTTGCGCCGTTTTGGAGGGCCAGGACCAAGCAAACGCATCCTGAGAGGCCTGTGTAGGCGAAGAAAAGGCCGTGGGCGCGTTCCTTGCTGCTCCTTTCATTGCAAGCTCCAGTACAGCGGACACCACAGCCTCCGTTACACTCTCAACGCTGGGTCTCCCGGCGCTGTCTGCTGTTTCGTATTTTGTTTGCTTTTTCAGGCCGTGGGAAGACCGGTGTGGCCCTGTGGAAATGGCACTGTGCAGCTGGGCGGCCGCCTGTTGGAGCAGTGATACAGCGAGCAGAGAAGGTAATAAATACATTGAGGTTTTTGCGCACACACACGGATGCAGCACCCATAGAACTGTTGCTATGAAGCAGAAAACACAGACACAAAGAGGAAGAGGCAGACGGATGCGAAAACACATATCATGGAGTGCACTGGCAGCACAGGGTGGTACAACAATAGGCTGGAAAAGTGTTTCAAGGAGAGGTTCATCCCACGTTGACTCGTGATGCCCCTTGCAAGAAGTCGCTCGTGATTCTCTGCATTGCCGATATTACGCTTTCTGCTTAGAAAATTAATTCTGCTGCACCTGAGAAAGAGCATGCTCTTCCAAGCTCTCGGAGGTCTGGAGCCTAATCTGGGAGCGCAGGTGACCTGTCGGATCGCCTGCGACACACTCTATGCAGCCAGACTTGTGCATCTGCTGATACTGAGGGATTTGTTTGAGAGCCTCCGAAGGCTGATTGCATTGCATTGGCTACCTAGCTAAGCCAAAATAGAATGGCGCGGAGCCTCGTAACGCTAGCACATATCAGCTTACGGGGTTGTGAGTGAGAAGGCATATCCTGGTCCGTGTGTTGTTTCTCATGTTGCTGTTGCTGCCGGAGGGCCTCGTTCAACTTGCCTTTATCCATAAAGGGGAATTGAGGAACTGGTGGCTGGCCAGGTCCATGATTGGGCTTCCCAGGGGTCATCTGTTTCTCAATACATTCAATAGAGGCTCTCTCTTTTACTCTCGTCTCGTCACGGGCCTTCGCTATGCACTGGAATTCCCCGTTAGAAGGTGCTTGATCCCAGGGACGGGCTGTCGCCGTGATTGCTGGATGAGCGTAAGCCGCTGAAACAGCCGCATGCTGCGTTTCTAGCGGCTTCGTCCGTCTGATGCCGGTTTCGTGGCCTTCCTGTTGTTTTCTCAGCTCCCATAGCGAGGCGTTTTCAGTGTGTAGAGAGGTGCCTATCCTAGGAGAATCATCGGTTATTCCGAATGGAGCATCATCTAGGAGGCTCCCTTTGGGCGAGCGGCCCCATGGAGAGAGAGATTCCAAGCAGGATTGGGTTTTCTCGACAGGCCGCGCAGTCGTGCTGAATGGACCCTGATTCCGCTGCACAGGTGCCTTCCTTTTCGCCTCTATCCTACTAGAAGGGGTTCTCAATATGAAGCCTTTTTTCAAAGGGCGGGAACTGGATTGCTCTTTTCTACAAGGGTCACTCAAGGAGCTTCGTTTGGGGCCTCCTGATGGGGGCATCCGAGAGTCGGCTCTTCCGGCAGCTTTCACCGGTTGCCACTGTTGCAGCTGATTCTTGTGTTCCTCTGCTGACGCCTTCGCAAGGTCAGCAGCCGCGGCTCCTCTAGCTGCAGTAACAGTAGCCGCTCCATGTACCGTGGCAGCGCTGCGAGTTTCTCCCCCATACGGGTAGCTTAGTGGGGTGCTCTGTTGGGACACGCCCAACGTTTTTACACCCCAAGGACATAGAGGAATCTGGCTCTTTTGACTCTGATACCCTTGAAAGTCATGTAATTTCGGAATTTGAACGATTAGCTCTTCTGCATGCCTGCCATTGGGCTTTTGTATTCGTCGCTGCTTCTTCATGTCGTGCTCTTTATCCGAAGGCTACGGAACTCTCATTGAGGACTCCTGTAGAGCCCGCGAACCCTTCGATAACCCTTTAAGTACCCTTTCAAACGCATTTACATATGCATGGCAAAAGCAAACGGTCTTTTCCAGGTATGACATCAGTGCTATTGGCTGGAAGCCCTCTTGCCAAGAAAACTCTTCGTTCGGCAGAGAAGGCACTCTGTAAAGCCTCTCAATCCCTAGAAATGCTCCCTATATATCTGTAGGTTTAAGGCCAAAATCTAGTCTCTGGCAGTATACGAGCCAGCTGGATACAGGCAGAGCATCCTGAGGAGGCATCAGTAGCAGCCGAGACTGCGGAAAGTTGCTTTGGGTCGGGGCCCCCTAAAGGGTAATAGATCTTAGCACTCGTGAATCCTAAGCTTTGGGTTTTAAGCCTGCTTCGAAGGAATGGCATTACCGTCTCCTAATTCAAAGGCGCAAGGGCCACCATCTGCGGGGTTTGCGGCCAAAGGGCGCTGCGCACTGGAGAAAGAAGAGGGAAGAAAACCGATAAGCAGAGAGAGTCTGGGAGGGAAAGTAGCGGATAAAGGAGAGGGCGCATAAAAAGGAAAAGACTTACATCGGGAGAAAAAAAAGCGTGGGAGATAGCTGTCTCTCATATCACCTCCATACACTACAATGTCCTTAGCCAGAGAGCAAGGGACTACATGTTCGTATCACCATTTGCACATAGCAGGAATTGCATTCATGCGAAGGATCTATCCCCTGTTCTGCCTCCGACGCACCTACTCCGACAGAGACGAGACTGCTGGGGGATCGGCGCATCCGGTGACCCTAGGACCTGTCAGACAGAACAGGAAGTAGCCAGTATATTTATTTCCTTTGAACTATTATACAAAGCGACAAGCCATCTTTGCATGCCCCCTGCATGCTCAGGGCTCTTCGATCTGACGAGCCCCAACTCTAGTAACGGCAACCCCACGAGGGGCTCAGGGCGCCGGCAGAACCGTAAGCCATGGGCCTAAAGCCGTGACGATTGAGGTCCTAATCAGAAGTCATCTCGTCTAAAGAGCTAATTTGTGGGCTTTTATGCACGTATATGTACCTCGAAAGATCCCACTTGCATAGTCCTAATCAAACTAGTGGTCCTTCAGCACGAAACACATCCCAGATCCCTTTGGCAGGTCACCAATAGGTGAGCCCTTTTGCGAACATAAATCGTAAGCCCTATGCCTGATCCCTAGATCCTGTGCGGCTGACCTTAACTATATTTTTTTGCCTTTCAAGCATAATGTTCTCCTCTGAAAGGTGCATATCTTTCATCTTTTCACCAGCTTGTGCCGATTTAACTTGCGGTCAGCTCGCCTCGGACAATCGATTGCAGTATTTTAAAGCGCTAAATCTAATCATACATAGCCTCATACCTCCTACTTGGCACATGGGCAGCGATCGCTCCTGCCCTCGAGCGTTTCGTACTACCTATGGCCTCGGGCTACTAACGTGTGCGCGGTTGCCTCATGGCCTATAAACAGGCTAAAAACAGTATCCGACCTGCAGTGTCAGAGGCCTCTAAGTCTTTCTGTCGCTGCTCCTAGGAGCATTACTGTCCACGGCCTATGCATCAGGCTTAGTGAGCTCCAGTACATACATAGATTGCGTGTAGCCCCCAAAAAAATTTCACCAAGAGGTAGTACTCCCACTGAACAGTCCTGACAGGATTATTGCTGTATTATTGCACTGTCTGAATCTGTTACAAAATGGAATGCTTGAGGCGCCAGTGCCCGCATTTATTGATTCATTGCACAGACGTGAGTACAAATAGCCGAGCAAGATAGTACAAAGGTAGGGGAATGAGAAGGAAAAGGGAAAAAGACTTGGTTGCTGTAAATATATAGCGCATTCGCTTGGTGTTTGCCCACCCCATGCAGCCCCAAAGACAGAGAGATCAACCCTTAAGGGAGACCCGAAAAGCCATGTACATCCATGCGGGGCGCAATGAGGATGGAGCCTCGCTGCTGCTGCCGCTGTCACCCATCTTCGGGGTGCGTTCTTGTCCTAGGATACAGAGCCAAAAGGCTATCTACCTCCCAATCGATTTTTTTTCCGGCTTCTCCCCCGGAATAACTCCAATATCAACGCGTCTCCTCTCGTGCCATTGCACGCACTTGAACTTCAACTCCAAAACCCCTGCGTATAGCGCACAGCAAAAGAACTCACCTCTCTCCTTCACCCCTTTCCCCTCCGAAAATCGCAAGGAGCCCAACTGCCACAAGGTCCTCCCCTCTGAACCCTGAGCAGCGCGTACGAAAGCGCATATATAGCAGCCAATGAAACGTCTGCAGACCCCTAACCCCGTATCTTTCATACCCGCGTTGAATTGCGCCGAGATCATGTCTTCATTGGCATTGCTTGGTAGCTGAAAACGTCTGCAGTAATATCCTGTCTGTCGCTCGTGAGCCATGATGTGCAGCTGGCCCCCAAATCTTTCCTTCAGCTCGTTTTTTGACCGGGGCCCACAAATAGAAAGCAGACCCTCTCCAATTTCTATGCAGATATCATCCTTCGAGGCTCCCGGTAAATCCATGAGGAGCATTATGGCTTGTTCCTTGGGGTCAAAGAACATATCGATCGGGGGAACAAGGGTGACCTTCGCCTTCACGTCGTCAGGAGGTGCAATCTCCTGTATTTCGTTCAAGGGGAGGGCCGGCTGAAGCTTTCCTGGCTTTGACGGAATCATCTGCGAATCGAAGGCAATTAAAACACCATTAAAAAAGAGAAAATTGCAGATCGACACACAGCGGGATGAAAACGTCAACTGGGACCACACCTGCAGGTTTGGATACAGCAAACGGACGGAAGCAAAGCTAAGGCCCAGAAATACACAGATTGATGACGTTGCCATGCCTCTGTCTTACCTTCTCGATGACCAATTGGTCAGCATCGGAGTCCAACGGGGGACCAAAAGAGCAGCAGTCGCACATTTCAGGTGGCAAACTGCGATATGCGAATAACCTGAGCAAAGCACCCACATATTCCCCGAAGATCCCCATCATGCAATTTAATTGAATAGAAGCGGTGTGCCCGTGGTTCATCATGAATGCACCAGAGACGAATAGAAGGCGAGGACCACTAAGGCGCTCCGTGGTAGCCGACCAGGCTACAACAAAGTCCTAGGCGCCAAGGCACATGCGGAGGTTGTTTGTGCATACATACACCGCATAACTGAAACATAAGACTCTGCTTTCACCCCAAGGCCAGAAGTTCACCGAGCGGAGAAAGATCAAAGAATGACCAATGGAGCAGCCTGGCCTTCAGATGCCATTCAGCGAAAGTGCATCCTTTGCAACGATGAAAGGAGCAGTCTATACCATAGCATGCTTATATCGAATATGAATCTGCATTTATTGCAGCTAATGGGAGAAAAGAGGGCGGAAACGGGAGAGAAGCATACGTAGCTGAGACCGAAGCCGAGAAGCTGGCTGAAGTCAAGGGGCCTCAAGAAATAGGACTCTTACGCGCTAGCCTGTTGTTACAGGAGCGTAGTCAAGACGATTTTGTAGGAGGAAGCCAAGGAACGACAAGGTAATCAACAACTAAAGCTCATCAACAGGGAAAGAGCACGCAGAGTACCGGGCCTGCTGCATCGCTGGGGCGAGACGACGCTGGGGTTCCGGAATTCTGCATGCCCGTTTTTGTCTCTCTTTCCGCATCTTTCCCCCCTAGCTCCCATTTTCCGTGTGATATTCAACTCGAATAGACGGCTCGCTGTTTTCCACAACTACTGCTTTATCGCTGCAGCTCCGCATGGGCCTACAATTGCTCCCCCCAGCCGGTTGGCTGTTTGTGGGGGGTACCCGGGGAGCAAAATTGCAGCTACAGGTCACACGTTTTTGCATGTGCATTATAAATGTAATCTTTGGCGCTTGATACTGCTTCTCGTGGGCTGGGCACTGTTTTACCAGAAGCTCTGCAGGAATTTTCTAGCGACTGCACCAGGGATGCACTGCGCTGCAACAAGGAAATTATGAAGCTGCTTGGATGTATGCTACCAGACTTTTGCACGGCTGAAAACAGTGTTTCGGCTCATTCGAAGCAGGATTATAGAGGTTAGCTGGCTAGACAGTCGGATATGAGGTTCCCGCAGCCCAATAGTTGATCCGTACAAGACCCTCCCTCACACAAAGTGGCATCTTAGGTGGCGAACCACACCACCTTAAGTGTGCACACACACACATTAGCCGCAAAATACACCCTTAAAACACTTCCCAAGTGTCTCCAGTTCTTGATGAGCGATCTGAAGCACCCATTGCATGTGGGCTGTGACAACCCGCCGACGAAGCGTCCGCATACGCCGATCCGCAATCAAATAGCAAAATGTATGCTGAGGTAAATTTTTCTACCACTATCGAAACAACCTTATCCTCCGGTTTCCTGCAGCATCGAACCCCAGCTTATAGGGAAAGCGAAGCCGGGATCGAAACCCCTACATCATCCGAACAGTATACGTACTTAAAATGGTGGCCGCACAGTCCACGTTCGAGGAGATTCCACAGGATATAATTTTTATGGAAAATCGAATAGCAGCTCTTAAGTCCTTCAAGTGGTAACTTATTCGATAAAAAGCATGCTAGTCCACCAATAACTGTGTGGGACCGTAACCTGGTTCGCCACAGAGCATGCCCACCACTCCACATCGACTCACAGTGTATCCATGTGCAACGGTCTCCCCCACTAACCCACCCAACATTTGCTATTATATCCCTATGCAAGTTGGCAGCAGACTACAATGCGCAAGGCTAGGCCTTACAGTCCCACCGCAGTTTCCAACTTTATGTTAACAAAATTCACTTTTGCAAACGCGACAGACAAGGCAGAAGCGGTGAGACTATTGCACGAAGAAGGAGAGTGCGGGGCACGAAGTTTAAACTGAGCAGGTCTTTCAGGCCCAGAAGGGAACACAATAGAGAGCTGAGACAAAGAGTGATATATGCTACCTAAATGGAGACCTGTTGCTGCACTAACATACAACCTTATCTGTTCACTAGTTAAGTGTGATTTATCGCGAAAGCCTTTTTAAGAATTTCCTTTACTCGTCCTATACAGAAAGGCCTCTGCCATGTTTGTAGAGACCTCACCAGGGGGCGCCTGCTTGCCAATAAGAAGACAGACGAATAGCAGAAGAAAGGAGTGTAGACACATACGTGACAAGGGTTGAGCCTTTTGGCTGAAATGGTGGCGGGAAGAAGCAAACAGCCACAGTTTCCAAAAGGCTCAAGAGGCCCTCATTGGGGGGAAGGGGGAAATGAGGCCTCGTCAAGGTTCCCTCAGCTGTATATACACTGTATAGCGCAATGACTGCCGTCTAAATGAAGAATGCAACACAGGAGGAACAGTTACAAACAGTGGGATGAAACACGCGGAAAGACAGACACATAACCTACTACCCCAGTATAACCTGTGTTGTGTTCTCTACGGGTCCCAAAGCAAAGTCTCTACAGATGCCTTTGCTGCAGCCTTTCTGCACTCCGCGTACCGGAGCCTTCAAGGACGAAAATGCAGAAATCCACAAAGGGACTAATAAAAAACTACCCCATCAAAAGCACGCACCATTCTTTGCCTGGGGTGGAGAGGGGCCGCTGCCAAAGGAACAAGGCTGCAGCTACAGGGAGGCGAAGGCGCGAGGAAACCATAAAAGCCGAATGTAGGAGGTATATTTCATAAGCTAGGGAGGGGTCTCTTTGTGAGTTGGAGCTACAAAGAAGAGCGCCTTTCAGCGGGTGTTTACTACTGGCTATTGAGGCCCCGACCTGTCCCTTCTACTTGTATCTATCAACGTATAGTGATCATCCCGCACAAGAGGCACACGCCGCCATGGGCTCGCTACGCCTCCATGCCCCTACTGAAGTGTCCCTCTATATCGCTGCCCATGAGCTGCGGCTGAAGGCGTTTGATGGCGGCCTCTACAAGGGCGGGGGAGAGCTGCAGCTCCCAGGCCTGCAGCATAGGAAGGAGACACGGGGAGCCGGGCAGCAATAGACACTGTGTGGATCCTCAGGAAACAACAGGGAAAGAGCGAGAAACACATTGCTGAGACGGTAAGGGGGAAGGTGGAAGGAGCTGTGTACGCAATATGCATACTCACGCTAGGTCCCCCCCCTTCGCACAATGTATATGCCACCATATAGAGGGAGGGCCGAGAAGTAGAAGCAGGCGAAGCCTCTCTGTTCATCTCTATATCGATGGGATCTACCTACAGATGTGGCCTAAATGTGGAGTGAGAGGCACAGTAAGCGGCTCTTGCACGCGCATTTGGAGAGGGAAAGAAGAACTCCGCACATGATTCCAGCAATTAGGCACCCGCAAGGTCAAGAAACAACAGACCACTTCCCATCCCGATTTCTTACCTGCGTTTTTGTCTGTGAAGCGCTAAAAATAGAATTCAGAGCTCCAGCACTCTTTCTCCCACCAAATCCGCCGAACCCGCCTAAGCTGGCTCTGGGCCGTCTGATCCCCCTGCCGCCTCCCCCGAGCAGCGTTGGGCCCCCGGGGGCCCCCGCAGGGGCCCCCGAAGGGCCCGCAGCCACCATGAGACCCATCTGTTCAAACGACTCGACTGCATGCTTCCAGCAGCTGCTACGCATCTGCCCGTTCAGGAGATACCCGTGAGGCAGCTCCTCGGCTAAGAGGGCGTACTGGGCCTGCGGCAGCAAAGGAAGAGACAAAGGGGCCCCTGACTCGCCTCGCCGACGCAAAGCGGCAACGCAAGTGCATTGTGCGGGAGATACAGAGGGAAGAGAGGCGGTACAAAGAGAGGATGGAAGTAACTAGGCACAAAGGGGAATGCAAAGAAACGGAACGGCACGAGAAAGAAGAAACACATTGATACATGGAAGGGGGAGGGACTCTAGGCGAAAGCGGCAGACAGAGTAAGCAGCACCACACAGAATCATCACGGCGACCAAACGAGAGAGAAGGAAGGCTTAACATGAGGCAGCCGGAGAAGCAGGCAACAAAAGCGAGCCGAGCAGGCTGCCACAAGAGGGAGCCACCTCAAGAGACCCCTAGAGCCTCGAGGCCTTTTGAAGTGCGCAACATGACGCGCAAAAGGTTCACCAAGACCAAGGGGTGTTGCTTCGGAGTACTGTGGGCCGAAAACAGACTCCGCAGCATCCCTCTACGGCACTTGGAGACCCTCGGAGAGGCCTCTTTGTCTGTGAGGAAGACGCCTACCTCAACTTCCTCAAGGGATATCTGCACACCGCAAGACTCTACTGCCGGCCTGTTCGAAGGGGCGATGTTCTCTGTCTGAGAGGACCTGCTCTCTTGGGAGGAAATCGCCGCTCCGCTGCTCTTCCTGTCTGCGGATCCATGGCCATTGACTGCTGCGGGTGCAGCAGATCGATCCAACAGCTTCTTCTGTGCGGAACGGCAGGCTGCCAAGAGGTACACTCTCTGCATAAGCGGAAGCCCCTGAATTCTACTGACGACCTGCTGCTGATCGTGGCCGTAGACAGCGCTGGCTTTGGCACTCATTACACCCACTCCAATGACTTCGGAGGCCCTCTTGCTCAGGGGGGCCCCCCCGGCGTTACTTGGAGGGCCCCCACCACTCTCTTCACCCCCTACGCTGCACGCAGAACGCCGCGGACCTGAACCCGAGGCCCCGAGAGGGGCCCCCTCCGCCCCTCGCCGGCGGCCCCCGAGGGTACGGGGGCCCCTCAGGCCCACTAAGCCCTTCCTGAGAGACTGTGAGGAGACGCAGCTACTGCTGCAGGTACTGTCTCGGCGAGTTCGGCTGGAGGCCTCCGAATGGGGTAGATGCTGCAGCAGCAAACCCGCTGGAAGAGTTTCTAAAGTGCAGCATGGCATCAGCTGCTGCTCGTCTCCCAGGGCAGGAGAAAGAAGGGGAGATCTAGCAGCTGCAACAGCAGCAACAGCTGCTGTTGCAGCTGCCGCTGCATCGGTGCCCGTTCGAGACTCG